TGAAAACGGCCCTCAGTCCCTCACCCAGGCTGGCCACACCCCTATGGGGTGAGGGTCTCCACGGGGGGGCTTGGCCAGCCTGCAAACAGCCATCAGCCCCTCACCCAAGCTGGCCAGGCACCCCAGTGGGGACCCCCTACCCTGAAGGGGGTGTGGCCAGTCTGAAAACAGCCCTTAGCTCCTCACCCAGGCTGACCAGGCACCCCAGCAGGACCGCCACCCTAATTCGGGACACACTTCAGGGCAAACCAGCTGGCCCCCACCTGTGCACCAGGCCTCTATCCTATATAATAAAAGGGTAATACGCAAATTGACCCCAACAGCAGAACGACTGGGAATGACTTGTCACTATGACACATACTGACCACCATGGGGCAGATGCTCAATGCAGGAGCTGCCCCCTGGTGGTCAGTGTGCTCCCACAGGGGGAGCTCTGCTCAGCCACAAACCAGGCTGACGGCTGCCAGCACAGTGGTGGTGGCAGGAGCCTCTCCCACCTCCTAAGAAGCGCTAAGGATGTCTGACTGCAGCTTAGGCCTGCTTCCTGCTGGCAAGTGGCTATCCCCCGAGGGCTCCTGGGCTGCCAGAGGGATGTCTGACTGCCAGCTTAGGCCCAATCCCCTGGGGAGCGGGCCTAAGCCAGCAGGTGGACATCCTCCGAGGGGTCCCCGACTGTGAGAGGGCACAGGCCGGGCTGAGGGACCCCCCGAGTGCACAAATTTTTGTGCACCAGGCCTCTAGTATATTCAATAAAATCCAAGTCACAATGCCAACAGGCTTTTTAATAGAAATTGATAAGCTGATTTGTAAAATTTATATGAAAATGCATAGGATCTAGAATAGCCAAAACAACTTTGGAAAAGAATAAAGTTGGAAAACTTACACTTCCTGATTTCAAGACTTGTTATAGAACTAAAATAAACAAGACAAGGTGGTAATATCATAAAGAAAAACAAACTGATCAATGGAACAAAATAGAGAGTTTAGGAATCAACTCATATTTATTCAACTAATTTTTCACAAGAGTGACAAAAAAATCAATAAATAATTTTCAAAAAATGAGACTGTATAAATTGATGTATTTTTTAAAAAGTGAACTTCAATCCCTAGTTGCCAGCCTCTAAGAACCCTTATCTCCTGGTATCATTACCCTGGTATAGTTCCCTCCCATTGAACTGGGCTGACCTACATAACCAGTAGGATATTGCAGAAATGATGGAGTGTGGCTTCTGGGGCTAGGTCACAAAGACATTGCAGCTCTCTCCTTGTTTCTCTTGAATCACTTTCTCTAGACAAATCCAGCTACATTTATTGCCTTCACTATCTAATAAGCATAGACAGAGCACTCCCCGAAACCCCCCAAAGGCTGGGTGCCTTGAAGCCCTCCAAAAGGTCGGAGCTAGGCGCCACCTCTGTTTGTCCAGACAGTGGTAGCTGAAACTACTCCCCCATTTATTATTATGTAAATCCTTGCTGATGGGCTAGTCTGCCTGTTGCAGGGGGTCACCTGCCTAGGGCTATGCTATAGGGGCATCCCAGATCAATAAAAGGTTGGAGAGGCCTGAGCGTTGAGAGAAGTCCTTCGGGACTTGCCGCCTGGTCCCCCAATATTGCAAAATTATCTCGTGTCTTTTTCTCTCATTTGCTATGCGGCTCCTCTTTCAGATACCGAACCCTACTCCACGCGAGTCGTGGAAGGAAACACACTCAACACATGGGGATGTCCGTGAGGTAAGGAACCAGCTCCACTTACCAAGCACAAGAGCGAGCCATCTTGGAAGTAAACCCTGCAGCCCAGTCAAGGCTTCAGATGACTGTGGCCCAGTTGACATCTTGAATGCAACTTTTTGAGACCTGAGCCAGAGCTACTCAGCTGAGTGACTCTCAGACTCCTGACCTACTGAAACTGTGTGAAGTATTAAATGTTTTCTTTTAGTTCAAAGCCCTCATGTTTTGGAGTAGTTTGTTACAACACTGAGTAAATAATATAACCCCTATATCACACCACACACAAAATTAATTTAATATGAAATACCCTTAAACATAACACTTAAAAGCATAAATCTTTTAGAGGAAACAGGAAAATATATTTGTGATCTGGGAATAGGCAAAGATTTCTTAGAACACAGAAAGTAATGACAAAGCAAAAGAAAAATAGATACATTAGACTTTATTGAAATTTAAAACAACTGCACATCGAAAGATCATTAATATAATGTATACATAGATCAAATCATCTCATTGTATACTTTAAGTATTTTACATTATTGTCGATTATACCTCCAAGAAGCTGAAGAAAATGGTCATAAAGAAAATGAATAGGCACGCCACTGACTGAAAGAAAAATTTACAAAGATATAAGCAGAAAGGTTTTTTTTTGAGTAATAAGCTCAAAGGTTAAGGGATGTCAATAACTTAGAAAAAGGCATAAGATTAATGGCAACTAAGTAGATCCTAGGAGCTAAAAAAACAAACTACAAGCCCAGCCAATGTGGCTCAATATTGAGGGTCAACCCATGAACCAGGAAGTCACGGTTGGATTTGCACATGCCTGGGTTTGGGGCTCGATCCCCAAGAGGGGATGTGCAGGAGGCAGCCAATCAATGATTCTTCATCATTGATATTTCTATCTCTCTCTCCCTCTCCCTCTCCTTCTCCCTTCCTCTCTGAAATCAATATATATATATATATATATATATATATATATATAGTAGCTGGATTTGTCTAGAGAAACATATATATATGTTTCTATATATTTTTTAAACTGTAGCCGTTATGAGGACCAGCAGTTTTGACAAGAGAAGGGTTGGGACATTACTAGATGAGAGAACAGCAAACACAGAGAAAGGGAACTGGAAGAAATACAATTTTACTGCAGAATAAGGCACAACAAAGAACATATCCAATCCTTGGTAAATGTTTGCTGAATTGATATTAAGTTAGATATAAGACTGGAGAGACTAGTTGAGGACCAATTATATATGGCTTTTAATGACAAACTAAGGAATCCAGCGTTTACTCTCCTCAGAATGGGGACTCCTGAAGGTTCAGAGCAGATGAGCTCTCTAGTACTAATTGTGCTTTAGAAAGAACACTAACACCTCAGTCAGTGCTCATGAATGCTCAGCTTATTAATGAAATTTCTGGGTTTTCGGTATAGTATTATATTTTTTAACTAATCTGTCTCTATTTGCCAGCCCATTGTACAGAAAGCAGAAGGTTTGGCTTCAATGTCAAAATGATACTTCTGTATGACTCTACTCAAAGAACGGAAATATTTGCAAATGCCTTATATTAGATAATTTCATCTTCTGGTCTGGATCCAAGCAAAATTAATTTGGAGTCAACAGTGTTACTACACTAATGATGACCTTAGGCAGACATGCTATTACAACCATGTTAAAACTGAGAAACTGTTAAGTACCTTCTTGTACTCTATCTAGTGAAGACAACCCAAGTTCCACTTAATGTGCCTTATAAGACATTCCATAGCATCAGAAATCTTGTTATATGCAATCTTGTTATCATGAAGTGTAATTTTAAACACAGACCCTAAAACCCAATTTTAAAAAACTATGCTTTATTTTCCAACCACACAATACCCATGCCTGTACTGTAACGAGAGAACCATAGAACTCGAATAAACTTTTTGAAAGTTGAAAAGAATCCAGTAACTCCTACAGAGCAGCATGAACAGTGTCTGAGATGCCACAAGAACCTGTTTTCAATATGTTCCCACCGCATCTTGTAAGTGGAAACACGTACCAGCAAAAGCACCAGTGTCTTGGGTGCTATCACTGGGCAAAGCCCATTCCGCAAGGCTGGGACGAGGGACCTGGGGGTAGGGGGGTGCTGCCTCCGCCCTAACCGGTCCACTCGCACTCGCCCTCCATCCTCCCGCCCGCGCCCCGCGCGCCGGTACTCACAGCTCGGGTCTCATACAGAACCAGCTTCTGGACGGAGCTGATGATGGGGGCGGCGGCCACGGGCATGGTCCCAGCAAATAGGAGCCCCCAGGGCAGGGCACCAGGCCGCAGCCCAGACTGCGGCAGCCTCCGGATCGCCCCAGAAGACCAGAAAGAAGACACCTCGGACCCTAGACACCAGGTCCAGCCGGGAAGAACCCCTCCTGGGCACTAAAGATAAAGATGTATTTGACTGGCTTCAGCTCAGGGTTTCCGGATCCGACGCCCCACCTCCAGGCAAGCCCCGCCCCAGGGCCAGCGGGGCGGGGGTGGAGGCTGTACCATCGGGAGGCGGGCGGCGGTGCCCGGGCCTGCGTGCTGCCGGGGAAGGAGCGAAGGGCGCCGTCTTTGGTGCGGGCGGAAGAAAAAATGGGCGGAGACGGTGCCAAGTTAGTGCAGCCCCTTGTTTGTCTGACCTTCTCTTTGGGAAAAGGGAAGGCTTGGAACTGGGTTGCTTCTTTTGAAGCGCTTCTCCGAGTTGCAGACAGAGCCATTCCCAAGTCGGTCTGTTTTTTTCCGGGTCTACGTCTGCCGTTATGTTCCTGGGAACCTGCTTGGTGATGGTGCTTCGCTGATGTCAGCGTTTCCCCTCACATCCCTTTGTTTCCTGTTTTACCCTCATCGTCCGGAGGGTGCATGCTCCAAGGACTTTTTTTAATCACCTGAAGTTGGCAACGTTGGGCTTGGCCATCTATTTGTGCCGGAGGCTACCCATTTGTAAATTCTGCAAATGGACTGGGAGGTGGAGCGGCGCGGCGCAGGGCAGCACCGCCCTGGGAGCCCCGCCGCTCTGCGTTAAGGTGAGGTTCCTCCCACCTGGTGTGTGTGACCATAAATGGGCAGTGCATGCGCCCTCTCTGGTCATCGCCTTCTAGATTTGCGAAAATATAGTGTGTTGTAATTATGAATACCAATTTAGGTACAAAAGTGAATATTTATAATAAAACAAATTACAGCCGCACCGCCGATGCCCCGCCCCCAAGCCCTGAGCCCTTCCCGCCCCCTCCCAAGCGTCCTTGCGCGCTGCCCCGCCGGGGTTCCCCGGGCAACCGCTCAACAGATCCGAGGGTTCCCGGAGGCGGCTGTAGCCCACAGCGGGGTCCGCTGGGGTCCGTTGCGGCCAGGTAAGTAGGGATGGTAGTTTATTGACCCAATGCATTTTGGTACAGATTGAATGGAAGTCCACCTCCTGCGGGGACCCCAGGCCAGTTATTTTTCTTGCAAAAGTAAACTTCGAAATCTCCACAAATTCCGCTTTTTAAAAATTTTTCCCCTTTCAAAAACTAATGTTTTCATTCAAAAAACATTTACTCAGCACCTACTATGGGAGCATAAGATGAATACTGGAGTGGCAGCTAATCTGGCCTAGGCAGAGTGCGAGGTTTTCCAGGAGTGGGGCCCCGTGTAACCCTCAGGACCCAGTGCTAGAGGGTTTTTCAACTCCTAAAATTGTAAGGACACTTTAAAAATGTACATTGAGTTATAGTGTAAACACATAATGTGATATTAGAAATTATATGATATAATGTGACATTAGAGATCATATAAATTCAAAGTTGAAAAATTACAGAACTTTTAAAATAAATATTTAATCATTTTAAATTTCCTTTCACAGTTTGGTACTCCTACTATTAAGAACTAGATAGGTGACCATGTCAGTTTTGGTATTTTGCATTGACTTGGATCTTTTAACTAGGGAAAAATATTTAGCTCTGTTCCATGTATAATGGAAACCAACACTTCTGAAAATGAGTTAAATATTTGCATAATGTTTTTATTTAGGATAACAACTCTTAAAATATTTGTTGAATTCTGGTTTTCCAATATTTAGTTTTCAATTATCCTATATAATAAAAGCCTGATATGCTAAGTCTCCGGTCGACCAGTTGGCCATTCAACCAATCAAAGTGTAATATGCTCATTATATGTTAAGTCCACTCAACTGCTTGCTATGATGTGCACTGACCACCAGGGGGCAGACGCTCCAACCAGTAGGTTAGTTTGCTGCTGGGGTCCAAGATGGGCTGCACAAGCCCTGGAGCCCTCCCACAGTCCCTCCCTGGCTGGCCAACTGCCCACGTCCCTCCCCAACCCCTATTGTGCACTAGTGGGGTCCCTCGGCCTGGCCTGCACCCTCTCGCAATCTGGGACCCCTCAGGGGATATCGGAGAGCCGGTTTTCTCCTGATGGCAGACTGACCGGTCGCTATGACGTGCACTGACCACCAGGGGGCAGACGCTCAATGCAGGAGCTGCCCCCTGGTGGTCAATGTGCTCCCACAGGGGGAGTGCCACTCAGCACAGCAACAGTGGCGGGAGCCTCTCCTGCCTCCGTGGCAGTGCTAAGGATGTCCAACTGATGGCTAAGGCCCGCTCCCCATGGCAGAGGGAACAGGCTGGGCTGAGGGACCTCCCCCCACCCCCCGCCCGAGTGCACGAATTTCATGCACTGGGCCTCTAGTTATATTATAATTAAGCATTTCCATTTGAACTTTGTCTTAGTTTGATTCAGCCAAAAACAGATCCTGAGACAAAAATTTGAATACAAATAGTTCCTATGGGGAATACTCCCAAAAACAACAGGGAAGTGAAGGAAGCTAATAAAGGGAATATTATCAAACAAATTTCTCTGTGGGCTGAATTCACTGGGGAATTCACATGGATGAATGGATGTCTCAGTTATTTCCTCTTAAGGGGCAAAGGAGCTGGTGTATTCGTTCATCAACCCCCACCAGTTACTGGCTGATTGTTAATCCCCTGGAACTTCCACTCTGCCCTGTGCTCAGGCAGAATAGGTTTTGCCAGCCAAAAAGAGCCATTAGGCAGAGTCACACATGCCAGCCAGCAGTTGGAAGTTGGGCTGGCCATGCATGGAAAAGGTATATGTCAAATAGATATGAACAGGGCAGTAATGACTTCTGCTCTGTTCCAACCTTTGCACCACTCATATCCACTTCTCCCCCATATCCCCAAGTTCACACCATCTGTCACTGATTCTTCAACATGGTGTCTGGTCCCAATTTCTAAAAGAAATGGACTCACAAAAATATGATTAGCAGGACAGACTACAGAATTCACTATTGCAATTAATCCTAAGTCTATGACTAATAATTTATCACTTCCCTCTTCTACCACTCCTTCTAAATTTTCCTTACCCATGGCCAGCATGTCTGCTGGTTCAAATTGTTTTACCAGTAGAGTAACCAGTCTTCATCCCTGAAGAGTATAAACCCCTGGTTATTATGTCCTTGTCAGGTTGTGGGTGGTTGCTACAGTTATCCATTCACTGGCTGTGACAGCATCAAGAGGAGTCTCAGAGAATCCCCTGCATTCAAGACATACATTTCCTGTCCTAATTATGTAGCAGCAGCTCTACCTCCACCAGTGTAATAACTCCTTATCAGGTATGTGGAGCCAAATATAATCAGGTGGCAGCAGCAATTTTAGGTTTAGTGAAACCTAACTAAGTGGGTCCTTTGGAAGAAGCATCTCTCCTCAGTCAAAACCAGGGCTTCCAATCCAGCAGAGCCTCAAGTTGTGAAGAAGGTTGGTGCAAACATCAAGCACAGAGTGATAACAGGGGGAGTCACTCTTACCAAATCCTTGGTCCAAAGCATGTTCCTCATCTTGAAGCACCGTGTCTCAATGCCACACAATCCCATACTGGTGCTTTAGCTGTACCTTTAAGAGGCCATTTTAACAATCTGACAGACCAGCAGCTTCTAGGTGAGGTGGTATGCAGGAGGATCAATGGATCCTCCTTATATCTTCATTACTACAAAGAGGCTCCTTTGATCCAAAGCAGTATTACATGGGATCCCCTGATAAGTGCTACAAATCCAGGCCACAGAAAGTGATGCTGGTCAAGGCACTGCAGGTAGGAAAGGCAAATCAACCATTTGTCACTGAATGGGTGTATCATATTGAGGCTCAGCCTCGGTCTCTGCAGCAGATAGGGAAGACATTCAACAGAAGTACTAGAGGAGCCTGAGAGGGAGCCTTGTTGTTGAGCACATGCGTAGCCTCCATTGCCTCCATCCCTGCCACATGCTTACTCCATGTCTGAGCCCATGCAAGCACTGAGGTGACCAAGGACAAAGACTAGTTGGCATTTACTGGATAATCACCCTGACCACCTGGTTGGTGACTGCCTCTTCTGAGATGGATGCTTTGTGAGAAAGCTCCACATATTTTGTGTTCCTTTGTTTAGTTTTTTATGCAGTATAACAAATTACCACAAATTTAGCATTTTAAAACACGCATTTGCCAGCTGATATGGCTCAGTGGTTGAGCATTAACCTATGAACCAGGAGGTCAGGGTTCAATCCCAGTCAAGGCATATGCCTGGGTTACAGGCTCGATCCCCCCAACAGGGAGCGTGCAGGAGGCAACTAATCAATGATTCACTGTCATCACTGATGTTTCTCTCTCCCTCTCCCTTTCTCTCTGAAATAAATAAAAATACAGTATGTTAAAAAAAAAATACATTTATTATCTCACAGTCTCCATGTTCAGGAGTCCTGGCATGGCTTAGCTAGATCCTCTGCTCAGGGTCTCACAAGACTGCAATCAAAGTGTTGGCTGAGCTGCATTTTTATCTGGAGGTTCAACTAGGGGAGAATCCACTTCCCAGCTCAGTCACATTGTTGGCAAAATTTGTCTCTAGGATTGAGGTCCCAGTTTTCTAACTGACTGGGGGCCAGTGGCTGCACTCAGTTTCTGAAGCCACATACTGTTCCTTGCCATGTGGTCCTTTTATAACTTATTTCTTCAGAGCCAATCAGGAGGTCTCTCTCCAGATCACTAAGATGGAGTCTTCTATAACATGATGTTATGGGAGTGACCTTTTTATTACTTTTGCTATATTTAGAAGCAAGTCACAGACTGCAGTCAGAGGAGGAGAATTATACAAGGGTGTGACTCTTTAGAGGTCCCCTTAGGGCCTAAGGCTTAGGCAGTGGTTCTCAACCTCCTGACCCTTTAAATACAGTTCCTCATGTTGTGACCCAACCATAAAATTATTTTCGTTGCTACTTCATAACTGTAATGTTGCTACTGTTATGAATCGCAATGTAAATATCTGATATGCAGGATGGTCTTAGGCGACCCCTGTGAAAGGGTCGTTCGACCACCAAAGGGATCGCGACCCACAGGTTGAGAACCGCTGCCTTGGAGTGTGATTGCCATACCACTCTCAGTTGTCCATTCACATGCTCTTCCCCCAAACTCCTTTATCTTCTGATCTTGTTCCTTACAGGCCCTTGACCAAGTGAATTAGGACCCACTCCATGTCTCCTAACCAGACGTTAAAGCATGAGTCCTGGGAGAGAGCCCACATGTCAATCAAGTCTTATCCAGTCAACATTCCCCTTCCCAGCACTCTCAGGATCTCGCAGGATGTTTTCCTGGTCTCTACTGGCACATTATAGCCAGGCCCTTCAGCTCTTTAGGTGCCTAATCCCTATTTTTCCTGTATCAGTGCCTCACCAGTTGGACTAGGCCAATGGTCAGCAAACCGTGGCTCGTGAGCCACATGCGGCTCTTCCACAAGATACCACGTGCGGGCACACACGTACAGTGCAATTGAAAGTTCGTGGCCCATGCGCAGAAGTTGGTTTTTGGAAAGGAGATAAATGGAACAAGTATACAAGACAAGTGTGGATGGGAGAGTTGGAAGGGGTCGACCTCAGCGAACGTACCTCAATCAGATTGAGGACGTTTTTAGCAAAGGCCAGCTTAGGAGTACCCTAATTAAGTTAATAACCATGTACCTACGTATATAGTTTAAGTTTAAAAAATGTGGCTCTCAAAAGAAATTTCAATCGCTGTACTGCTGATATTTGGCTCTGTTGACTAATGAGTTTGCCGACCCCTGGGCTAGGCTAACATTTGACCCCAGCTACTGCTCTAGAAGCTATGAGGGAGGGTGAAGGCAAATCTTGGTGGAAGGCAAGCATTGTCTCCTCAGGCATCTCCATTAGGCCAGGCCAGAAGAGCCTGAAATCTTCCAGAAAGGAGGAGGGGCTCCTTCTGTTAACGCAGAGCACTCAGCGGAACCTGGGGATTCAAGGTACTTTTGACATCCACCTAGGTAGCCTCATCCCAGGCCTTAGTATTTAATAGAGTTTTTTTTAATAAATGCACCATCTTTCTAAAAGGTGTAGATGCATTTTCCCCTTTAAAACTACATTTCATGGTAGTATGACTTATATTTTTGGTATAAAAAGCTTAAAATTTCAGCCCTGTCGTTCATGAAGTATTCATCTTAGGTATTTTTAATAAACTAGGAATATTTCTCGCTATGTCTTGTTTCATAATGACATCTTAAAATGATGTTAGTTATATTAAGCCCATTTGGAAATTCTTAACTTCCATAGAGAAGTATAATCAGATTCCATGTACCTGGAAGCATATAATCCCCTCAAATCCATTTTTTTTTTTTCCCTGAACGGTGTCCCAGACCACTCTGACATAGTTTTATTCCATTTTTAAAGTTTGCTTATTAAATTCTTTTATAAGGTTTTGTAATTTTTTCATAAAGGGCCTATCTATCTTTGATTATATTTAACCCTGGTTACTTATATGTTTGCTGTTAAGTCATATTTATTTTTTGTTAAAATTTTCTAGCTGTTTTTTGGTGTATAGAAATGCAACTGAATTTTGCACAATGATTTTGAATCCAGAAAAGTGGATTATCTCATTAACTCTTAAAATTTATCCATGATTGAGTTTTCTGTACAGGTAATCGGATCAACTGAGAATAATTACACATTTTTGTCTTTGTAATGACTTTAAAAAGAACTTCTTAAATATTTAATCATTAAATGTGTTTGTCTTGTTTTCATACTCTTTATCAGTTAGGGAAGTTTCCTTTATTCCTAGTTTATCTTTTATTAATAATTAAAGGGTGTTGAATTGTCCCATACTTTTTCCATTAAGATAATCATATAGTTTTTCTCCCTTATTTTAATGTGATAATTTAATGTTCTCATATTAAACGAGCCTTGAATTCTTGAGGAAAACCCAACTTGATCATGATGTTGTTATCTTTTTTATATATTGCTGGATTCAACTTGCTATTATATTGATTAAGATTTTTAAAATCTTATTCATAAATGAAATTGGCACATAATTATGCTTTTTCACACTGTTCTCTTGTTTAGGTATGGAGGTTATATGAGACCCATAAATTTATGTAGGAAGTCTATACTACCTTTTTTCTGAAAGAGAATCTGTAAGATTGTAAGACACGGAGCTCTTCAACAAAACCATCTCGTTTCTTTGTGGGAAGATTTTTAATTACTGACCCCATTTCCTTAATGGTTAAAGAACCACTTAGGTTTTCCTTTTTCTTTTTTTCCCTTAAGAAACTGATTTTTCTAAGAATTTATCCATTTTGTTTGTTTTAAAATATATTTTGGATAAATGTGTTTATGATATCCTTTTATTATCTACTAGAGGCCTAATGCATGAATTTGTGCACAGGTGGGGTCCCTCGGCCTGGCCAGTGATCAAGGCCTATTGGGGGGCCAGTTGGCTGGGAGGGGAGGGACTGCAGGAAGTTGGCCAGCCAGCCAGTTGTTCAGTCATATGACGTGCACTGACCACCAGGGGGCAGACGCTCAATGCAGGAGCCGCCCCCTGGTGGTTAGTGCATCCCACAGTCCCTCTCCCTGGACCCCTATTATTATTTTAATAGATGAGTTTAACTTATTTGCAATTATTAGCAAAAGCCATGTATTTAGTGGTATGAAACGGCTTCTGGGCTAAGTAAATTTATATGGTGTTTTAGTTTTCCCTAGCCTACCTACTTATTCCAACTAAATTAGGCACTTTAACAATCTTACTCTTTCTTATTGCAGTATTTTTTATTATGACTTTTCAAGAGAAGATAGAAGAACATCCTTTTGTGGATATATTTAATGAAGATGAAGCTGACAAACACTTTATGTTATCTAAACCTGTTTGCTTTGTTGTATTTGGGAAACCAGTAAGTTATCTCTTCTAACTTATTTGGTGTAATTTTAAAAAACACTTTATTGAAGGATAATAAGCATACAGAAAATGACGCATAGATGTACATCTGGGTGCATTTGCATGGACTGCACACACTCAGATAGAGGCACTGAACATGACAGCACTCCAGACCGTCACACTCTCTCCCTAAACACCGCCCTAGAGTATCTAACAACTTAGTTAATTTGGCCAGTTTTTGTTCTGTGTTTTTTTTCCATTTCTAAATAATTTTTATTTTTCAATTACAGTTGACATACATTATTATATTAGGTTCAGGTGTACACCCCAGTGATTAGACATTACATAACTTACTAAGTGATCATCCCGATAAATCTAGTACCTATCTCACACCATACATAGTTATTAGAATATTATGGATTATATTCCCTATGCTGTACTTTACATCCCCATAACTATGCTCTAAGGACCAATTTGTACTTCTGTTTTTAAATTGAATTTATTAGCGTCACATTGGTTAATTAAGTTATATAGGTTTAAGGTGTACAATTCTATAATACATCATCTGTATATTATATTATTTTCACCACCCCATATCATGTCTGTTCCCAACACCATTTATTCCTCCTTTACCCTCTTCTGCCCCCTCTACCCCTAATTTGCTCTGGTAATGACAATACTGTTGTCTGTCTATGAGTTTTTGTGGTTTTGTGGGGGTTTTGGTGGGTTTTTTTTTGCTTAATCCTTTCACCTTTTTCACCCAGCCTCCTTACCTCCTCCCTTCTGACATCTATGAGTCTGTTTCTATTTTGTTTGTTAGTTTATTTTGTTCATTAGATTCCACAAATTAGTGAGATCACATGGTATTTGTCTTTCTCTGACTGGCTTCTTTCAGTCAGCATAATACTCCCCAGGTCCATCCATGCTTTTGCAAAAGGTAAGATTTCCTTCTTTTTTAAGAAGTATTTATTTAGTATACTTTTTTAGTTTTTAAAGTCATAATCTTATGACTCTTATGTTACCAAATAAGAATGAAAATCACATAGTGTACTAATTTTTTTTTTGAGTGTTAGATTTCATTGTATGACTTAAAACCTGATACAATATTGGTTGTAAATGTATAACTTTCTCTCTTCTTGTGTATTATAATTGGAAAGGAACCTACATTATCTTTGGTTTTGTATTATGAAGAATTTAACTCCTCAAAGCACTGTACAATGACAAGTGTTAGCTATATGTGATCCAAGGTTACATCAGACTCAATCTGCATATAAAACTTCCAGTGGAATTTGTTGTGAGCTTCTCTGGGTATGTGAAGGGGGGACAATATTAGGACAAATGGGAAGTTCTCCCATTAATATCTGAAGCTACTGGGAGGCAAGGTGCCTCATCTTGGCCCATAATGTGTCAGTGGACCTATGCATTGTCTTTCCACAAAACAGGAAGGACCCAAAAATGGCTGTCATAAGACAGCTTGCCTTTCTAGGCAGCTCCAGTAAGGCCCTCTAGATGAGAGCTCTTTGCAACCACAGAGCTAGTTGGTAGTCACCATTAGGGGCCAGAGCTGGTTAGAGCCTCTTCAGAACAGCAGAGACCAAAGGCTGGATCCTGCTTTTTAACCTAAAGTTATACGGATCCTAGGACAGATACCAAGAAATGGTTCTAATAATTTTATTATGTTCTAAAAACATAACAGAGTTTAAAAATCAACAATGAAAGTAATCAGATGCAGCTGTTACTTCATTAACGTGATCTTTTATCTTAGAGTGTGATACTTTAAGATATTCATTAAGAAGGACTTTTTTCGCCCTAGCTGCTTTGGCTCAGTGGATAGAGCGTCAGCCTGCAGACTAGAAGGTCCCAGGTTCGATTTGGGCACATCCCCAATAGGAGGTGTGCAGGAGGCAGCTGATCGATGTTTCTCTCCCATAGATGTTTCTAACGCTATCCCTCTCTGTAAAAAATCAATAAAATATATTTTTAAAAAAAGGACTTTTTTCTATTGGGAGTTACTAAATAAAAGTCTTATGAAGTCCAAGTCTTGTAAGACATGGAGCTCTTCAACAAAACCATCTGGTTTCTTTGTGGAAAGATTTTTAATTACTGACCCCATTTCCTTAATGGTTAAAGAACCACTTAGGTTTTCCTTCTTTTTCCTTAAGAAACTGATTTTTCTAAGAATTTATCCATTTTGTTTGTTTTAAAATATATTTTGGATAAATGTGTTTATGATATCCTTTTATTATCTACTAGAGGCCTGATGCACGAATTTGTGCACAGGTGGGGTCCCTCGGCCTGGCCAGTGATCAAGGCCTATTGGGGAGCCAGCCGGCTGGGGGTGGTGAGGGAGGGACTGCAGGAAGTTGTCCATAAACAAGTCATGATTATGAACTTTAAGAAGGAACTAAAATGATGAATCTCAATATAATCACAATGATTTGACATTCAAAAGTGTTTACTACATGGAATATTATTTTGGTACAGTTTCCTGATTTTTCGGGTATACTCTTCATTTATTTTGGAAAATAGTTCACTTGATAATAGTAACTGTCAATAGAATCTTTTAAAATAAGAATATCTGTTCCACTGGCAAATAGCTATTTTATTGGGTTTTAAATAATCTTTCTTTTTAAGGGTGTTGGGAAGACAACATTAGCCCGTCAAATAGCACACGAATGGAAATGTATTCGTGTAGAAGGTAAATTTTACTCCCCTCCCCCCCAATATTTTAGTATAATAACTTTCAAATATTATACAATGAACACTCATATAACCTATCTATCGTCTGTGACTAACATTTTGCTTTATCACACATCACTATCAACCCAGTGAATTATCTTTTTATAATAGCGTCAAACATGTTTTGCCCTTTGGTAAGTCCTAGTTTTGTTCATAAAATTTAGGAGGGTTTGTGAAGGGTCTTTGACTCCATTCTGTCGCCTCCAGTTCTCTGGTTTCACCATTTAGAGCTGTTGAGGGTATGTGTCTCTGGAGTGTCTTCCTATGAAACATGAACAGAGAAGAAACTCTCACAACTGCTCTTGGGAATATTTCCCAGCACTTCATTATCTTCAGTGATAAATTTATTTTTTATTATTTATACATTGACTTACATTCTTTGCAATATATAAGGCAAGGATTGATGTCTTTATATATAAATTTTCTGATAATCAATACAACTACTTAGGGCCTCTTTGAAAAACAATTCATAAAGGTAGAAACAATAGGTAAATATAAGAAAAAAAGAGTTTAACCTCATTGTTATTCAAAGAAATGCTAATTTAAATAACACCGATCCATATTTGCCTATCAAGTTGGCAGTAAATTTTTAAAGTTTCTACAGTCATTGTTTGCAAGAATTTATGAAATGAGCATTCCATGGGCTGTTAGTGAAATTGCAATTGAATACACGTTTGGAGGGAAACAATTCAATAAATATACACACAAAAACTTTAAAAAAATAAAATAAAATTTCCTTTTTGATCAAAAAATTCATTTGTAGGAAATCTTAAAGAATATCAAGTGTTCCATAGGTTATTAGCCACTAGGGACATAGTATAGCTCCTGGTCCTCCCCTGTCATTTCTATCCCAGGACATTTTCCAGCAAGAGATGGAATATTTCCTCTTAAAAAGGAAACACTTGCCCAGCTGGTGTTGCTCAGTGGTTAAGCATCGACTCATAAACCAAGAGGTCACAGGTTCAATTCCTGGTCTGGTCACATGCCTGGGCTGCAGGCTCGATCCCAAGTAGATGGTGTGCAGGAGGGTAGCTGATTGATGTTTCTCTCTATCCCTCTCCCTTTCTCTCTCTAGAATCAATAAAAACATTTAAAAAAAAAAAAAAAAGGAAACACATTATTCAAATTTCAGCTTTAGGACCCTTTTTCTATCTGTTTTTATCTATTTTATAATTTCTTGATGCATATTTCCCTTTTTTACAACCAGCATACAAAATTAATGGGCTCTGGATATAACGGTATGGTTATAAGTAATATAGTCCAGATACTTTTGTGCAATACTTCACCATTTCCAAATCATTATCACATACACAGCCTCATCTCACGCTCATATTCTCTCGCACATTATACAGGGCATAAGCGCCCGGGGCATGGCGGTGTTTAGGAAGTTAGCTTCCCCAAGGTGGCAGAGATGGGCTCTCCGTGGAAAATACTCTGCTGCTTCTACGCTTGTGTGTAAACATGCTTTGTACCCTCTAAAGTGATACACAAATGTTCATCTTTGTTACCAGTTACAAAACACACAAATGTGTTTCTTAATTTGACAATTCTAATACCACTTTGTGCTAATATTTTGAATTCTTATTTCAGCTCTAACAATTTTGGAAGAACATATTGCCAATGAAACCGAAGCAGGGGTTATGGTAAACAAATCTAAATTTCAAAGTTATTATTTTTTTAAAGCACTGTATCACAGGTATATTATACAATAATGTAAAATATCTGTGCTTTTCTTAGTTGCAATCGATGCTGATGAGTGGTCAAAGCATTCCAGATGAACTTGTCATAAAGCTAATGTTGGAGAAGCTCAACTCCCTAGAAATCTCTCACTTTGGTATGTTTATTTCTGTGCATGGGTGGTTATCAGAGCAGCCTTAAAACTGTGCTTTTCCCAGCCAGTGTGGTCCAGTGGTTGAGCATGGGCCCATGAACCAGGAGGTCTGCTGGCTTCATCCCCAGTAGGGGGCGTGCAGGAGGCAGCCCATCGATGTTTCTCTCTCATCAATATCTCTACCTCTCTATCCTTCTCCTTCCTCTCTTTAAAAATTAATAAAAATATATTTTTTAAAAAATGCTCTGTCTGAGCAGAAGTAATTTCTGGAGTTGCTCTTTCTTTTGCCCTGGCACAGGTCCTAGAGCCTGAATTCAGTCCAGCACTTCAGATAGTTTTGCTTATTTACTTGTTTTATTTTTTTATACTCTCCTTTTGTGTGAATTAACTTTACATGATCCAATCTTCTTTTAGCATTGTGTTTTTCAGCAAAAGCTTCAAAAAGCTGCTGTGATCCTCCTCGCAGTGCTGACAGCTTCTGCTGACTGCTTTCCCATTCACCCTGAGTTTGATTACTAAGTCCTGTCAATCGGTTATTTAGGTTTCTCCGTATTAATCCACACTTCTCAGGCAGGAACGGAAACGAGAATAGCCCCAGCTTGTCCTCTGGCTCTAGTTATTGTCAGGCTTCAGTCTGCTCACCCAGCTTACCCCCTGACTGTGGACCCGAGAAGTCTCCCTGCATTCCAACAGGTTGCTGACTAGGAGCTTTGGAATTGTCTGATGGGAGGGGTGAGCTGGGCCAGGCTTGAATTCAGTTTAGGGTTGGGCAAGCTGCCCCATTCACCACAGCACCCACCTTTGTGATGTGTCAGACCTGGACGTTAACACGTCCAGAGGAGGCACTGGTCAAAGCCTTGAAAACAAGTTCAAAAGAAGTTGTTAATCAAGTGAGGACTAGATTAACGACAGGAGCCAGACCAAACTAGGGGAGTGCTGAGACAGGAAAGCAAAAAAGGCACAACAGCAGGAGGAGGCAAGCAGAGAAAGACCCGGCTCGGCTCCAGTTCCTGAGAAGGCGCGGCTGCATGCATGGCTGTATTTTTGCAGTGGTGCCTTGGGCTCGCTTGAAGAGCCTCCAATAGAATGAATGCCTCGGGATGCCACTCCTCCTGCAGAGTGTTTCAAAGATAACAGCAGGAACAAATAAGGAAGCGAAAGCCAAGCTGGAAACTAAGGATTATAGTAAAACAGGAGAGAATCATGGTAACACTCACATATCCAAACCCAAGATAACAGATCTCCCTTTCTGCTTAGGGTTGCTTCTCTGGACAGCGTCCAACGCATAGAGGCAAAAAGTAAAGTGAGAAAGTATAGGAGAAACTGACATATTTAATGAGGTTTTGGATTACCATGAGAGTTGTTGATCTGATTTTTTTTAAAATAAAAGATTGTGATCGATATCTTCTTAAGTGGGGATTTTGAGGTTGGCTTATGAGACACATTTATTCATCTACCAACAGATGCTTAGTAGCTTTTTTTATTACACTACTCTAGGCATTGTATAGGATAGCAGTTCTCAAGATTCCATTACACTTATGAGAATTGTTGAGGCTCCAAAGGAGCTTTTACTTATGGGTTATGTCTATCGGTATTTACCATATTAGAAATTAAAACTAGAACATGTTTAAAATATTTAAAAAACAGTTCCATGTTAACATAAATAGCATATTTTATAAACATAATTTTATTATTCAAAGCACAATATTTAGTGATATTTTATTTTTTGCAAATTTCTTTAGTGTCTGGCTTAAGAGAAGACCTAGCTGAATTCTCACATCTGCTTTTGCTTAGTTTGTTGCAATATATTGTTTTTGTTGAAGTACATGAAGAAAATTCAGTTTCACACAATGGTAATTGGAAAAGGAAGGGTATTTTAATGGTCTTTAGGATAATTGTGGATATTCTTGATCTTACACCAAAACTTGATAAGGAGCCCTGACCAGTTTCTCAATGGTTAGAGCATTGGCCTGTGGACCCGAAGGGTCTCAGATTTGATTCCCTGTCAAGGGCAGTACCTCTGTTGCAGGTTCCATCCCCTGCATTAGTGTTCATCAGAAATTAGATGACATTTTGTAAAGCAATAATAATAATTCCATGCTCTCACATGGGTAATATAACACTTTAAAAATTATATTTTACTCTACAGGTTATATTATCACTGAACTACCAACACTTCCACAGGATGCCATGACTACTTTGCAGCAAATAACCTTAATTAAAAATCTAGATTTGAAACCTGATATTATAATCAATATTAAGGTAAGAAGTTTTCTAGTATAGTTAACCATTCTTTTTGATGGAAGTGAAGTTAAAGGACTGTTTATAAAAATTTTAAGTAATTAGGGAAATACTAATTTATGCATCAGTCATAGGGACTGAGCTATACACTCTTAAACCTCTGTGCTTTTGCACCCGCAGCTCTATCCACAGTGGACACCTCCTTGTCTCTTGTCATCCTTTGAAAGTCAGTCAGATATCATCTCTTCAGGACTTTCCCCCAGGGTGACCCCCTATATACCAACACACCCATTAACTAATTCATTCTCTCTCCCCACATCCCCAACACATTACTACAGGAAAGTTAAATACATCTCTGATGACCATTCACATTAATCTCATCTCTCTATCACATTACCTCACTATATTGTCATTGACTATTTTCCTTCTGGACTCGGCCTTACTTGAAGGCAGGAGCCATGTCTTACATAAACTAGCTCAATATCTGGCACCTAGTTGACACCGAATACATTTTCTAGTTAAATAAAATAAAAGAACAAACAAATGATTTGGACACATGAATGTTAAAGAAGTAGATTGATTAAGAATCAAGGCTGGCTCCTGTTCCCAATTCTCTCCTCTCTCATTGGAAAGCACATTTAGGAACCTCAGTTCCTCTTTACAAAGATGATGATAACTGCCTCATGAGGTTCTGATAAGAATACAGTGAGGTGAGGACTACTTGTTTATATAAAAATGAATGATGCCCTAGCTGGTTTGGCTCAGTGGATAGAGCATCGGCCTTCGGACTGAAGGGTCCAAGGTTCGATTCCAGTCAAAGCCACATGCCTGGGTTGTGGGCTTGGTCCCCAGTGGGGGGCGTGCAGGAGGCAGCCGGTCAATGACTCTCTCTCATCGTTGATGTTTCTGTCTCTCTCTCCCTCTCTCTCTGAAATCAATAGAAATATATATATTTTTTAAAAAGAAAAGAAAATGAATGATAAGCTTTTGTATTCATACCCTGCCTGATTCTCCAAAAGGCTTGACAGCTCAAAATAAATTAGATGGTTCTTAGCTCAGGTGTTGGGACCCAGTGGTGTGTGGAGGTCAGCGTGAGAGAGATGTGGCATTGCAGTGCTGAGCACACAGCCCCCTCCACAGGTCATGGTCAGAGACCAATCGAAATCCCTGTGATCTTGAGACTGTCACATACGTGAATGTGTGTAATAGAGAGAAGAAAAGATCTCAAACAATTAACTGAAGCCAAATATAATGTCTAAGCCATGGAAAAGATAGATTGTATAGGAATTTTAAAACGTGGTGGAACAAGAGCACAAAGGCTATAGTGCCAGATGCTTACTAAATTTCGAGCATCAATTTGGTTCTAAGTTTGATGAGCCAGAGTAGAAGGGGAAGTGTGGCGAGTTACATAAAATTTACATTGACCATGAAAAGACAAGCAAGCCATTCCCCAGGGAAAACGAGTCCTATTAAAAAGGAGAGAAATATCTTACATGGATCTTACTGTAAGGATTGTTAATGCAGAGGATGAAGTCCTGAACCCCATTTATAAGTGTGATAGTGAGTGCCCATGGCAGTTTCTGCAGTGCAATCAGAGGGCCGAATGTGAGACCGAACTCAGTACAACACACAGTACATGATGGTTTAGTCCAGTGGTTCTCAACCTTCCTAATGCTGCGACCCTTTAATACAGTTCCTCATGTTGTGGTGACCCCCAACCATAAAATTATTTTCGTTGCTACTTCATCACTGTAATTTGGCTACTGTTATGAATCATAATGTAAATATCTGATATGCAGGATGTATTTTCATTGTTACAAATTGAACATAATTAAAGCATAGTGATTAATCACAAAAACAGTATGTAATTATATATGTGTTTTCCGATGGTCTTCGGCGACCCCTGTGAAAGGGTCGTTCGACCCCCAAAGGGGTCGCGACCCACAGGTTGGTGACCCACAGGTTGAGAACCGCTGGTTTAGTCTTATTTGGGGACAAAACCTGGAATTTCTAGAGCAGAAGTTCTTAGCCTGGGATCCATAATTCCTTCAGCATTTATGAACCTCCTGAAATTATGTACAAAATTTTATATGTATGTGCATTTTTATGAAATAAATGCCTATGTCTTTCATCATATTCTATAGAGTCTGTAATACAAAATATATATATATATGGTTAAGGGCCAGTGATCTCCTGCAGCAGTGGTTCTCACAGTATGGTTTCCAAACCAACTGCATCAGCAGCACTCAGAAGCTTGTTAGAAGTGCATATTCCTGCTGTATACCTGAAACTAATATAAAATAATATTGAATGTCAACTGTAATTGAAAATTCAAAAAAAAAAGAAAGAAATCAAATTCTGTGGCCCCACCTCCAAACTACGAGTCAAAAACTCTGGGGATGGCCTCCAGCTATCTGTTGAAAAGTCCTTTAGGTGACCTCTGAAGTTTGAGGACCACTGCTCAGAGGCATGTCCTTCGGACTGACCCCCTTGTTAATCAGTTTCTACAAGTGAAAACAGGAGACAGCTCAAGACAATAGTCTTTGTCAAGGACCCGCAATGTGGGGTATTCTGCGTTGTTGAATAAGAGCATAAACATTTTAAAAATTACCTGAATGGGTTGAGATTTTTTTGTGAAAGATGTGGAAGCCTAAATAGAAGTCTTGCCTCAATAAACAGCCCTCCCATTGCCACATGGCGGCCTGAAGAAATCAGAAAATGAGCAAGGAAGGTCCTAAAGTTTCTTGCCTTCTTTGTTTCTCAAAGATGTGGTACATGAACTGTCACATGAGAGTCAGTGAGAATGCTTGTTAGAATGTCTAAGCCTCACTCCAGACTTAAATCACACAAGGGAGCAGGAATGTCTATTTACAGTTCCCTATATACAGTTACACCATAATGTTTGAGACCACAATGATAAACCATCATCCAGAGTTTTTTATCCTAAAAATTATTTGGAGCAGGATAGGTAGCCCTAACCCCCATTATCATTATTAGTGTGCCACGGAACGTGGGCTGTGGGCCAGAAGCCTGGCTCCAGGTTGTGGTTTGCCCTCATGACATTGTGATCTGAGACCACAGTCAACCTGCCAGTGCATTTCTTCTCTGATCAGCAGAATGGCTTTCATCGTAACATGGGATTGCTTCTCTTACACGATTAGTTTGAGAATTGAGTCAAATATTACACATGTGAAAGCACTTTGAGAGAAGGAAATTACGTATAGACTTTGGTTTTGGTTTGTTTCTCTTTACTATCCAGACTCAGTTTTCTCATTTACAAAATGAAAAGTTTGGACTAGAATAAATAACCTTTCAGGCCCCATTGATGATTGGTATTTTATGAAATACTTCACCCATAAAACTGTAAATATTGTCAATGCACAGTATACCTTTTAGTTGAAAATATGTAGATATTCCCCCATTTTTCTCCATTCTCATCCTTTTCTTAACTTTTTTCAACTTGACATTTAATATCATTTTCTACTAGTGGCCCGGTGCACAAATTTGTGCACATTGAAAGGAAATTAATTAGAAGAAATATTTTAATATCTCTATTCACCCTTTCTCTATAACAGAAGTGTCAACCAAATTCACAATCAACAATGACAGATCAAAACACACACGTGCAATTGGCGCCAGAGAGAGCTTTAAATATATAGATAAACTTGCTTAATTAGACCTGCTTTCTGATTTAGCTAAACTTTTTCCAGCCCAGTGAAGCACCCCAACTTCTCTTTCAGGTAATTGTCAGCAACACAGCAGTAAATATCAACACAAAGCAGATTATTATTGTAAATCACGCAGGGAGAACAAAGGGCAAAATATTTAACTATAACAGTGTTTGATTATATTCTGCACAGTGAGAAAACCTGAAGTCATTTTCAAGGTCCACCATTTCTTACTTTTCAGTCGGGTCAAGTTTCTAAGCTTTCTAATTCTCCGTTTTCTAGCTAATGAAAAGAAAATAGGATTCTACCAAGTCTCCTATCTACCTACTCCAGGATTTCTGTGGGGATCAAATGAGATGAAGCACGGAAAAATGCTTCACAGACATTTGGTTAAAGTGTAAAATGTTTGTACCTGGCTATAAAGCAAGTCAGGTTCTTGGGCTAAAGAAACTCCAAGGAGGCTAGTCACTAGGGAGAGGAAGCTGGACGTTGCTACATGATGTCATTACCCAGTGCCCACAGTGACTGTTTCCCGGCTGGGCTGGGCTGTGGGCCACATTTTGTGCCATGGAGTCTTGGCAGCGTTGGCTGCGATTTGGTGGGATGCCACTCTGGGGTGGTGGCAGGGACAGTGTCCCACTTGGGGGAAGCCGAGTGTTGCTTTGTGGGCACCAGGTCCATGGTGCTTTTTCTCTGTAAATGGCCAGTGCGTGTCACAGCAGCTCCTGCTTTGAACGTCTGCCCCCTGGTGGTCAGTGCGTGTCATAGTGACCAGTCGAATGGTCGGACACTTAGCATATTAGCCTTTTATATATATAGATTAGTTTCAGGTGTCCAGCATAGTGGTTAGACATTTATACAATTTATGAAATGATCTCTCCAATAAGTCTAGTACCCACCTGACATCATACATAGTTATTACAATATTATTAACTATATTCCCTATGCTGCACCTTACATCCCTGTGACTGGTTTGTAACTACCAATTTGCACTTCTTACTCCCTTCATCTTTTTCGCCCAACCCCCCCAACTCCTCTCCCTTCTAGCAACCATCAGTTTGTTCTCTGTATCTATGAGTCTGTTTCTGTTTAGTTTGTTTGTTTTGGTCTTTTGATTCCACATATAAGTGAAATCATATGGTATTTGTCATTCTCTGTTACTTCTTTCACTTAGCATAATATCCTCTAAGTCAGCGGTTCTCAACCTTGGCTGCACATTAGAATCACCTGGGAATCTTTTTTTAAATCCTGATTTCTGGGCCTCATCCTCCGGAAATTCTCTTTCTTTGTTACTAATGTTGTGGCCTCACCCCATAACAAAGAAACAGAATTTCCGGAGGATGAGGCCCAGAAATCAGGATTTTTAAAAGATTCTCAGGTGATTCTAATGTGCAGCCAGGGTTGAGAACCACTGCTCTAAGTTCTTCCATGTTGTTGCAAATGATAAGATTTCATTCTTTTTTATGGCTGAATAATATTCCTACACACACACACACACACACACACACACATACCACATCTTCTTTCCTTATGAAATTAATTTGACAGAATCTTCCTGTGCAGGCTCAACTGACTTTCTACTGTATTTCTCTAACTCTTTTTGCTGTTTGTCTAACCCTCTTTTTTTATCTTAAAACTTCTGATGTTTATTACATATATTAATTTTGGATAAAGAAAATTGTTGATGGGGGAGGGTTGGGAGAGGTCAATGGAGGAAAAAGGAGGCGTGTAATACTTTCAACAATAAAAATTTTTTTAAAAAAAGAACAAAAAACAAACAAAAAATGTTGACATACCATAAAGGTTGTTTATATAATGAAACCTGACACAAAATAACACTTAAAATACTACATTTGCTTGGGGTTTTAAAGAATTTTTTGGTTTATGTATTGCATAATATGTGAATAGGAAGTAGAAGCATATTCAACATGTTTTAAATGATTACTAATGTTCCTTAGTGCCCTGACTATGATTTATGCCAAAAAGTTTCTGGGCAAAGGCAGCACAGTACTACCGGGTACATTTACACAAGAGAGCAGTGGGATCCGGAAGTCATTGAGAATCGAAGGAAAAAAAAGAAAGAAGCCCATAAAGAAGGAAGAGGAGAAGAGGAAGGGGAAGAAGAGGAAGAGCAAGAAGAAGAAGAGGTAATATCCCGGTACCATATACTGTACTTTTTAACATTCATGAGAATTACATTAAATGGTCGCATGGCTAACAGAAAATAGCAGATATTATATAAAATAATAATAGGATAATAAGTATGATATTGAACATTTTCAGGTCTTGGGCTGAGAACTTTTACATGTGTTCTTCCCGCTGCCTTGAAATATGATTTTCCAGAAATCTGTGTGGCTCTCTCCCTCATTTCCTTCTGGGTTCTACTCAACTATTACTTCTTCAAGGAACTCTTCCATGACCACCTGATTAAAATAGCACCTTCTCCCATTAGTCTCCCTTCCCTCTATCCTGTATTATCTTTCTTCCTCGTACTGAACACCACCTAACCTGTTATATGTTAATTTGTCTACTTGTTTATGCTCTTTATGCCCCAACTGGAATGCATGGTCCATTATCCCCAGCGACTTAGTTGGTTTTATTCACTTTAGTATTTCAAGTTCCAAGAGCTGCTTGCACATAGTGGGCACCCGATCAGTCTTTACTGAATGAGTGAATGAATGAACTAGTAGCTCAGGTTTTCGGAGGAAATCTAATTTCTTTATTTTGTCTCTAAAAAGATGATGTTCTTTCCCTGCTGTTCCATACTCATTGAGAAGTACAAAGACATTACTAAATACCAAAGTCAACCTCAAGTTTTATTCCATCTGATAAGGGACCCATACGGTGTTTAATCTCTGTTAAATAAAAATCCTCAGACTTTAATTTTCCCTTCTGTCTGCTTCTCACACCAAAATGGCATCTAGATGTAAGGAGGGAGGGATGTGGCTTATAAATTAAATAATCATTAACATAAAGATATTTAAAATCTTTTATTTTCCATTTAGGCATTTATTGCCGAAATGCAGGTGGTGGCTGAAATTCTTCAACATTTAGTTCAGAGGCCAGAGGATTATATGGAAAATATTGAGAACATCGTTAAACTTTATAAGGATATGATTCTTCATGCTTTAGAAGTAAGAACAAGATATATTGCTAAAAATGGGAATATAGATATTTGTATTCTATCACTAGTTAAATAGCTCTCACACTTATTCACCCCCACATGTCATCTTTCTGGTTCTCCTCCACTTGAATTTGGTAGAATGCTATTAGAATAAGGCTTCCTTCCCAAAGGCTGTTTCACAAAACAATATTATTTTACTCTTACAAAGCATCAGTGTTGCTGAAACATGGTAAATGAACTGCATTTTTTCAAAAGTTATTAGGGGATTCATATATGGTTGGAGATTGGAAAACCCATGCTAACAGACTATTTTTGTGAAATCATTTTCCATCTGTAATTTATGGGTTTGTCAAAACAAATGTACACTTAAGGTACATCTTTTATTCTAAAGTTTATTTAAATTGCAATCTAAAGAAGCATTACCCCCAGATTGGTTTCTGTGAGTATCCTATTCAAAGTTGGTTATATGTAAACATGATAAAGCCATCATTTTTGTAATTATTTAGCATTAAAAATATGATTACTAAGATTACAATTATGTGAAAAACATATTTTATAGGCCAAAAACCCAGGGGAGATAGCCAAATTGTGTTGAAAATTTATTCAACAAGAATAAATTTATTAAACTTGGGTATTTGGCTAGACATCATGCTAAGCAACAACAAAAATAAATAAAAAACAAGTCTTCAAGTTGCCTCTTCCCATCGGATAGAGAAACTAAAATAATTTGTTTTATGCTGTTTTATACTCTTCATATATTTTAAAGACAAATATGTGGATCATTTTAATTCTCATGATCTACCCCCCAAAATGAGAAATTTAATTGTTTCTCCTGTATATCTTTTATTCCTCTCCTCCTCCTCTCTGTCCATGGCCTTTATTATTATTATTTTTTTTTTTTTTTGTCCATGGCCTTTAAACTTAGCTTCTTAACAGCCATTTACATATCTATGTGTAATATTCTTTCCTCCTGCGTAGTCCTTAGCACATTGCAGGCGGATCACAAGCATTCTCGTGTTTTCATATGACACAGTGTTTTACATAAAGGTTAAAGGCACGTCTTAAAATTAAATACCCATTGCATTTTGAAGTTATTTATTACATGTTGTTACAAGCTAATTTCTTTTTAAAGTATGATACTTTGTAAAACGTTTTTTGTACTCATTCAATAGAAACTTATCTGGCCGCTGAGTAAAGCTAGCAATAAAACTACTGGTGCACAATGTGTTAAGTGAAATAAAGTATAATTAAAATCAGATTCAGAAAATTAGAAAACTGTATTTACAGAGGAAAATAAGCAGAGCTAGTCTCTTCAAGGGTTGGGACAAGGTCTTACATACTAGCATCCCCGATGCCCAGTGCAGTGCCCAAAGAATGGCAAGTGGTAAATGCTTAACACATGTTCAGCCAAACAAGTGATGAGATCACAAAGGGAAAAAATGATAGCTTCAATTTCATTACATGTAAGACTTCGAGAAATAAAAAAATTAAAAACCTTACTCAAAAGATAACCTGGAAATATACCCACATCAATTATGAAAAAGTCATAGAAATGATTTTTCTTAACCTGTAAGTTCTCACCCTTCTGAGATAAATAGACCACAAATATGAGCAGACAGTTCACAAAAATGAAAGACAAAAGAGTAACAGGCCTTTCAAAATTTTTTAGCTTCTCTGAGTATGAAGAAATGCTAATCTGAATAATGAAGTATCATTTTCATGATCAAATTTTAGAAGATGAACAAGGAATAAGACTTCCTAATGCTAGTGAGAATATGGTAAAGCAAACACCCATACCCTGCTGAAAGGAATAGAAGTCAGTATGGTCATTTTGAATAGCTTGAGCACTGACAACAACATACATTATGTCATGTGTGACACAATTTAGACTTCAAGATTTCCTCATAGAATATTAAGATTCTGCTCTTGTATTCAGTTTTCCCAATGATCCTAGATTATAAGGTTTCTTTTCTATTATCTGTAGGAAATAATGGCTGAACACAATCCCCAGTATTTCATTGAGCTTGATGGAAATAAGCCCCCAGAGGACCTCTTTAATGTGAGTGCAATTTTTAATAAAAATATCCCACAGTTTAGAAAATCAAAAAGTTGTTGACTGGCTTGTACTTATTTTAACAAACATCAGAAAGATATTTACATGTTTAACCATTTATTGTTTGAAACATTTATTTTGACACTTAAAAATTTGGTGTTGTATTTATTCATTTTGTTTATATTAAAATCAAAACTACACTTAAATCTAAAATCTCTGTATGGCAAAAATTGCCTCAAAGAAAAGTTAAAGCAAATAGCAGCAATAAGCTCATGATGATGCTCAACATGAGTCATTAGAGAAATGCAAAACAAAGCCATAATGAAATACCATTTCACACCCACTGAGACAGCTGAAATTAAAAAACAACAACAAAAACAGGCACTAACCAGTGTTGGCAAGGTTGTGGGAAGATTGGAACCCTCATACATTGCTGTTGGGGTTGTAAATTGGTGTGGCAGAAGGGCAGAAGCTAGTCTGGTGAGAGATAATCTGAAATTATTTGAAAATTGAAAGTCTAAGGATGAGCAGCTGGAAGGATGGATTTGACGTTACTGAGAGGGGAAGACTGGGAGGAGTGCGTTTGAGTTAGAGTGGGTGTGTGTAGTGGGTCATGAGTTTTATCTTGCATGTTTAAAACTGAGGTGACTATTAGATATCTGTGAGATAATAGAAAATATATATGGGTCTCTGCACAGAGACCAAATATATATGGTTCCTGGCACAGAGTTCCCAAATGCTTGTAGTTTCCTAAGAGATAAGAGCACTAGAAGCATCTTTGATTCTTTTGAGGTGACTCCAAGTCAGCTCCTGGATGGCCTCTGGATGGTGGATGGGCACCTGAAGGACTAGTTTGTTAAAGGACATGATAAAGGATACAGATGAACGGCCAGATGAAGAGATACATAGGGTGGGGTCTGAGAGGGTCCCGGAGCTTCTGTCCCCGTGGAGTTGGGGGGTGTCAACCTCCTGGTGTAGACATGCTCGCCAACCTGGAAGCCCAGGCCTCATACTGTTGGGATTTGATGGAGGCTTTTTTGCATAGGCATGACTAATTAATAGCTCTGTTTTAGCCCATCTCCCTTCTCTGGAGGGTAAGGGATGAGCTGAAAATTCCAAGCTGCTCTTACCTTTCTCTCACATCCTACATTCAATCCATCAAGCATCCACAGCAGGCTTCTGCTTCAAAATGTATTCAAAATTTGAGTACTTTTTGCGACACACTTTCCTCAATTCGAAGGCAGAAACTCCAGTAGGTCTGGTTGAAACTTGCCAAGCCTGTTAAGGCCCCATTTGGCATGGGACCCTAGCCCTTCTGCCCACATTCCACTGGCCAAAACAAGTTCCATGGAGAAGCTCAACACCAATGGGATAGGGAGTGTCCTTTATCCAACATGAACTAGGGAACAAGCAAGGGAAGGGAGGGGAGGGTGAACTGTGAACTCACAATACAATCTACCACAGATTACCATGTACCATCAGGACTTTGTCTACCTCACCCTCTCTCATCTCAGACTCTATGTTTCAAATTCTTCCACCGAGTGTCTGTATTAGTTGCTTAGTGCCGCCATAACAAAGTACCATAAACTAGGTGGTTTAAAATGACAGGAATTTATTCTCTCAGAGTTCCAGAGGCCAGAAGTCCAAAATCAGCATGTTGGCAGGGTCATGCTCCCTCCAAAGCCTCTAGTGGAGGATCCATCCTTGCCTCTTCTGCCTTCTGGTAGCCCCAGGCCTCCCTTGGCTTGTGGCAGCATAACTCCAACGTCTGCTTCTGTCTTCACATGGCTGTCTTCCCTCCGCCCGAAGAAGTCCCGTAGAGCTAGACCTCTAAGGACATGAATATTTGAGGACCAGAGGGAGGACTGTTATGGGTTGAATTGTGTCCCCCCAAAAAGATATGTTGAGGTCTTAACCTCATATGAATGTGACTTTATTTGGAAATAGGATCTTTTCAGATATAATCAAGTTAAGATGGGGTCATACTGAAGTGCAGTGAGCCCTATTGCAATGTGACTGGTGTCCTTATAAGAGAAGAGACTCAGACACACAGGGAGAAGTTGGCTATGTGACAACAAAGGCAGGGATTGGAGTGATGCATCTATAAGCCAAGGAGCACCATAGATTACCAGCAAACAACCAGAAGCTAGGAAGAAGCAAGGATGTATTCTACTCATGAGCTCGTCACTTTTTCAGAATATTTGAAATCCTCAAATGCCAGTTTGAACAATGTATTTAAAGATCTGTTCCTTCAATTTAGACGGTCATAGAGCGACTTAAATATCTGAACCTAAGAAGAGCAGCTGTTTTAACTAAACTTCAGAGTGCAGAGGAAGAACTGAATGATGCAATGGACAATGTAAGTTATTTTTAACTGTTTGAAAGTGAACCTTCTTACTATATTTTGTTACCTTAATTTGTATCCAAGGTTTAAAAGGAGTTTCGGAATGCCTCTTCTAAAAATGAATTTGATTTCTGGGAAGAAGCTGTAATATTATCACAATATTCTTATAGACACCAAACACAACAAAAGTTATGAAACAAAGAAAAACAATAAAAGCAGAACAACCAAATCACAGGAATAATGAGAAAGAAGAAACCAAGTTCACTTTTAAAATTTTGCAGCACCAGAGAAAGCAGAGACATAAAAGCCCTGAACTCTATAAGCACTCATTCATTTCTTCAATCATTCAACCAGCATTTTGGAATAATTGCTGTGTTCCAGGTACTGATGTACTGTGCATATGATGGTGATCAAATTATAAATTCTAAGTGCTAAGGGGGCCACAGGGCTTTAACTGGAGATTTAATCCTACTGGAAAGTTCAGTTTCCCCTATATGAATGGAAATTAAAAAACAAAACACCTGAATTTTAAATAGATGATATAATTCAAATAAAGCAATCTTTGAAGGAAAGTCCTTATGTTATCCTGTGACATGTAATCCCTAGATCTTCACGGGTAAACATAGCTGGAATATGTGCTGGGACTTCGGTAAACAAACTGGTGCTGAAAGGGAAGACAGGGCCTGAGGAGCACAGAGGCTGTGTTCTGAGCTCCCTCTTTGAGGTCATCAATGAAGGAAAAATTTAAAGGACCCATAAAACTGGAAGAATTTCCCAGCCGGAAAGGTTGTCCTTAGAAATTATTGCCTAAGTTTATAGTTCATATGATATATGACTAAGGATGCCTGCCCTCTCTTTCACAAAAGGGCAGAAGTTGTGACTGTGTACAATGGAGTCACTATTTATATGCCTCAAGCCGTGTTTCTCCCTGGCAGTCCAGACCACCTCCAAAGAGTCACCTGGGAAGCTTATCGCAAATACAGATTCCGGAGGCCCACATCCCAGAATGACTGAACCAGAATGTCTGTCTGTCTAGGTGGGAACTGGGAATGTATTTTTACAACATCCAGAGAAGATGTCTATCCCCGCTTAAGTTTGAGGAACCCCACTTTAAAGTTTGGGACACTCAAGAACCCTGGCTTATCATGCTTGATAAATCTTGAAGTTTCTGCACGTTTTGAAGGACTTTAGATGGATGCCCTTCAGCTAAAGGCAGGTGAACTTTAGAAAATCAATATAAAGGAGTTGGATATAAAGGACTTAAATCTCCAAAGGTGATTTATAAATGGCTAATAAACACACGAATAGACTCTCAAATCACTAGTCATTAGGGAAATACAAATCAAAACTCCAAGATTACCACCATTAAGTATTAAAAAGTACATATATGTATGTGTGTCCAAGAAATGGAAAATAACAAGTATTGTCAAGGATGGTGCAGCTCCTGTGTAAAACAGTTTGGCATTTTCTCAAAATATTAAACATAAATTTACCCTAAGAACCAGAAATTTTACTCCTGTGGATGTACCCAAAAGAAGTGAAAGCAAGGACTCAAACAGGTGTTTGTACACCAATATTCAGAGCAAATAGCAAGGAGGTGAAACAACCCAGATGTCTATCAATGGACATGTGGCTAAACAAAGTGTGGTATGTAGACACAATGGAATATTATTCAGTCTTAAAAGGAAATTAAATTCTGATACATGCTAAAACATCGATGAACCTTGAAAACATTTGTGCTGGCAAAATGAGCCAGAAACAGAAGACAGATACTGTGTAATTACTCTTGGGCACCTACCAGTGGTTGGCAAACTGCGGCTCGGCAAACCGTGGGTCGCGAGCCACATGAGGCTCTATGGCCCCTCGAGTGTGGCTCTTCCACAAAATACCGACTTCTGCGCATGGGCCATGAAGTTTCAATCGCACTGTAGGTGCGTGCCTGCACATGGTATTTTGTGGAAGAACCACACTCAAGGGGCCACAGAGCCGCATGTGGCTCGCGAGCCGTGGTTTGCTGACCACGGACCTAGACTAGCAAATTCAAAGGGGCAGGACGTAAAACAGAGATTGCGAGGGGCTGCGGGGAGAAGGAGAAGGGGAAATTACTGTTTAACAGGTGCCGAGTTTCTGTTTGGGTTTTTGAAAAAGCTCTGGAAATGGAGAGTGGTGATAGTTGCACAACATTTTGAGTGTATTTAATGACACTGCATTGTACACTTAATATGGTAAAAATGGTAAATTTTAGGTTATATATGATTTACCACAGTTAAAAAAAATTTTTTAAACCAAAAACATCCTTGCAGATTCTACTGTGCAGCCAGGGATGGGAACCACTGGCATAAAGGGGTGAGAGGCACAGGACCTCAGTGTGAACTGGCACCTGCTGGCGAAGAGTGTGAGGGCTGAAATGTTTGATGCGCTGTGAGAGAGGAGTGGGGTGGGGTTGGGGGTGGGCGTGAGAGTTTGTGGTGGGAGGAAGGGCAGGGCAGGCTGGCATCTGGCACAGTAGACAGTGACAGGACCGGTTTTCAAATCAGACAGATTTGGATTCCAGATCGACAGCCTACCAGCCTGTGACTTTGCTTAACCTTACCTTTTGTTCAATTGTTTGAAAAAGGGGGGCTATCCCCTACCACATGGTGTCATTATAAGTATTATATAAAATGACGCTTGTAAAATGCCTAAAACCAACAGTAATACTCAAAATAGCTAACATCTATATTGAAGGGGCAAGGCTGGCTTCGTGGGCTAGCGACCTGTGCGGTCACATGAGCCCCATGCTTAGAAGGGCCCCACAATTAGTTTAATGCTGAGCTGTCAGTCTTGAAATGTTTAATCACTTTAGAACAAAGGCTCTGCATTTTTATTTTGTGCTGGGCCCAGCAGGTTAGCTGAGCTGTGCAGGGTCATTCCCCCAATCACAGCAGAGCTGGCAGCAGCGCTGAAGAGCCGCGGCTGTGCCAGGCATTAACCGGGCAGCTGCTGGATCATGGCAGGGTCCAGAGGTTCCACAGCTAGAGGCTCAGGAGGCGAGCTTGAGTGTAGTGGCTGTAACTGTTGACTTTCCTGTGCCTCCTCTCACCATGGCTGGGTCTGGGGTCCCTCTTACAAGATCCTCTGGCCGAGTCTCTCCAAATATGAAGCCTCTGGTTGCAGGAGAGGTGGTGGTGGTGGGGCTGAGGGACAGAGTTGGCTGACTCAGAGTGAGATGGAGAGTGGCGTTGGCCACTAGCACCTCCTTTTAAAGATCTGCGGCCAGTCTCCCTATCTTCTGCTGTCCATTCCCCGTCTTCGGAGGTGCCTAGTGTCAACAGGTCATGAGCTTCTGGAGGATTCTGAAGAGTGAATGAACTGGATCCTTGTTGTCCCCACCCCCACCCCTCCCACACACACCCATCCCTGTCGCCACACTGAGCCTTTAGCTTTTTCTGATCTAAGTCAGCGACCACTCATCCATCTGCTTTCTAGCTACAAAAATGTGAGGCCGTGGAGGGTCAGCTATCACTTCCCCTGGTCTCTTCTCCCAGTCGGTGTCCTCGTGAGTTTATTCCTGTGTTCATTCCCCTGCTGTCATTTTCACGAGGCTTTAGGGAAGCATCAAGCACAAATGCATGTTATCTGCCTTGTTAAGCAGAGGGAGTCTGATAGTGTTTAAGACTCTAACATCCAGCTTATTTGAAAGCTCATCTTCTGGTAGCCCCTCAGCACCTGTACACACGTGGCTTCAGAAACATGGTCGGCTATTAAAACATTTTTCCCAAGTTGGGACAGGAAATAAGGATGATAAGGAAAGAGTGACTGCCTCCTGACTGGTCCGAGTACATCTCAGTCCCTAGCTCATCTGTGGATTCCGTGGAGAAGGGGCGGGGAGAGGGAGGGCCACCAACAAGGTTCTCAGTGTCATGTAGCTCCCCTATGCATTGGCAGTTTCCTTTGTCCTTAGCTACTTCTCCAAGCCTTCAGGTGGGGACACTCATGCAACATATCTGTACTGTGCCTGCTTCTCTGCCCTGGGATGCGGCAGTGGTCCAGGCAAGACCATAGCTCCCACTCTCATCTATCCTCCACAGTCAACTCTGGAGCAAGCAGCTAGTGTTCGATCCACATCTGAAGGTGGGAGGGAGCCAACGTGGACCCTGTCACCCTTGGCAGTTGCCCACCATGCCTTCTCTCCCCAGTTGTCTTGTCCCTGCTAAGGTAGCCCAAGGACAGTGAACCTTTCAGTAATCTGCAGCCTGTAGAGAAGTAGTTAACTTCTCTGGAGATCATCAACAGAAAGAATTGCTGAGGGCAACTTTACATTCTAGGAAGAGCTAAATAAATGCAAAAATAATTTGTATATAGCATCTTACTATTTAAAAACTTAGGTAAATTGACTAAGAATTTGGTACATTTTCAAATCTTTTCAATAATTTTTTCAGTATCTGTTTTCTGAAATCATAGAAAACGCTCTAGCTAGCTTATGCTCATTCTACCTTATAAGAGAAAATGCTCAGTAAAATTCAAACAAGGTCTTATAACAGAAATGAAAACTATATGCCTATTAAATTTTGGACAAGTACAGAATGGTTGCAATGAAGAAAAAAAGCCAAAATTTGCCTTCTAAATTTTTTCTTAGAAAGTTACAGCACTATCAAATAAGAAATAAAATAATGCCATTAATTTCAGCAAAACTTATGCCCACATATTTAATGTTTTTAATGTTTGTTTTTAATAGGATGAGCTGTTTCGTACTCTTGCATCTTATAAACTTATTGCACCAAGATATAGATGGCAGAGAAGCAGATGGGGACGCTCATGTCCTGTGACTTTAAAAGAAGGTAACATTTATCCAGGAATGGCTGACTTTTCTGTAAGGTAAGTAATAATTTTCAGAACTTAATTTCAAAACTTCCCCATATCTCTTTTCAGTTGTTTATGATTGTGGTATATTTTAAGTTTTCTAGGTAAAATGTACTGTCTGGCATCAGAAGAAACATTAAGAGCATTTTTATTGAACCCACGCCCCTATCTTCTTCCACCAATGCCTGCACCACCATTCAAAGTATTTGTATTTGGACCTCCATCTTCAGGGAAAACAACACTTTGCAATTTGCTTGCAGAACATTACAAAGGAAAGGTAGCTACTTAATCTAGCTAGCTGGCTAGCTTTCTACCTATTTAAACTTGATTATAATTTGTAGGATTTGTGAATTTGTAGGATTTGTACTGACTTTTCTTAATTTTACGCTGTCATTTGGGTCATTGTCCTTTGGGCTTGGAGTGGGAAAGGCATCCCCCTTGCTGTTCATTGTCGCTTCCAGACCATAGCCCCTCCCTGCTCCCCCAAAGCCCCAGATTTGACTGTTATGTCATACAGATGACACCACCCATTACCTCTCCTGGTTCCACGGGTCTCCTGGGTTATACCCCTCCTGCTCACCGTGGAGTGAATATGTGGACAGTTCTCTCCAACGTACTCACTCCTGTCATCATTCTTGGTGGTTTCAGTAATTACTAGGATGACCCTCCCAGCTCCCTGGCCTGCCAACTGCTTGACCTCCCCCCTCAGTGGCCTTGTTCTCCACATTCAGTAACTGAAGAGAAGTTGTGTTTAGCGTGGACCAGAGAGATAGCAGTGGAGGTAGGAAGAAGTGAGCAGATTTGGGATGTGATGTGAAGACAGAGCCAAAGCATTTGAGGAGGGATTGGTGTGTAGAGGAATGCTATGAAAGCCAGCATGGCGAGAGCATAGGGCGTGAAAGGAGGAGTGGCCCAAGATGAAGGTGGCTGAAGATGTAGTCAGAGCTATGCAGGGCCTAGGAAGGAGTCTGAATTTACTTTGAGTCCTGTTGAGTTCTTTTAAACACAGGGGTAACGTTTTCTCTTTGCTTTGAACTGTTTTATTGTAAAATATAACAAGCATACAGAAAAGTTGAAACTCACTGAACTATCACAAAACAAACCCCCATAGAGCCACCACCCAGGTCAAATAGAGAATGTTGCCAGCATCCCTGAAGGCCCCTCATGCCTCTTCCCAACACCAGTCCTCTTACTCCTCCACAAAGGGAACCTCTGCCCGGAACTTTATAGTGTTCACTTCGGTGCTTTTCTTTTATGGTTTTACCATGTAACTATATGTCCACATACCATAGGTTATTTTTACATGTGTTTCTTTATGGATGTAAACAGTTAATGTTATTTGTGCCTGGTTTCTTTTACTTAACGTTATGATTGTGATATGTACTGCATCTTATTTATGCATGGTGTTGCATATAGCTATATATTTTTTATTTTTATTGTTTTACTAGAGGCCCAGTGTATGAAATTCATGCACTTGGTGGTGGTGGTGGGGGGGGTCCCTCAGCCCAGCCTGCACCCGGCCTAAGCCGTCAGTCGGACATCTTTAGTGCTACTGCAGAGGCGGGAGAAGCTCCCACCACTGCTGATGCACTTGCCAGCTGTGAGCCCAGCTTCTGGCTGAGCAGCGCTCCCACTGTGGGAGTGCACTGACCACCAGGGGGCAGCTCCTGCGTTGAGCATCTGCCCCCTGGTGGTTAGTGCACATCATAGAAACAGGTTGTTCCGCCTTCGGGCCAAAACTGGCTCTCTGACACCCCCCAAGGGCTCCTTGATTGCTAGAGAGCACAGGCCAGGCCAAGGGACCCCACCGGTGCATGATCGGGGCCGGGGAGGGATGCGGGAGGTTAGCCAGCCAGGAGGGACCGCAGGAGGGCTCCAGGGCATGTCCAGCCCATCTTGCTCAGTCCCGATCAGCTGGACCCCAGCAGCAAGCTAACCTACCACCTGGTGGTCAGTGCATGTCATAGCGACTGGTTGACCAGTCAACTGTCTGCCCCCTGGTGGTCAGTGCATGTCATAGCAAGCAGTTGAGTGGCCTTAGTATATCATTAATATATTACACTTTGATTGGTTGAATGGCCAACTGGACGACTGGACACTTAGCATATTAGGCTTTTATTATATAGGATTGTATTATATTGATTGAATTATATTACAATTTGTTTATGCAGTTGAGTGTTAATAAAACTTGGGTTAACTCCAGTTTGGGGTATTAGGAATAATATTGCTCTAAACATTCTTATGCTTGTCTGTTAGTGTACACGTGCATATCTTTATATATTTTGGAGCTATATCTAGGGGTAAAATTTCTGGGACATGGGGATGTATGAATATATTCACTTTGTATAGGTAATGCCAACTGTTTTCCAAATTAGTTTTGCCAATTTATAATCCTGTCGGCAGTGTATGAGAGTTCTGTTAGTCCACATTCCTGCCAACTTTTGTTAGGTGCAGTCTTTCTAACTTTAGGCATTTTAACAGGTGTTTCTCACTGTGGTTTTAATTTGCACTTCTTTAATGACTTCTCTCATGTTTATTGACCATTCATATATTCTTTTTTAAAAGTATTTTTTCAAGTCTCTTGCCCATTTAAAAATTTTTTTGCATATTATCAGTAGGAGTTCCTTATATTGTCTAGATACAAGTCCTTTTTCTTTTTTATTGAATGTATTGGAGTTACATCAGTTAATAAAATTACATAGATTTAAGGTGCACAATTTCATAATACATCATTTGTATATTGTGTTGTGTGTTGACCATACAATTTTTTTTTCTTAATCTTCACCCAAGGACATGGTCAGAGAGAGAAAGAGAAGTAGAGAGGGAGGGAGGGAAGGAGGGAGGGAGGTAGAGAGGAAGGAGGGAGGGAGAGAGAAAACATCAATTGCTTGCCCTCTGTACATGCCCCCACTGGGAATCAAACCTGCAACCCAGGTATGTGCCCTGCCTGGGAATCAAACCAGTAACCTTTCAGTGCACAGGACGATGCTAAATCAACTGAACCACTTCTGCCTGGCTACAAGTTCTTTTTTTATTATAAGCATTATGGGTGTGTCCTATCATTGTGGTTTGGCCTTTCACTGCTTTAATGAAAAATGCATCATACTCTTTCATTTAAAGCTAGTCATTAAGTCCTGCCTACATGGAATGTGAGGGGAATTAGATTCCACCTTCTGTGGGGAGGAGTATTAAAGGATTTGTGGACATGTTTTAAAACCATCACAGTGTGTATCAGACAAAGGAATTACAATTTTAAAATATAAAGAGTTCTTAAAAATCAATATACAGAGGAAGCCGCAATGGAAAAAATATATAGCCAACAGACAATTTACAAAATAGATACAAATAGCCCTTAAGCGGAGAGATGACAAAAAACTAGAGATATGTCATGTCAGCTGTTAGAGTTGAAAGATCACTATTAACGACCCATTTGTGATTAGGATGGGGAAAAGTACGTTCTCATACACTGCTGCTAAGGGTCTAACCATTAGAGATGGTGATGGAAATATGTATAAAAGCCTAAAATCCATGCAGATCCTTTGAACTGTCAATTCTATTTTATAGAAACTATCAAAGAGATATACATAAGCCCTAGCCGGTTTGACTCACTGAATAGAGCGTCGGCCTGGGGACTGAAGGGTCCCAGGTTCGATTCCGGTCAAGGGCATGTACCTTGGTTGCAGGCACATCCCCAGTAGGGGGTGTGCAGGAGGCAGCTGATCGATGCTTCTCTCTCATCGATGTTTCTAACTCTCTATCCCTCTCCCTTCTTCTCTGTAAAAAAAATCAATAAAATATATATATATATTTTAAAAGAGTTATACGTAAGTATATTCATCATAGCCTAGTTTATAATATAAAAAACATATATACTTAAGTACATATTATTGGTATTTTAGTTAAATAACTTGTAATATATTTAGCTAATACAGTACTGCACATCCACTAAAAGTAATAGTATGAATGTATATTTATTGGTATGGAATAAAATAATATAAGATATTGAAGGAAAAGCAAAATGGAATCTAGAGGTATGAAAATATTATTTAAATTTAAAAGGCACGTAGAAATCTACTTGTAACAGTTAAATATGAAGAATATTACCTACCTGACGAAAGACTTACGTTCAGAATATATATAAAATTTTAATCCAATTTTTTAAATGGGCCAAAGTTGACACATGCTTAAAAAAAGAAGGTGAGTTACCAAGAAGTGCTAAAAAAGAAGCTCAAAATTACTAATGAGTGAGGCAATGTAAATTTAAACTACATCAAAGCCCTTCTTCAGACCCACTAGAATGGTTAAAATTTAAAAGATTCACAAACCAAGTGTTGGTGAGGATGTAGAGTAAATGCAACTTTCACACATTGCTGATAGGAATGCAAACTAGTTCGGCCACTCTGGAAACAGTTTAATTGCTAATTATAAAGTCAAATATATGCTTACCATATGACCCAGTAATTCCACTCCTAGATATTTACCCCAGGGAAATGAACACATGTGTTCACAAAAAGACTTCTTCAGAAATGTTCATTACAGTTTTACTGATAATAGCCAAAAAGTGGAAACCACCCAAATGTCCATCAATAGATGAACTAAAAAAAAAGATATATTCTTACAGTGATACCACTCAGCAATAAAACTGACAGATTATTGACATATACAATTATACTGATGAATCTCAAAAACATTACGATAAAGGGGAAAAGCTTGGAAAAGATTACGTAGTAACTTATAAGGAAGCATGAGGGCACTTTGGAGGCGATATAAATGTTCTTATCTTGATTGTGGTTGTTGTTATGTAAACTCATCAAGCTGCATACTTAAAATGGTTACCTTTTATTATATGTAAATTATACAAAGTTGACTTTTAAAATATATGTAACTTGAAGATATATTACATGATGCATTCATAAATAGATATATAGTCCTACATGAAAAATATGACTGAATTTCTATGAAAGCAAGTGTTGAAAAATAAATGAATTCTGAAAATAACAAAGCTCAAGTAGCATTAAAGATTTGTAAGCTAGCCCTGGCTGGTGTGGCTCAGCTGGTTGAGTGTAGTTCCAAACACCAAAGGGTTGCCAGTTTGATTCCCAGTCAGAGCACATGCCCAGGTTGCTGGTTCGATCCCCTGTCAGGGTGCATACAGAGGTAACTGATCAATGTTTCTCTCTCACATCAATATTTCTCTCTCCCTCTCCCTTCCTCTCCTTCTAAAAATAATCAATAAAAAAACATATTTCAAAAAATAATATTAAGAAAAAGATTTTTAGGGTAGATAGGTAAAGATATAGAAATAGACACAGATACAGATACAGATACATAGATATAGATATATAGATGATATAGATATAGGTATAGATATAGCTATAGATATAGATATATACTTATAGATGAACAATGTGTAACTGTGCTTATGTTGGTTTTCTCAAATATTCTTTGCAGGTAGTTGACTATGCCAAACTTGTTCAGCCACGTTTTGATAAAGCCCTTGATACGTTAAAAAAAAATACTATAGCTGAGGCCACTCAAGAAGCTATTAAGACTGTGAGAGAACGGCTTCTCACAGAAGCAGAAAATAAAAAACAAGGTGATCTGTCTTTTTTATTTTTTATTATTATTTTTTTTAAATTAAATCTTTACTGTTCGGATTATTACAGTTGTTCCTCTTTTTTCCCCCCATAGCTCCCCTCCACCCGTTTCCCACCCCACCCTCCGCCCTCACCCCCCACCCCCACTGTCCTCATCCATAGGTGCACGATTTTTGTTCAGTCTCTTCCCGCATGTTCCACACGCCTTCCCCCCCCCCAAGAATAGTCAGTCCACTCCCTTTCTATGCCCCTGATTCTATTATAATCACCAGTTTATTCTGTTCATCAGATTATTTATTCACTTGATTTTTAGATTCACTTGTTGATAGATGTGTATTTGTTGTTCATAATTTGTATCTTTACCTTTTTCTTCTTCTTCCTCTTCTTAAAGGATACCTTTCAGCATTTCATATAATACTGGTTTGGTGGTGATGAACTCCTTTAGCTTTTTCTTATCTGTGAAGCTCTTTATCTGGCCTTCAATTCTGAATGATAGCTTTGCTGGATAAAGTAATCTTGGTTGTAGGTTCTTGGCATTCATCACTTTGAATATTTCTTGCCACTCCCTTCTGGCCTGCATAGTTTCTGTTGAGAAATCAGCTGACAATTGTATGGGTACTCCCTTGTAGGTAACTGACTGTCCTTCTCTTGCTGCTTTTAAGATTCTCTGTCTTTTGCTTTTGGCATTTATTTATAATGTGTCTTGGTGTGGTCCTCTTTGGATTCCTTTTGTTTGGGGTTCTCTGCACTTCCTGGAGTTGTAAGTCTATTTCTTTCACCAGGTAGGGGAAGTTTTCTGTCATTATTTCTTCAAATAGGTTTTCAATATCTTGCTCTCTCTCTTCTTCTGGCACCCCTAGAATTCGGATGTTGGTACGCTTAAAGCTGTCCCAGAGGCTCCTTACACTATCTTCATATTTTTGGATTCTTTTTTCATTTTGCTTTTCCGGTTGGGTGTTTTTGCTCCTTCGTATTTCAAATCTTTGACTTGATTCTTGTGATCCTCTAGTCTGCTGCTGTAACTCTGCATAATATCCTTTATTTCAGTCAGTGTATGCTTAATTTCTAGTTGGTCCTTTTTCATAACCTCGAGGGTCTCACTAGATTTCTTGAAGGTCTCACTACATTTACCGGCAGTCTCACCAGACTTTTTGAGAGTCTTACCAAATTTATCGGCGGTTTCTAGAAAGTTCTTGAAAAACCTTAAGAGTGTGGTTTTGAACTCTATATCCAGTACTTTGCTTTCCTCCATTTCTGTCATTTGTGTCCTGTTTCTTTGTCTCCGCATTTTTTATGCTTTCCTGTGTTGATAGAGTGGCTTTCTGTGCTAGGTGTCCTATAGGGCTCAGTGGCTCAGCCTCCCCAGTTACCTGAGGTGGACACTCTTGGTGCACCCCTTTGTGGGCTTTGTGCACATTCTTGTTGTAGTTAAGCCTTGATTGTTGTAGGTATCACTGGGAGGAATTGACCTGCAGGCCAATTGGCTGTGAGAATCAGCTGTGTCTATGGTGGGAGAACTTCTGTGCTGAAGACACCCTTCTGGGGCAAGACTTGCTTCAGTGGGGCTTTGGTGCTCACTGAGTCTGCCCCCTGAGTGTGTCCTTTATGGATCCGAGGAGCTGCAATCTGGATGGTCCCACTCTGACCACTGAGTACACTGGCTCCTGGATCTCTAAGGAGGTGCTAATCTAGCCTCTGCCTGAGGCTACCCAGCAGGAGCTCAGCTGTGAAGCAATGCAAGTTGCCCTGGGGCCTTGGGCCAGCTGCAGTTTGTTAGGTAATTTTCCCATTGCAAAGGGCCAGGCCTTTCATATGCAAAAGCTGACACACAGCTTGGGTGAGGCGGGGGTCCCAGGGGATCAACAGGGCAGAGCAAGCAGCTATGCCTGCCCTCAGAGCCCCGCTTCTCAGTGTCCCGGCAATCACTGCAAGCACCTCCGAGAGAAAGCTACCCTCGAGTTCCGACCAATCCCAGACAGTCCAGTTTCTCCCATATGAGTCTGGGTCCCCAGAGACTCACCCAGAACTGGAGCTCAGAGCTTGAGACTCCCTACCCATTGAAAAAGACAACCATGTCCTCAGCGGCTAGCCCTCTCCACATGTACCTCCGTACCTCTGTACTTTACTTCCGCACCGCACCTCCTCTGAGTCTTGGTATGCTTTTCTCTTTCCTTCTAGTTGTAGAATTTCCACTCAGCCAGCCTTCCTGTGGTTCTGGATGATTTCCGTTTTGTCTTTTAGTTGTTTTTTTGAAGTGGTTGTGTGAGGCAGCAATTTCTGGTGTTTACCTATGCCGCCATCTTGGTTTCTCCTCTGATCTGTCTTTTTTAAATGTGTTTTTTAAGGTTGGGTTAACAATTAAGCCTGGTTACCTGCTGGCAAGGACTTGGTTTTCTCATCTTGATATCTCTGGTACCTTACACCTTAATAAGTGGTTGAATAAATGAGTCTACATCAACTTGATTCATAAACAGAAAAGATTTCAATTCTAGACTTCTAAGGAAAGGAAACAGAAAGAGCTTCCAGATTTAGATTGCATTGCTTTTATGACTCTGCCTGCTGGCCAGAGACTGAGCATAATTTATACCTTTATCTACACCAGTCATGACACCACCCTCCACCTGACTCATGGAGTTTGAGTTGTTGCTGCTATCATTGCTGTTTTAGGCTTGTATGTTAGCTCTGATTATAAATCAGATTGTCCTATTTGGGAACTATTAATTTTAAATTCAAAAGGCCATAAAGCAGTGAAACTAAAAGAAGCCTTAAGATCAATTAACGTAACTTTACAGATGAGAAAACTGAGATGGTTAAAGGTTAAATGGCTTCCTGAAACTCACCCAGATAGTAGCATAGCTGAGACTTAAACCCTGCTTCCCAAAGTTCCAGTGTTCTTTCTCCTGACCATCTGCTTCTTCCTATACCTCACTTCTTATTATATATTTAAGAATAGACACAAGGTTTGGGGTTTTTTATTTTCTTTTTTTATATATATTTTATTGATTTTTTACAGAGAGGAGGGGAGAGGGATAGAGAGTTAGAAACATCAATGAGAGAGAAACATCGATCAGCTGCCTCCTGCATACTCCTCACTGGGGATATGCCCGCAACCAAGGTACATGCCCTTTACCGGAATCGAACCTGGGACCCTTCAGTCCGCAGGCCGATGGTCTATCCACTGAGCCAAACCAGTTAGGGCGGGGTTTTTTATTTTCTGTTTTTCTTAAGGAAGAATGAGATTTTTCATTTCATGGCTCTTTTTGAAATTCATTGATTGGTTTTGGTAGAATTTATGTCTATAGGTGGCACCCTTATAATTAGTCACATTGGAACACATGGAAGTTGCTTAATATCTAAACATCTCACTTAGTGGAATACCCACAATGCAGCACTTGCTATATAATACGTGGGATATTTCTCACTTTCAAAGACCTGGAAACAAAATTTGAGATTAGCTCCAGTGTTTTAGACTAAATTTAGCCACCACTGTTTGGATTTCCAGAAGCTGTGGCAATGTACTGTACTCTAGTAGAGCCATCACTGCCTCGATTCCAAATATTCTTTTTCTAATAAAGTTTTTCTCATTACAAAAGTCATATCGGATCTTATTTATTGGGCATTTTCTGTACATTGAGGCTATGCTCAATGCATTGCATGCATTCCCCTACTTAATTCTCATAACAGGCCTATGAGGTAGGTATTTTTATCTCCACTTTCAGTACATGAAGAACCTAAGGATTAGGGGGGTTAAGGTATTTGCCCACAGTTGACAGCCAGCAAGTGATTGGGATTCAGATCTACTGGGATTCAAATCAAATTTGTGCTCCTATCCTCTGTGTCTCTCAAGGGCTCGCAGAAAACTGGAAAGAGCAGTGATACCCCAGAGCTATCCTGTTAAGAATTGGATGCATTCTTTTATTTTTAAATATATTTTATTGATTTTTTTACAGAGAGGGAGGGAGAGGGATAGTTAGAAACATCGATGAGAGAGAAACATCGATCAGCTGCCTCCTGCACACTCCCCACTGGGGATGTGCCCGCAACCAAGGTATATGCCCTTGACCAGAATCGAACCTGGGACCCTTGAGTCCGCAGGCCGATGCTCTATCCACTGAGCCAAACCGGTTAGGGCTGGATACATTCTTTAGCCTTCTCTTTTTTCTATCCATATTGCTAATAATTAATTGTGATTCTATGGTATATGTAAAATTGCATTCTTTAAAAATAATTCTTTCTAATTAATATGTAATTATTATAATAAATTATATGTTAGATGAAGATTTAAGTTAATTATTTCCAGATGGTGGTGGGCCAATTTTATAAATAACATTTACTAAATTATGCATATTTTTACTACAGATTTGAAATGCCATCTTATTAATATTAAGCTCATTGTAAAATTCTGAATTTTCTATTCTTTTCCTCTTTCTATTACAACCTTTAATATAGAATATAGTTATTAAAACTTTATGACGCATTTTAATCTAGAAATATAAGTTTCTCCTCAAAACATTTTGTTTTGAAATTATTCCTGGGTATTCTTTCACTTATTCCATAAAATGAGTGCTTAGTGTGTGCCAGGCTTTGGGATATATGTAGAATTTTGTCAAGTTCTACAACAAATCCCAGTGGAAGAAATTGTTTTCCATTAAACAATAATCTGACAATAATTAGCATCTTTATTAGTAAATCTTCTCATAGAGACAGATGAAATATCTTTTTTGTCTAATATTTGTATCCTTCTTTAATAAAAATATACACTTTTCTTAATTTTATTCCTAGATATTTTGTTACTATTGAATGAGATAATTTTTCTATTCATTTTCTAGTTCATTACTACCAGTATATTAGAAAACGTTTAACATTTGTTTGTAACTGCCCACCTTATTAAATTTACTTGCTGGTTCTTATAGATTTTTTAGTGGAGTCTCTGGAGTTTTGCAAATAATCAGTTATATCATTTAGAGAAGAGGTATAGTTTCAACTCCTCCTTTCCTGTTATTCGTGCTTATTTCCTTTCTTGACTAATTATGTGCTAGGAATTCTAGAAGGATGTTATTAAATAGTGGGAGTGACAGAGGGCCTCTTCAAATGGGTCCTTTCCAGTGTTTCTTCCTAAGGTTATTAAGTATTTTCATCTGGAATGGATGTTGATTACCAAGTGCCTTCTTGGCATCTATCAAGGTAATCATGAAGTTTTTAATCTTTTGACCTATTGATTTCTCAATTATGCTAATGTATTTTCCAACATTAAACCATTCTGATAGTTCTGAAATAAACCTTACTTGGTCATGGTATATTATTCTTACAAGATATTTTTTCTCTTGATTTTTAATCTAGGATATTTTTTCTACACTTACAAGTGTGGTTGTATATAACATTTTCTTTTTTGTGTGCTCTATTTTCAGATTTTACTATCAAGGTTTCAGTAGCTTTTTAGATAAATTGAGAAGTTTCCCATCATTTTTATGCTTGAAACGATTTAAGGAGCAAGGAAATTACTTCTTCTTACATGGCAGTGTGAGCTTTTGCTACACAAGAATACAGCATTGCCTAATAAATCTGCTTCTCTTCTTTTTCATTAGCCTATAAACAAATGAGAGTCCAACATGGTGCCTAAGGGGTTATAAAAAATAACAACAAAAAGACCAGCATTGAAATTGCATGCCATCCAGATGATCATCCAGATGACGCAGAATGAATTTATATTTTTAGTATACCATCTTCAAAATGAAAACCAAAATTAAAAAAAAAAAAATACACATAGAGAAGTCACAAAACAAAGCTTGAGACTATTTACCCAGACTACTAAGATGGCTTGCTATTCAACCTATTTGAGGCTGGACAAGATGAATTCATTAAATCCTTCAACAAATTCTAGAGTACCTACTTTTGTTGGGCACTGACCTACAAGAGGTGAACAAGACACATGAAGCTCCTGTCTTCATGGTGGTTACACATTGAAGGGGGTAGAGGGGCAAAAAAAACCCCACAAACTGGTAGAAAAAATATATAACACAGTAATGGGGTAGGTGGTGATTGGGGTAGGAGTGCTGGGGTATTAGGGTGACTAAGGAAGACCTCACTGAAGAGGAGACATTTAACAGAAATCTAGATCAAAAGAGGAAGTTAACCAGGGTCCTAGAGGAAGAACAGTGATGTAATGTCTCTCAAAATCTATAGTGATTCCTTTCACATTACATTATGGCATAAAATCATAGATTTTAAAGCATTTCACAAATTGCCTTTTTTCACCAGAATATAAAAATAGATGCTATCTCTCATATGCTACAAACTTAAAAGCTTCTTTTGAAATTCACTAATTATTCTAAATCTAATAGGGTTAACCTTTCTTAAAATTTAAAAAATGATAATACTTTTGCTAGTGAATGTTACTCCAATATATTAAGAAAAATTCACAAGTGGAGAGTATTGAGGTTTTCAAACGTAGAAAATTATAGACTAATACAGAAGATGGCAGCTAGCACGGAGCAGGCTTCCTGAAAGCCAAGCATTTTCTAAATTGCCATCATCCATTCTTGTATTTAATCCTCACAACATTGCCTTGGGTTGGATGGGGTTCATTGTGCAAAGTAGAAATTGAGACAAGGAGATCAAAGCCATGCTGACTGAGTCAGCACTCACACCCAAGTCTGTCTGACTTTAAAGCAGAGAAGTGAATCATTATTCCTGTCTCCTTACCCCAAGCTACCTTCTGCTAACACAGCCAATTACTATCTTTCAGCTTTAAAAGACAAGGAAAGAGAACTTAAAATGAAGGAGTATAGTAAAGGCTTCGAAGAGGCACGCTCTTCACTTGATGTCGATGGTAAAGAAATATATTGCTACTGCTGTATTAGCCAAAATGTTTCTAATATAAACAGGTTAGCTGATAAAGCATGTTATTCTTCCACTGCAGGGCTCATTCCGGAATCCCAAAGAGCAAGCACTGTAGAGGACAATGAAGAAGTCAAAATGAAGTTGGATAGTGATCCAACTGTTAAAACTGATCAAGATGGTAACAAAATGAACTGTTAATGCCATGCTTATGGGTCTAACTTTCATTTTATTTCATATTTTCTCATGTTTAGATTGAAGCTTAAAATACCCCCAAAATTGGAACATTCAGGAAAAAAAGACTTAGCTTCTCTGTTACAGATTTAAGCTGTAGAACCAAACTAGATTTACTGGGATGAAGAAGAAAATACAGAAACTGAGGAGTCTAATATGATTAGAACTGCCCCAAATTTCTCAAAATGTTTCTAAACATAACACAATTATTATTATGTAACTAGAGGCCTGGTTCACAAAATTTGTGCACAGGTAGGGTCCCTAGGCCTGGCTGGTGATCAAGGCCAATCAGGTTCCCTGCCTCCCCGCCTCCTCCTTCCCTTGCCACCCACGTGGTTCCCTCCCTCCCTTCCCACCTTCCCAACACCACCTTCCCTTGCTCCCTCAGCGCCCTGCCACCACTGGTTGCCTGCCATGTTCTACGCTGCCCCCAGTGGTCAGTGCATGTCATAGCAAGCAATTGAACTCTCGTTGTCCCAGTCAAACTCTCGAAGGGACACTTTGCATATTAGCCTTTTATATATTAGACTAGAGGCCCAGTGCACAAAAATGTGTGCACTCGGGGGGAGGGGGGGTCCCTCAGCCCGGCCTGTGCCCTCTCACAGTCTGGGACCCCTTAGGGGATGACCACTTGCTGGCTTAGGCCTGCTCCCTGGGGGGATTGGGCCTAAGATGGCAATCAGACATCCCTCTGTTAGCCCGGCAGCCCTCGGGGGATGTCCACTTGCCAGCGGGGAGCAGACCTAAGCTGTAGTCGGATATCCTTAGCGCTGCTGAGGAGGCAGGAGAGGCTCCTACCACCACTGCTGTACTGGCAGCCATCAGCCTGGCTTGTGGCTGAGCAGGGCTCCTCCCATGTGAGAGCGCCCTGACCACCAGAGGGCAGCTCCTGCATTGAGCATCTGCCCCCTGGTGGTCAGTGTGTGTCATAGTGACCTGTCATTCCCAGTCTTTCTGCTGTTAGGGTCAGTTTGCATATTACCCTTTTACTATATAGGATAGAGGCCTGGTGCACGGGTGGGGGCCGGCTGTTTTGCCCTGAAGGGTGTCCCGGATCAGGGTAGGGGTCCCACTTGGGTGCCTGGCCAGCCTGGATGAGGGGATGATGGCTGTTTGCAGCTGGTCACACCCCCTTCAGGGTGGGGGTCCCCACTGGGGTGCCTGGCCAGTCTGGGTGAGGGGCTGAGGCCTGTTTTCAGGCTGGTGGGCGACTGAAGCTCCCAACCTCTCCTTTTCTTCTTCTTTTATTTTTTTTAATTCTGGGATTTATTTACCTTCTATGGCTGTCACTAGCTCTGAAGCCGGCTCCAGCTTGAGGCCTCTGCTGCTGAAAGCAGGTATCTGGGGTTTGTTTAGCTTCTATAATTGAAACACTGGTGCAGCTCCAGCTCTGAGGCCTCTGCTGCTGAAAGCAGGTATCTGGGATTTGTTTGGCTTCTATAATTGAAACACTGTTGCGGTCCTGCTCACTGAGGCCCGGCTGGCTGAAAGCAGGTATCTGGGGTTTGTTTAGCTTCTATAATTGCAACATTGTTGCTTAGAGTGCAGCTTAGAGCCAGGCTGCGGCAGGCGGGGAACCTTGGCTTCCTCCGTCACTGGAGCAAGCAAGTCTCCTGTTCACTTCAGCTGCGTGGCTGCTGGCCGCCATCTTGGTTGGAAGTTAATTTGCATATTGCCCTGATTAGCCAATGGGAAGCGTGTCGGAGGTATGGTTAATTACCCTATTTGTCTTTTATTAGATAGGATAATAAATTATTTCATAAAAGTTTTCTACTTCCTTTATTGTGTTCAAATCTAACCATCATAAACACAGAGTTTTAGCTGTGAAGTGTTATCATTTGGTGCTATTTACCCCGATAAAGTTTTTCCATGCGTATCTTTTTTTTTAATATATATTTTTTAATTCATTTCAGAGAGGAAGTGAGAGAGAGATAGAAACATCAATGATGAGAGAGAATCATTTATCTGCTGTCTCCTGCATGCCCCCTACTGGGGGTTGAGCCCACAACCTGGGCCTGTGTTTTGACAGAGAATCGAAACTGGGACCTCTTGGTCCATGGGACGACACTCAATCCACTGAGCCACCACAGCCTGGCTCCGTGAATATCTTAACATAATTGAAAGCATACAGTGTAAACTATTTTCACCTTTTTTGATTTATAATGTAACATTTAATTACATTATTTCATTAGAAGATATTTTAACCCTCATTTTCAATTGCTGCACAATTTCACTATTTATAGGTAATAGTTCTAACTAGTTCTTTATGTTGGAAACTGCTAATTTTTCTGATTCTTTTGCTCCTAAAAGTAATGTTGCAATTAATTTTTTTACATAAAGTTTCACCTGCAAGTTGACATAAGTGGAGTAACTGGTTCAGTGAGTATGAACCAGAGTCAAATTGCTTTGCATAAAAGTTGTTCCAACTTATGTTCCCCTCAGTAATATACAAAGTACATGTCGTTTCCTCAGTATTTTCTCTTTTTAGATACTATTTTAATTTTTAAATTCTTTCTGAAGTTTAATATTTGTTAACCATTTATATTAATTCTTTTCTGAGGTGACCATTTTCTCTTTGCCCATTTTTATAAATTGTATGTTATATCAGTGGTTCTCAACCTTCTGGCCCTTTAATTACAGTTCCTCATGTTGAGACCCAACCATAAAATTATTTTCATTGCTACTTCATAACTGTAATGTTGCTACTGTTATGAATCATAATGTAAATATCTTATATGCAGGATGGTCTTAGGCGACCCCTGTGAAAAGGTCGTTCGACTGCCAAAGGGGTCGCGACCCACAGGTTGAGAACTGCTGAGTTATATGGTTTCTATATAGGCTTTCTATATTAGTCACTTATTTTTCATATTCTTTTTCAAAATTGGGTGGTTTGTCTTTTAAATCACCTTGCTGTTTTTGAAGTAGAGGAATGTTTTATATTTTCGTGGTCAAATCATCACTTTCCCTTTGTTGATTAATTCCATTTACTTTCAGGTTTAAAAAGTCTTCCTCTCAACCAGAGGTGTAATATATACTTACACTCCTTTTTTCTTAAATTCATCCAACCTTTTGTGGGTAGTTCTTAAGTATATCTACTATTTATTTTGTTCTATAATGTAGAGCTGATATCTTTTGTTTGGTTCCTGCTCCTGAATCAGACAGACGTGTGCTTGTCTGGTATATATTTCAAGCTTAGTAGGAATTGAACCAGGTACTGTCAAAAAGTTAGGTATGGCCCTCTTCCTCCCCTAACACACACACATACACACACATCTTAAAAGTTTGGCCAAGTGACTTCTGGGAGTTAGTTGCCAGCTAATACAGTAAGTGAGCCCCACCCCCATGCTGTCCATTCCTTCCTTGGGAGAGGCAGTCCGAGGTAGAAGCAGACATCAGTGCCTCTACCTACTGCTGGAGGGATGTCAATACTGCCAAGGTTCCCTTGTAAAAACGCACCCTCTCTGACCCATGCATCTGAGATAAACACAGCCTTGATCTCTGGAAGGGAGTTGATAAATATTTATTTCAATTTAGATTCACTGACATTATTGGAAACTGAAATTCCTCTTGACTTTATTATTGGTTAATTAAATCATCTTTATTTTCTACTGCTGATAGATATGTTTACCTTTTTTATTATTATGGTTATTATTTTAATCATGAAAGATTTAGGAACATAGTCTTAGCTAGTTTGGATCAATGGAATGAGTGTCAGCCTGTGGACCGAAGGGATCCCGGTTCAGTCCAGGTCAAGGGCAGGTCCCTCAGTTGCAGGCTCCTCCCCAACCTGGATCCTGATTTGGGCTCATGCAGGAGGCAACCAACTGATGTGTTTCTCTCTCATCGATGTTTCTCTCTGTCTTCCCCTCTCTCTTCTGCTCTTTCTAAAAAAATCAATGAAAAAATATCCTCTGGTGAGGATTAACTACAACTACAACAAAAATTAGGAACATAAATCCTGGATACCAAGACCCATGATCTTGTTTGGGAATCACCTACAATTTAATAATGTTCTTTAGGGTTGTTTTTAGGGTGTTTTTTTAAATTTTTTTTTGTTATTGTTCTTTAGGTTTGAACAATGTTTTACTCACAGATGAAAGAGAACCTAGTGAACCACCTGTACTTAAAATAAGTTTACAAGACAGTCAAGATCTAAACTTGGATTTTAAAAAAGGTAAATTAATATTTGGGTAATTTGGTTCTCTTAGATTGTGGACCTAAAAATTACAATAATTCCTTCAGAATTTGGAAGCAGAAATATGTCATTTTTTAAAAAAAATCATTAATATGCAACTTACTATATCTTAAAGGCTACACTATTATAAACAGATATGCAGGAACACAGAAAAATATGATGTGTTATATTGTTTTGATGAAGACAGGAGATCTGTCTGTCTGTCCTGCCATCCCTGGCATGTGGCTACCATACAGTTCACAATATGGCTGCTGGTGCTCCAGCCATCACATCAGTGTGCCTCACAGGAAGAGAGAAAGGCAAGGAGCACAAACTGGCACTCCCCCCAGCTGAGTGACTCCTCTTTAAAGAGATTACAGAGAAGCTCACCCAGTAATTCTGCTTGCATCTTAATTATGGGCCATCCAAGTTATGAGGAGAGTTGGACGATGCAGTGTTTCTAGCTGGGCACATTGCTGACCCCCAACAAAATCAGGGAAGTTACTAAGGAAGAGGAGAATGGATGGATATTGAGTGGAAAACTAGCAGCTTTTAGCACATTTAGTACCTTTACTGGCTACATCTGCCTCACCAGCCCCCCTTCCCAAGACCACAGGTTCTTGCTTCTCCATCACTGAGAACAGACGTCTCACTTCATGGCAGACCGGGCAGCAGGCAGCTGCTCTTCAAAGGCCCTTTGGAGGTTTTCTGGGCTGGGATCCACTGGGCTCTGGCGGGCGACTCTGATGCAGGGAGCCTTGGGGCAGCAGCTCAGGAGGCACCCCTGGAAAGACAGAGGGAGAGGAGTCAGGCCAAGCTGCCAACCACCTGTCTCACTCACATCATGCTGCTGCCTGTGAGCCAACTCAGCCGTGTAAGGAGACACTCGGATGCCATGAGGGCAAGAATCAAGTGTAACACTTGAGAAGCCAGCCTGTGTCACCCTTTCTTCTGTTCCTTGAACTTGCCCATTTCCTGTCCTCTTATTGACCCATGTAGTCTCATGCTTGAAGTTGGAAGTATTCATCTAGAAGTTCCCTAGATACTTCTGTTTTCTGGAATCGTTTGGTGCCTGCCCCTTCTCCCTGGCTTTCTGGTTTTGACTCCTGTGACTTCTTGCCTCATTCACTTTTATTCTGATGTATTGGCTCTAAGCCACTGCTCTGATTTTTTGTGATTCCTGACCTGACATTTCCTTCCAAGTCTATTTCCCCTTTCTTCTAGCATGTGAATGATAACACAAAGATAGCACTTTGTGGGGTCAGGTATCAGCAATCATGCTCTGTTGCAAATAGAATTGTCTGCTAAAAGTATGAATAGCGTTAGCTTATTAACTTGTTTTATGTTAGACTCAACAGAAGAGGTAACTGCAGATCATCCAGAGGTTCTTTCTGTAATAAATGAGTTGTCGAAAATGACAAAGGATATGACCTTTGAACATCCATATGAAAAGTATGCTGAAATCTTAGAGGAAGTCCTGGAAGAGGTAAGAAATCTAGGCTGTTCATTTATATCATTAATTTAACAGAAACGGAGAAAATGTCAACCTAGTATATGTATAATTAATTTAGTCTCATTTGACAGTATTAAAATCTGTAGCTTTCAAATTCATGTGCGTTTTATAGTCAACATTGTTATGTGTAATGTACCTCAGTTTACAATTGCTTAGGCTCTTTGGTAATTTTTATTTATCAACAGTTATGCTATATCATTTCATAGCTTTGAGATTAATTCTTTTTATTTTAAATTCTTTATTGTTGAAAGTATTACATGTCACCTTTTTTATTTAATATATTTTTATTGTTGATAGTATTACAGATGTCTCCTCTTCTTCCCTTGGACCACCCCTCTTCCCAGCCCCCACCCACCTCTCCAGATCGTCACTACCCTATTGCCTGTATCCATATGCATAGCCCATGAACTCAGTCAATAGGGTGGTGAAGGCTGGAGCAGGACCCCGGTGGAGGAGGGCAATGAGGCGGAAAAAGAGGGGACATCTGTCACACTCTCAATAATAAAGACTTTTAAACTTTTTTAAAAGTTTATTCCTGCCCTGACCAGTTTGGCACAGTGAATAGAGCGTTGGCCTGGGGACTCAAGGGTCCCAGGTTCGATTCCGGTCAAGGGCATGTACCTTGGTTGCGAGCACATCCCCGGTGGGGGGGGTGTTCAGGAGGCAGCTGATCAATGTTTCTCTCTCATCGATGTTTCTATCTCTCTATCCCTCCCCCTTCCTCTCTGTAAAAAAATCAATAAAAATGTTTTAAAAAAAAAGTTTATTCCTTATTCTCTTTGACCTAAAAACACATTTTCTAGGAATCTAACCTAAAGAAATATATATTTGGACAAAAATTTGTATATACAGATATTCATCACATGAGCTGAATGTTATAATAAAATTATAAATTATATAAATGTTTAACAGTAAGAAGATGATTAAACAAATTAAGACTTACTCATTACTCATTAGATAAAATACAATAAAATCATTAAATTTTTTTCCAAAAAAGTGAGATGGGGAAACTATATGTTGATATTGGTTTAATTTTCTTATCTTTGAAACTTGGATAGTAAAATTTTTATGAATCATTTCTATTTTTTCCATATTTATTGATAAATAATTGACATATAATGTATTAGTTTAAGGTGTACAACATAATGGTTTGATATATACTAGAGGCCCGGTACACAAATTCGTGCATGGGTGGGGTCCGGCCAGCCCGCCTCTGATGGGGGGGGGGGTGGGAGGGCCAATTGGGGGCAGTGTCGGCTGGGGTGTGGGGCCACGAGCAGTTGGCCAGTCTCGCATCCTGGTTGAACTCCCGGTCGAGGGGGAAATTTGCATATTAGCCTTTTATTATATAGGACTAGAGGCCTGGTGCACAAAAATTTGTGCACTTGGGGTGGGGGGAAGGTCCCTCAGCCCTGCCTGTGCCCTCTCGCAGTCTGGGACCCCTCAGGGGATGACCACCAGCTGGCTTAGGCCCACTCCCCAGGGGATTGGGCCTAAGCTGGCAGTCAGACATCCCTCTGGCAGCCTAGGAGCCCTCGGGGGATGTCCACTTGCCAGCAGGGAGCAGGCCTAAGCTGCAGTCGGACATTTTTAGCGCTGCTGAGGAGGCGGGAGAGGCTCCCACCACCACTGCTGTACTGGCAGCCCTCAGCCTGGCTTGTGGCTGAGCAGAGCTCCCCCTGTGAGAGTGCGCTGACCACCAGGGGGCAGCTGCTGCATTGAGCATCTGCCCCCTGGTGGTCAGTGTGTGTCATAGTGACCTGTCATTCCCAGTCTTTCTGCTGTTAGGGTCAATTTGCATATTACCCTTTTATTATATAGGATAGAGGCCTGGTGCATGGGTGGGGGCCGGCTGTTTTGCCCTGAAGGGTGTCCCGGATCAGGGTGGGGGTCCCGCTGGGGTGCCTGGCCAGCCTGGGTGAGGGGCTGAGGGGCTGAGGGCCATTTTCAGGCTGGCCACACCCCCTTCAGAGTGAGGGTCCCCACTGGAGTGCCTGGCCAGCCTGGGTGAAGGGCTGACGGCTGTTTGCAGGCTGGCCACAGCCCCTTCAGGGTGGGAGTCCCCGCTGAGGTGCCTAGGCAGCCTGGGTGAGGGGCTTATGGCTGTTTGCAGGCTGGCCACGGCCCCCAGCTACCCAAGCTCCCAGTGGAGGCTGGCTGGAAGCAGGTATCTGGGATTTATTTATCTTCTATAATTGAAACTTTGTTGCCTTGAGCGGAGGCCACAGCCAGCCAGGGCAGGCGGGAAGCTTGGCTTCCTCCATCGTCAGGGCAACCAAGCCTCCTGCTTGATCCAGCTCCATGGCTGCCGCCCACCATCTTGATTGGGTTAATTTGCATATAGTCACTCTGATTGGCTGGTGGGCGTGGCTTGGGGCATAGCAGAGGTGTGGTCAATTTGCATGTTTCTCTTTTATTAGATTAAATGTGCAAAATGATTATCACAATAAGTTTAGTTAACATTCATCACCTCATATACTTTTTTGTCTGTGTGTAGTAATAACTTTTAAGACCCACTCTCTTAGCAACTTTCAAATGTACACTGCAATATTGTTAATTATAGTCACCTTGTTGTACATTACATCCCCAGGACTTACTCATTTTATAACTGGTAGTTTATACTTTTTAACTCCCTTCACATATTTCCCCCCACCCTCACCTTAACCTCGCAACCACCAATCTATTCTCACTTTCTATGAGTTTAGTTTTTTTAAATTCCACATATAAGTGAAATCATACAGTATTTGTCTTTGTCGTATTTATTTCACTTATATTTCTTCCCTATCACTTTTTTACTTACTGATTCTCTTATGTTACACATTTCAAAGTGTTTAAATTTTTTTCCTAAAGACTTGCTTATAGTTTCTCTTTTAAAATTAAGTAGCTCTTTTTTTTCTGAAAGTCAGAAGAACTCAGAAGATAGTTAAGGTTCACAGAAAGTGATGTATCAAGGTAGTATCCTTGACTTGTCTAGCTATGATGGTAATATCAGTGTGTCATTTTTTTACAGGTAGTTGAACAAACCAAGAACAGGTTTTCTGGTGCCCCAAAATCTGGAGGATGGGTAGTGGACAACTGCCCTGTTACGAAAGAACTGTGGACAACCTTAGTGGAGAAAGGAATTACACCAGATTTAGTAATCTATTTGTCAGATACAGAAACCAACGGTTGGTAAAAATTTATCATATAAATTTGAAAGTGAAGTTTTTATTGCTGGTAATATTTTTAGTTAAAATATAAAGTGGAAAACTCTCCACCCTCACTAGGTACAAATACCACTCCAGCAATCACTTTATGCCCTGAAGGGTACACAAAATGAGGCAGCCATCCATGGAGTAGGTGACCAGGATAGAGTAGTAGGGCACTGGAGATCCCAGCAAGCCCTTGTAATTATGCTTTGGAGCTGAGAATTTAACACCCCCCTCTCAGTCAGCACTATAAATTCTAAATGAAATATATATAAATACTAGAGGCCCAGTGCAAGAGATTCATTCACTGGGGAGGGGGTCCTAAGGAGAGAGCGGGCCTAAGCCAGCAGGCAGACATCCCCCGAGGGATCCTTAGCACTACCACAGAGGCAGGAGAGGATCCCACCACCACCACTGCGTTCGCCAACCGTGAACCTGGCTTCTGGCTGAGCGGTGCTCCCCCTGTTGGAGCGCACTGACCACCAGGGGGCAGCTCCTGTGTTGAGCGTCTGCTCCCTGGTGGTCAGTGTGCATCATAGTGACGAGTCATTCCACTGTTCAGTCCATTTGTATATTAGGGTTTTATTATATAGGATTAGGCTAAGGGCAAAGATCATTTATTAGTCCTTCTTCATCTCAAATGGGACATATTAAGCACATAAAGACAGCAGAACTAAATTTTAATTATTCTGTTACTTTGTACAAAGCTATAATAATCAAAACAGTGTGGTACTGGCATCAAACCAGATGCATAGGCAAAGGGAACTGAATAAAGAGCCCAGCAATAAGCCCACATATATATGGTCAACTAATCTTTGATAAGGAGGCCAACAATATTCTGTCATATGCATTTTAGGAGGGAAATATATTACATTTTTTCATGTTTTTGTTATTTATGACATGCCAATATATATATTTTAAAAATGATTTAAGGTGGTCTTTTAATATTTTCAAGAATCTGGGCTCTACTTAAATAAATGCTTAAAGAAAAATATATTTGGATATAGGCAGAATTCATTTTTGTCAATTTTCAAAATGTATCTCACTATACTTTATAGATTTTCAAAATTAATATTATTCTGTTTATATTTCAGGAAAATATTTACTTAATAGATTGTATTTAAAGAATAAAGCTGAAATTGATGCTAAGATATTCGAGAGATTACTAGATGAAGTAAGAAAGAAAAAAAGAGAGGAAGAAGCATTAAGGTAAATTTGCCTGGCATAGTAAAACAGGTTAATGAATCTTTTATGAAGCTGTTAAGTATCTACTCATAATTTATATATGAAATTTCCTTAATATCAAAATGGTGATCTAATTGATCCAATCCTTCCTATGTAATAAAAGGCTAATATGCAAATTGTCCCCTCGGGAGTTCAACTGGGAGACCAGGAGTTCAATCACTCACTATGACATGCGCTGACCACCAGGGAGTGGCACAGGACATGGCGGCAACCAGTGGCAGCAGTGGGGTGCTGAGGGAACAAGGGAAGGAGGAGGCGGGAAGGCGGGGAACCTGATTGGCTCTGATCACCAACCAGGCCTAGGGGCCCTACCCATGCATGAATTTCATGCATCAGGCCTCTAGTTGTAAATAATTCCAAGAAAAACAGTGATTTCACAAATACTTCCAGAATCTGTAAAGTACAGAGTTGTGGATGTTTTCATGGTGCCAAATCAAATTTATCCTAAATCAAATATCTACTCTCAAGAGACATTGCAAAAAAAATAAATAAATGAACAGATAGGATTTTTTTCTTTTTACCATATTTATCTGTGATTTAAAAAACTTCGCTAACTGGAATCCATAAATTGAAAAAATAACATGCTAAAAAGCAAATGAAAATACACTTGTGTGATATGACTAAAATCCAAAGCCCAACTAAGTTCTAATAAGGAAAACAAAAGACTAGTTACTTACTACACAGGTTTAACATTGAGTTTATTCTCCAATCAGGTTGCGATGAAAAAGGTTTAGGAATGTGAACTCATATCTATCTCTTCATGACTGGGGTCAAGACTAAACTTTAATAAACTATAAGTTCTTCAGAATCGGGACTAAAGTATAATTAGGAACAGTGACGTGATTTGCTAATTGTTCTTCCTTGCTGAAATATGCTGTTAAATACTTTAAGTTTTACCCCTGGGTTTCTTACTTCTCAGTCACAAAAGCCAAGACATTTAAGAACTAAATTTCTTTATGTTAATCCACCTGTAGGAGCTTTCTCAAATGCTATTTCCTTTTCCCCTTCAGATATTAGCAATTTGAACTGGGATTTAGGAGAGCTCTTTAAACTCTTACAATATGAGGATGTTATCTAGGTTACTGGGGGGTAGGAGGCATGTAACTAATAAGTGTGTGTCAGAGGACTTTCTTCAGGGTTCATTGTTCATCTACATCAGCAATTTTCAACCTTTTTCATTTCATGTCACACACAAATTAATTACTAAAATTCTGCAGCACACCAAAAAATATATGTTTTGCTGATCTGACAAAAAATAGGTAAAATATTTAATCATTCACACCAGACTGCTGTTGTGTTGGCTATTATTATTTTTTTATTTAACAATCTAGGGGAAAAGAGGTCAGTGTCCCTGACTTAGTTGGGTATTGCATTTTTTTTTAATTCCTGCAGCACACTGGTTGAAAATCACTGATCTAAGTTAACCATTTCTTTAGGAACTTAATACAAAAATATACAAAGTATAATTTAGTTAGATTAATTAATGACATTATTTGATATGTGGAGTAAAAAGTATTATTAATTCAGAGAATAATTACAAACTGATTTACATTTATTTATAGCATCTAAAATTTTTGTTTCAAATGGAGCTACAATATTTAGGATTTAAGAGATTACCTAATTTCTTTCCAGTGTATGAGAAATAGTCAAATATTTGAGAACAGATGAAGATGTCAACATAAGAATAAAACAAAGTTTATGTGATTTCTAGACTGAGGTCTGCTACATTTTAAATAGACAAAAAATACATACATCTATACTCTCTTAAAAGGGAAAAGAGATCTCCACTTTCTCACAACTATCTACCTTCACCTTCCTATTACCATATGGAATTTTCTGAGCTATCTCTATAGTCAATTTTTACTTCTTTTGATTCTACATTTTTATATCTTTATAAAGTTCTTGATATCAAAGACTTACCCAGACAGAAGCAGACTTTTCTATGTTTCTATATATCACCTTTTAAAATTCAACATAAGTATTTCAAAAGTCAACTCCTTTTTCATATAATGCAGAAAATGAAATCTGAAATGGAACACACACAAAAATGGTCAGAGTCTCATGTAAATGCCTTGCAAGTTGGTTAGGAAACAAATAAACTTAACATGCTTAATTAAGAATTTCATCTTGAAGCCAGATATCTAAAGACATGCAGAATTCTACAGCTTTTCCAGCATCAGTTTCCAAATGTGCCCGTCAAATACAGGATAATGTCTGTCATCACCATTAGTTTTTGACTCGTATGTCTGGTTTATCGAAGTGTCTAATAACGGGCAGCAAATTCTTCTTCATTCTTGTCAGGTGTCAGGTTCTTAGCAGCAACATTCCTCATCTAGGTTTTAGATAAGGGGACTCTCACAAAAGAGCCCTGTTTGAACTGCTGATCACACAGTTAAAATGGGAAAGGAGGGTAGAAACAAGACCCAGCCATCTCAGAGATTTGGACACAAACAAAGAGAACTCAGATTTCACTAAGACTGTAGGCTGGATAACAAGAAATATACCTGTTAGGAGAAGACGTGTGGTAATGTTGTTTTTTGGGTTTTTTGTTTTGGTTTGGTTTTTAATTAAATCTTTATTGTTCAGATTATTACAGTTGTTCCTCTTTTTCCCCCCATAGCTCCCCTCCACCCAGTTCCCACCCCAGCCTCTGCCCTTACCCCCAACACTGTCCTCATTCATAGGTGAACGATTTTTGTTCAGTCTCTTCTCGCACCCCCCATTCCCCTTTCCCCTGAGAATTGTCAGTCCATTTCCTTTCTATGCCCCTGATTCTATTATATTCATCAGTTTATTCTGTTCATCAGATTTTTTTTTCACTTGATTTTTAGATTCACTTGTTAATAGATGTGTATTTGTTGTTCATAATTTGTATCTTTACCTTTATCTTCTTCGTCATCTTCTTAAAGGATACCTTTCAGTATTTCATATAATACTGGTTTGGTGGTGATGAACTCCTTTAGCTTTTTCTTACGTGTGAAGCTCTTTATCTGACCTTCAATTCTGAATGATAGTTTTGCTGGGTAAAGTAATCTTGGTTGTTGGTTGATGGAGAATAGAACCATGACCTCCTGGTTCATAGGTTGATGCTCAAACACTGAACCACACCGGCTGGGCTGTGTGGTAATGTTTTTTGAAGAGAATATATGTGACTAGATTTTCAAAGGAAGGGGAAAGGGATGTAAAGAATGCTGAATGTAAGAGAATGACAGGCCTATAGAACAGTCTTTTTTTTTTCTTTGTTGATTAAGGTATTACATATGTGTCCTTATCCCTCATGGCCCGCCACCTCCCCACTCATGCCCTCAAGACTGCCCCAGCCCTGGCCATTGTGGCCCAGAGCATTGGCCCTTGCACTGAAGAGTTGTAGGTTCAGTTTCCAGACAAGGGCACATACCTGGGTTGCAGCAGGCTCGATCCCCAACATGGCTCTCTCACATTGATGCTCTCTTGCTCTCCTCCCTCCCCTCCACTCTCTCTCTAGAAATCAATGCAAAAAATATCCTCAGGTGAGGATTAGCAACAACAATAATAACAAAAGACTGTCCTAGAGTATGTTGCTGATATGAATGGGCTCTACTTTACTTACCTAGTCTCTTATTACCTAGTCCCCTATTAAATACTTGGAACAGTTGTTCTTAATGTTATTTTTTAAAGATGCAGTCATTTTTAAAAGAATGCCACATTCTTATACATGTTTCCTTGTGCAATAGCAAGCTGATTCCTGAAGGGTAAATTCCTAGATATAAACTTTCTAAGTCAAAAGTATACACATTTTCATTTTTAATAAATATTGCCTTTCTGCACCATTTCACTAACTTTTTTATACCTGTCTTCACCATTAAGCAGGTTTAGTGCTTCCATTATAATGAAAAACAGATTCCCTCCAGATACTGAAGTTTCCATATTCTAAATCTCTTTAAATTTCACATAATTGCTCTGACTACAAAGATCAACTTACAAATTTTCAATTTATTTAATATAGAAAAAAATTTAAATGCAAGAAAATTAAATAAAATTTAAAACTCATAATGCCATCATCCAGGTAACTAACATTAACAATTTGATTAGTTTTCTTCTAATGTTTTCATCATTGTTTACATACATTTAAAACACAAATTTAAAATTCTATTATACATAGTTTTATATTACACTTTTTCATTTAAAATTATATTGTGAACATTTCTTATTTAATCAGAAGGAAAAAGTGGTACAATTTCTCATATTTGCTTTTTCAACTAGAGAGTACTTCATTAATTTTTAAAGGTTTATTAATTTTTAAAGGTTTATTAATTTTTAAAGGTTTCCTAATATGCTTGACTGGCATAGCTCAGTGGTTGAGGGTCGACCTATGAACCAGGAGGTCACTGTTCGATTACTGGTCAGGGCATATACCTGGGTTGCCGGCTTGATCCCCAGTATGTGGCGTGCAGAAGGCAGCTGATCAATGATTCTCTCTCATCATTGATGTTTCTTCCTTCCTCTCTGAAATCAATAAAAAAATATTTTTTTTAAAAAAAGGTTTCCTAATAAATACAGCTTTTCAAAGTGCAACATTCCAAATTGTCTTAAAAAAAAAAACCCAAAAAACAAACCCTGAAAATTAACTGACCTCTATATGAAAAAATTAAAGATTTACATTATGAAGTAAAAATATAATGAATTTTATGAATGGTTTTCTCTTTATTTTTACCACTCAGCCTTAAATTCTGTAATTTTGTGAGATGTCTGAATTTCCAAAGATAATTAAATTTTGAACTTTTTTTAATTTCAGAAAAATCAAAGAAGAGGCATTGAGAATAGAAGAAGAAAATCAAAAGCTATTGGCAGCTCTGAATGTGAAAACAAAAGGCAAACATAGATTGATATGGCTAATAATGTGTTATTTAATTTTGTTTTATTATTGCAAGCAACCTCAGTATTTTGGTGAATTATAGAAAGGGTGATCACATTTCTTTATTTGCCCATGAGAGTCCAGGTTTATGGCTATGGTCCTGAAGTATTTATTTGACCCGCTTTCATTCTCAATATGTTCCAATTTGGATAAAAATTATATGGTCAATGGAGTAATGGATCATAGAAAAAAGACTCCTGACACAGATACCTACTCATGCACATTAAAGAGTTTCTTTTAAGAGTACAGTTCTTAACTTGGAATCTATGGATAAAATTCAGGAGTCTATGAAACTGATTGAAAAAATAATTACAACTTTATTTTAACTAACCTTTAACTAAAATTTAGTTTTTCCTTCAACTAGTAATTCATATAGATAACAGACCACAGTAGTATTAGTGATAATTTAACTTTGTCACCAATAGAAATGAAGACATCACATTACAGTTTTATATATCTTGTTTATGTTTATCCTGATTCCCAAATTATGGTAGTTGTTAAACCAGCTTCTGGTTCTTGTTGTTTAATGAATTAGTAAAGGTGCACTATTTTCTAATAGCACAAGTTATTTTTGAAATCTTGATGACTTACTTCAATGTAGTTGACTTCTTATGTATTTTGTTTTATGAGATTGAAAGCATGAATCTAAACAGATGTCCATAAGCTTTATCAGACTGCCAAAGGCATCCATGGCTCAAAAGCGTGAGGAGTATCTGTTTCAGTTTTCCATTGCTGTGAAAAAGCCACCCCAAAGCTGTAAAACAACCCCCTTTTTATTATACACAAATTCTGCGGGTCAGGAATTCAGGCAGGGCTTATCTCTGCTCCCCAGGGACCTCGTTCTGACTTAAGGAGCCACGTTGGAGGTGGATCCTCTGGCCCCACACACACCTTCACGTGACGGTGGCCCTGATTAACATCTTTCTGACGACTTCCTGAGAGACGCAGGGTCAGAACCACCGATAAGTCACTCCCAAATCCCTGACTCCAGAAACTAGGATAATACGTGACTATTGTTTTAACAACTGTACAGTAACTTTATTGATTTCAGAGGGGAAGGAACTCAGATTATCCACGAGGGTACTAGAAAAAAAGTATTAGAACTTTTTACTTTTTTTTTTTTTAACCAAAAGAAAGAATTTAGTTGAAAGACATTTTGAGTTTCTGGTGTAGAGTACTTAACTTCCAACCCAAACCCTGGTAGGTTTTAGCAAATTATGCTTCTTCCTCTTGTGTATCACGATCAAACTCCCCACGTAACACAAAAGATTCACCACATTCTAAGTCACATATTTGGAAGCCACCGGCTCTGCGGTCCCGGTCAGACCTTGAGATCTAAGGACACTTCAGGATACTTTTCTCTGGGGACTTCATCACCCAAATTTAGATGAAAATTCCGGTTCCAGAGGCATCACACGCCACTACCATGGGATTCTGGGAAGGCACTCACTGGGAGGAAGGAAGTCCCACAAGAATCCAGAAGTCACGTTCATTTATTTTTTCACAGCATCTTTGCCTATAAATTACCTTGTTTTTCAGTCAATTTCATAATATGGTAAAGGAATTGGAAGATGGATTTTCTGACTCTACCATTCACCCCATCTTTTTCTTGAAAGACTTCCATGCATATATTTCTGATAATGGTCATCAGCAACTACAGAAAATTTGAAGTTATGCTTTCTAAATTTCCATTTAACATATGCACTAGCGTACTCTATTATTCGTTATTAGCTAAAAGAAAATATAGAGTCTATCCCAGTGCTGCATAATGCAAGCCACATATGTAACTTTAAATTTTCTAGTAGCCAAATAAAATGTAAAAAAGAAACAGGTTAAATGAATTACATTTAATACGCAATATCCAAAATACTATTTTGACATGAATGCAAAAATTATGTATGCTATAGTTTACATTCAATTTTTAATATCTTTTTAAAAAGATTCTTTTATTGACTTTTAGAGAGGAAGGGAGAGGGAGAGAAATAGAGAAACATTGATGTGATGGACATGGACAATAGTGTGGTGATTGCCAGAGGGTGGGATGGAGGTGGAAGAGGGCATGGAGGAGATAAATGGTGATGGGGGAGGATTAAAAAAGAAAAAAGAGTCCTGCTGGTGTAGCTCAGTGGTTGAGCATTGACCTATGAACTAGGAGGTCACAGTTCATTTCTGGTCAGGGCAAAAGCTTGGGTTATGGGCTTGATCCCCAGAAGGGGACATGCAGGATGCAGCCAATGATTCTCTGACATCATTGATGTTTCTCTCTCTCCCTCTTCCTTCCTCTCTGAAATCAATAAAAAATATTTTTTTTAAAAAAAAAGAAAGAAACATGGATGTGAGAGGGAAACATCACAACCCAGGTATGTGCCCTGACTGGGAATCTAACCAGCAACCTTTCGATGCACAGGACGACACCCAACCAACTGAGCCACACTGGCCAGGACTACATTCGGTGTTTCATTCTAAATCTTTGAAATCCATTGTGTATGTTATGCTATGATGCACCTCAGTTTGGACCAGCCACATTTTAAGGGCTCAATAGCCACATCATGCAGTGGCTGCATATCAGACAGTGCATGCAGTTCTAGCCATTCCCTCTTTGAATGGACATTTGAGCCGTTGCCATCTTTTTACTGTTACAATACTTAGGGCTACTGAGAACATTTCTTGTTTTAAGTGAGCCCTTAGGCTGGTGCTCCCATAGCACTCTGAGTATATGGCTATCATCCTTTACCACTACATTTTAATAGGTAGAATATATGGAAAATGTGTCTCCCTCCTGAAACCCCCTGTGCCAGAGGACAGGGCGCCACTCTACTCTTTGTGTAGGTCTCAGCACTTATCAGAGTGCCTCGCACCCAGTTAATATTCCTGACCTAATCTGAACAATAATTTGTTTCTTCTCATTTTCTCTAGGGGTCGACGAGACTGACCTTGAGGCTTATGGGGATATTGAAGGTGAGGAGAATGACATTCCTGAAGTGTCTGAGGCCCTTGAGGAGACCGGGGGGCTCTTAGCAGAGGAGCCTGAAGCTTCTGAGGTTCCGGAACCAGAACCTGAATCAGGTTAGACTTCATTGACAGCCATGTTCTTAGTTCTACGCGTGCCCATTGGGGGTGTGTGTGTGCATGCGTGCACGTGTATACTTGTGTTTATGTTAAGAAAGAGGAAACAGACTAAAAAGGAGAGATGAGCCCACCCCCGCCCCCGAGAACAGCCACTTATTCCCAACCCCACGGTTTGAAGTGTCGCAGGAAAGCTGACGCTGCCCCGCCCATCCTGGTGCTCAGGAGCAGTGCTGCCTGCGTCATTGGTGGGGTATGTTGTCAAAAAGCAGGGAATGTGCCACTAACGGTACTAACATATAAAGCTTTTTTTTTCCTTCTACAATCTCTCTCTCAATTTGTCATGGATTGATTTTTATTGCTATATAATGTCATTCTAAGTAAAGAAAAATTAAAAATTAAATTATTAGCATGAATTTTACCATTCATCCTTATATTGTGCAAGGTCATTTTTAAATAAAAATACAAGAGCACTTAACTCATATGCAGAACCACTGGAATTAACACAATTCATATTTGGCAGCTCGTACATGCATATGTATTTCGTTCTTACCAGATTACTGGTAAGTTTTGTGTATAAAACTGAGTTTTTTATTTCAGTTCTTAATATGCACATATTCTACCAACACTCTCGACCTTTAGCTTCCCAGTGATGAAGGAAAGACTGAAAGGAAAAGGAACACTGGATTGTCCTCTTTTCCTTTCCTTCTGTGTCGTCATTTTCAGCCTGTTTAGCTAATACAGGAAAGTGACCCAAGTAAGAAAGGCTATGATGGGGTTCTGTGGTCATTCATGTCTCTCTGAATGCTGTCACCTGCTTTCTGCATCTGAAGCAAGTTCTAGTTCAGAAGGAAAGCATGGTCTCTCAGGTGGGTCAGCATCTTCCCCTGCCTGCCCCCATCACTCAAGCATACTTACTCCTCCACATCATGTGTCCCCTGGAATTCTGGGGCATCAGGAACTCGCATGAGAATGAGATGACAAGGACTGGCTAACACATATTGTGCATATCTCTGTCCATATGCATGCTCTATTGTGCCATTGGAGCCTCTTTGGCTTTTGTTTACAAAACAAAGTTCAAAGATAAAATTATTAAAAATTTCAGATTGACAACCAAAGAGCATTAAACTGTGAGGCCATTCTGCATGAGAGACTGTGCAGCTGCCCAGGCCACACAGCCTTGGCGCAGCCTGCTGCCGAGGTGCCGTTTGGCAGGTTGGCGCAGGGCCAGAAGGAGTCGTTGGGCAAAGAAAGTCACTCTCAAGGCTGGAGAGTGGGCTTAAAGCAGCAGGTTAGGGTACCCAGCATGTGGGAGTGAGGCTCACAAATGCGCCCAAGTACAGTTAGTATTGGATTTGAAACTAATGCTACAAATGAAAGGTCTTCAACCTGCAGCCAAATCCATCCTGTGGCAATTAAGGGCTAGGAATCTTCTGTCAGCTGGTAGAGGAACTAGGACGAAGGGGAGTTTTCACCCTGAGAAATCTCAAGTTCAACATAGATCGTTTTTACTACAGGAATTGGCATTAGCTTTATGAGGCAAAAGTATAAAATCACATAACCCTTGTGCCCAACAGAGGAGCTAGCAGGATGAAATCCTTCAGTTTCCTTTTAAGAGTCCCACAGCTCTATTGACTTGTGTTCTCACCCAGAAACATCAGTATTTTCTTCAGTACCTAACCAATTAGGCTGACTGTTCTCCCACTCACCTACCTTTTGCAACAAGACAGGCCATAAAAGGAAAAGGGAGCTCACTGCATGGAAGAACATATTTGCCTATGACACATCTGATAAGGGGTTAATTTCCAAAATATATAAGGAACTCAGGCAACTTAACAAAAGGAAGACAAACAATCCAGTTAAAAATAGGACCTAAATATGCCCTAACCTGTTTGGCTCGGTGGATAGAGCATCGGCCTGCAGACTGAAAGGTCCCAGGTTCGATTCCGGTCAAGGGCATGTACCTTGGTTGCAGGCACATCCCCAGTAGGAGGTGTTCAGGAGGCAGCTGATTGAAGTTTCTCTCTCATTGACGTTTCTAACTCTCTATCCCTCTCCCTTTCTCTCTGTAAAAAAATCAATAAAATATATTTTTAAAAAAATAGGACCTAAATAGACACTTGTCCAAAGTGAACATACAGAAAGCCAAGAGACATATGAAAAAAAAACGCTCAAAGTCACTAATCATCAGAGAGATGCAAATTAAAATGACAATGAGATATCACTTCACACCTGTCAGAATGGCTATCATCAACAGATCAACAAATGACAAGTGCTGGCGAGGATGTGGAGAAAAGGAACCCTCATGTACTGTTGGTGAGAATGCAGACTGGTGCAGCCATTATGGAAAACAGTAGGACATTTCCTCAAAAAATTAAATATGGAACTGATATTTGATGCAGCAATGCCACTTCTGGGTATATATCCTAAGAAATCAGAAAAACCAGTCAGAAAGAATATATGCAACCCTATGTTCATAGCCCATTTTACAATAGCTAAGATCTGGAAACAGCCTAAGTGCCCATCAGTAGATGAATGGATTAGAAAACTGTGGTACATCTACACGATGGAATACTATGCAGCTGTAAAAAAGAAAGAACTCTTACCACTTGCAACAGCATGGATGGACCTGGAGAGCATTGTGCTAAGTGAAATAAGCCAGTCAGACAAGTATCACAAGATCTCACTCATGTGGAATCTAATAAGCAAAATAAACTGTTGAACAAAATAGATCCAGACATAGGAGCATTGAATGGACTGTTGAATCTCAGAGGGAAGGCGGGGATGGGGTAATGGGATGGGAAGAAATTAACCAGGAACTTATGTGCATGTATGTGCAGCCTATAGACACAGGCAATAGTATTGGGAAGGCCTGGGAGGGGCAGGTGCAGGGTAGAGGGAGTCAATGGAAAAAAAGGAGGACATCTGTAATACTTTCAATAATAAAGACAAATTTTTTTTAAAAAAGGAAAAAAACACACCATAAAATACCAAAAATGAATAAGAGAAACAGACATCCATTAAATATGACACATCAAACATATTAGAGTTCTAATATCCACAAGTATCTCATAATTAGTATTTACTAATGTAACCGGTCTAAGGGATGATTTAGTTGTATTGCCTTTTATCTCCTTACTGTTTCTCTCAGGGAACTTCGTTTTGCTGTTCTAAAGCCAGTCTCCCACTCCTTTTAGGGTCAGTTCTAGCTCATGTAGACATGACTGTTTTCAGTCAGAATTGTATGTACCATGTGTCAGTTATCCTGGTCATGGTCCTTTAGTATATTTAAGAATATTCTTCATTTTCTGCCTTGTACTATTAGATATTGTATGTCATACTTTACCTAACAAGAACCATATTTTCAATTAGACATAGTTTACACAATTTAAACTATGTTTAAAAATTTTCTTTGTGCCAAAACTTTCATAAAGAAACAATGTTTTAAAATTCAAACACTAACTATTAGTTTTCTTTCCTCAGAGTCTACTGAGGAAACTACAGTTGGAACAGAAATTCCAAAAGAATCCAGAGAGGGTCTGGAAATTACATTATCTCAAACAGGTTAGCTTATAAAATAAAAGGAGTTAGTGATTAAAGTGCTTTTCGTATTCTCCCACAAGGGTCTAGTAGTCCCTTGTTTTAGGCATAGTACCAACTTCCTACTTATTTCTTTGTACATTATATGCCAGTTGTGACGTATTATGTTTGATTTAGCTTATTACATCAGAAGTATATCTAGCCATCTAATAACACTGTTTTTCATTAAATTTTATTTTATACATTTTATTATAGTTAAAGTTGCCATATGAAATACATAGTAATTATCCAAATAATTTTATTAATAGGTAATAATTCATCTACAGCCAATACATGGAATGGAGCATAATTAAAATATGAATTTATAAATATACATTATTGCTGAGGACAATATGTGTATTTCTTTCATATGTTTTAAAAATATTATAAAGTATAAATTATTTTGGCAATATGGGTCAAGATACCATGTTTGAAGCCGCTTTTTTTTTTTATTTCCTTTAACCTTTATTCAGAAATTGTACTACCTGAGTTTCCTGAAGACGCTTATCCTGATGTTCCTGAGATGGACATACTTAAAGACGAGATGAAAAATTACGAGGCCAACTGGAAAAATCTGGAAGTAATCATCAATGACTCTTTCTTTCCAATTTTCAAGTTGGAGATTGCTGGCCAGACTCCAGAGGAGCTATTTCAGAAAGCCGTGGAGACTATGGAAAGTAAGGGCTGTGATCCCACCATTGACTGTCCAGAGCGGGTGATATGAAAAGCACTGTGCAACTTTAAAGTCTCTCTTGATGGCCCATAAAGGAGAACATTCAGTATACCTGGGGATGATGTTAAAATATTTAGCAATTCTCATAGCACAGGCACATGCCAATCAGAACAGCTGAGGCGCACAAACAGCACTGGCCAAACTGGCCAGTTGTCCCTTTAAAAATTCTAAAGGCCAGTTTGCATACACGTGTAAACTAAGAGCTCAGTCACTACAATTAATTCTCCTAATCTTTGACTACTGCAATATACGCTAATATTATTATTCTTTCAAATCTTCCTTTTTTATTTTTTTACAGAACCTTTTCAGTATGTCGCATGGGAGTTCAATATAGAAGATTATGAGGAAGAAACAGAAGACCTCCAGGCCGAAGCGGAGATTGATGAGGAGCTAGAAGAGGAGGAGGAGGAGGAGGAAGAGGTACGAGTCAGTGGGCCCTGCTCCCTCGGAGGCTGGGGAAGTCTTTCCTTTCCGCTCCAGCTCCTTCGCAGGGGTCACAGCACCGAAAGTGCGCGTGTCCAGAGTGGTAGTTGGCACTCTTGGGCCCCAGGAAAGCAAGTAGGCTTCTTCGGTTTTACACCTGAACATTTTCAATGCACTTTGCCTCCACCCCAGCTTCCCTTGATCCCTGAAATGCCAGGGCTGCTTAGACAGTATGAAAAAGTACGCCCATGAAAAAATACAAGGGAAACCTTTTCCATTTTTTTCCATGGAAAAGCTATAGATATTAGAGAGAGAAATATTCTGTACGTTCAACAGAAGTGGGTGCTTCATGTACAATACAGCAGTGGCATCTTTGAGGAGCTGCTTGCATGATACTAATGAGTGGTATTTTCAAACAGGAACAACTCATTTGCGGCCCCAGCCTACTCCCTGGTCACGAGAATTTTGATAACCATTCTCAATTGATAGCCACCTAATTCTGGCATCTATCAAATATAAAATAGGAAGTGATTTTTTAAAAAATTTGGGGCCTTATGAAGGAAACAAAATGATGTAATAAGTTAGATAACCATACAGCTGTAATTAAGTTAAACCCAAATATATGTGTGTCAAACAACAAATGTCATGTGGTGTGATTCTGATAACGTTCAGCACTTTAGCACTAAGGAACTGCTGAGCCCTTCAGCCAGGGTGGCTAACAGATGGTGGGCTTGTCCTGCCTGTACTGTGTTCAGGTTTTCTCCTTCAGTCATCCTTCTACCATTCTTCTGTATCCTGTTTTGTTTTGCAAGAGAATGTCTCTTTCTTGTGTCTGCAGACAATTCTCAAGCTGTCTATAATATTCAAAACTTGTATTTTTAGGTACGGTCTTCATTGAAAATAGTGTCCTTGCCTCACTTCTACTCTTCCTAATTTACCACAACACAAATCAGTTTTTCCTGTTGTAGTAGTTTCCTCAGGCTGCCATAAGAAAGTGCCACAAACTGGGAGGCTTAAAATAACAGAAATTAATTCTCTTATGGTCTCGAGGGAGAATTCTGAAATCCAGGTGTCAGAACGCTCCCTCTGAGGCTCTAGGGACAATCCTTCCTTTCCTCTTCCATCCTCTGGTGGCTCCAGAAAGCCCATAGCTTACGGCTGCTTGACTCCCCTCTCTGCCTCTGTCTGTGCATGACGGCCTTCTCCTCCTCTGCATCTTTTCTTTCTTTTAGAAGGACACTCGTCATGGGATTTAGGGGCCACCTGGTAATAAATTGTAAATATTATCTTGAGATCCTGAATTACATCTGCAAAGATGCTTTTTTCAAACAAGGCCAATATGGCTGCCAGGAGTTCTTAGAAATTTTGACCTAGGAGGCAAAAGAACACTCTATCCTGACATCCACCTGGAAAATAGCAAGAAAGAACTTTGCTTCTCCCATCTCAGTCAGTTGCCCTGACTAATCATAGTAACTAGCGGACTTAGTGTTGAGTGAGCCAGCCTTGGTAACATGCCCACCCAGTGACTATGAAGTGGGGAGTTCCTGTGATTGTCTGGGCCACTTGAGTTCCTTGGAATTCGGAAGAAGCAGTCCTCCATGAGAAGAGGGAGAAAGGTTCTGTTACTAGAAAAAGGAAGAAAGTTGTTATACACACAAAAGCAAAAGATATACACATCATAAGAAAAATTCTGGGAAGATATGTACTAAAATCTCAGCAGTCATTCTGGAGAAGATGGAGTAAAGGGCATTCAGGTTACCCTCTAGCTGAAAACAACGGAGAAACAAGATGAAATATATGAAACTGTTTTCAACACATGGGCGTGACTCAGTGAAGCACAGTGGTCCTAGAGATGGGAACAAATGAGGGGCACCCCACGGTTTCCCCACCTTATGGTCTGTAGGTCAGGTGCCTTGTCCAGGCCATGGTCCAGGGAGGAGCACCTAGGCCAGTGATGGCGAACCTTTTGAGCTCGGTGTGTCAGCATTTTGAAAAACCCTAACTTAACTCTGGTGCCGTGTCACATATAGAAATTTTCTGATATTTGCAACCATAGTAAAACAAAGATTTATATTTTTGATATTTATTTTGTATATTTAAATGCCACTTAACAAAGAAAAATCAACCAAAAACATGAGTTCGCGTGTCACCTCTGACACACGTGTCATAGGTTTGCCATCACTGACCTAGGCAGAGACTTCCAGACTCCTTTATTGGAGGAGACAGGGCAGAGAATCCCAGGACACAAAGCAGTTAGAGTTCACAGGGAAAAGACCAGAAGAAAAGATGTGCACACAGGAAGAACTCCAGAGACCTGCAGAGCAGAGTACTGGCCAGCCCTTTGCCGGTTAGAAAACATTGGAGAGGAGGAGAGGGCAAAGGAAGTACCAACTGATGAGATTAGAGGGACCAGTACTGAGATCTCAAACAAGGCCAGAAATAATGCCTGTTCCCACTAACCACTGGGTATTACTCAAAAGGGTCTAAGCCTCAGGGATGGGGATAATTAAACCTGGAATAGTGCACAGCAAAAAATAAAAAAAAAATAAAAGAAGAACTGCTGATACATGTAACAATCTGGATGAATCTCAAAATTATTATGCTAAGAGAAGCCAGACAAAAGAGAAAACATACTGTATGAGTACATTTGTATAACATTATAGAAAATGTAAACTCATTATAGTGAGAGAAAACACAGCCGTGCTTGCCTGGGAGTGGGGTGGGTCGGTGGCAAATAGGGTTAGAAAAGAGGCATGGACAATTATGGTCTTGATGAATATGTGGTGATGGTTTCAGAGATAAACACATATGTCAAAACTATCAAATAGCATACTTTAAATATGGACAGTGTTTTAATGGCATTTACACCTCATAAAGCTGTTAAAAGTATTAATGGTGGTTATAACCACCATTATCGCTAAATGATGGACATATAAGTAATTTTTATTTTTTAAATTAATTAGTTCTTGCCTCTCCTCCATCTCTTCTTTTTTCTCCTTCCATAATACTTATTATTGGTTAGGTCTCTTGGATCTATCCTCCCAATATCTTATCTTTTTCCTCATATTTCTCTGAAATCAATAAAAATATATTTTTAAAATATATTTTTATTGATTTCATAGAGGAAGGGAGAGGGAGAGAGAGATAGAAACATCCGTGATGAGAGAGCCCACAACCCAGGCCTGTGTCCTTGACCAGAATCAACCCAGGACCCTCAGTCTGCAGGGGCATGTGTCCTTGACCAGAATCAACCCAGGACCCTCAGTCTGCAGGCCAACACTCAATCCACTGAGCCAAGCTGGCTAGGGATATATATATATATATATATATATATATATATATATATTTTTTTTTTTTTTTTTTTTTTAAGAGAGAACTCATGGACTTGGACAACAGTTTAGTGAAGGCGGTGGTGGTGATAGAGATGTAAGAGGGCAGAGAGGGGATAAATGACTTAAATTTTTTAAAGAAATATTACGAGTGTTAATATAGTATTGGAAGGAAAAGGATAAGAGAAAATTTTTATTCTTTATGCACTGTGATGTGTTTTGGATAATTTTATAATAACCATGTATTTTATAACAGAAAATTACCTTTAATGTACTTCCATTGCTTTAAATAAATTGCAAGAATTCTTAAAGAACTTTGCACAGTTTCTTTATTTTTCATAAATAAAAATATGTTACATATTTCTAATTGTAATGAAATAAAATATTTTCAAATTATTCTATTTTTTAATTGAATGTATTGAGGTGATTACATATTCACTTAGTAGAAAACAGCAAATCCTGAAGCATCTCCCATCTCATTTTCAATGGGTAAGAATTTGTGACCCTGGCTCAGCTTTTACTTCTTAATTTTATTTTAGAAACTGATTCTGTACCTAGCACAACCTGGGATTTTTCATTATACCTATGTCTGCGGAGGGCTGGGGACATCCTGATTCTCAGTGCTACTTTATGTTCTTTATGAAAATAAAGAAGCTTGGCTCTTGCCAGTTTGGCTCAATGGATAGAGCATTGGCCTTCAGACTGTAGGGTTCCAGGTTCGATTCCGGTCAAGGACATGTACCTTGGTTGTGGGCACATCCCCAGGAAGGGGTGTGCAGGAGGCAGCTGATTGATGTTTCTAACTCTCTATCCCTCTCCCTACCTCTTTGTAAAAAATCAATAAAATATTTGGGGGGAAAAAAGTAAAGAAGCTTGAGATGTGAGCTTAGAGGGATATAAGAAACTGATTTTTTAATTAATTCATTAAGTGGCCAGTATAAGAACTGGCCTTTAAAAATTGTTTTAAATATGTATTGTTATGGTTTAAATACTATTCAAGAGACATTTTTAAGTTCCCCCTTTAGTATTGCATCAAAATACTTTTTAAAAATATTCTCCAAATGTTAAATAATATTTCTAGAATGAAGACAGAATGAAAGAGAAGAAAAGACATTTGGGAGACACAAAGCACTTTTGTCCAGTAGTTCTCAAAGAAAACTTCGTCCTACAACCAGGCAACACAGAGGAAGCAGCTAAATATCGAGAAAAGGTCTACTACTTTTCAAGTCCCGAGGCTAGAGAAAAATTTATGGAGCATCCTCAGGAGTATGTGGCTCACAATGAACCATTAAAGGTGAAAACTACATTATTCTTATCCTCATGATTGCTCCTGTTACCTTTTTAGGGACTTATTATATCCACCATTTTATTTGGTAGTGAAGTTCCCAATCTGATATAGCAATATAGTGAAAACATCTAAGTTCCAAGAACAACTTTTTGGAATATAACCCAAAATAATTATCAGTTTTGATTTCCACTGTAATGCCTTGTGTCAAACCAGTACTTAATAGCTGTCTCTCTAGCTGAAACAAAAAGACACAGCTGAATTTATTGCTTATAAATCTGTTGAATTTATTGTATTCCTTAACCGGTTAGTCTCTCTGAGCAGAGCAGTCTGCTGATCATAAGACAGGATTCGGGCAAGTATGGGATTCAGAGATTCGTGGCCTTCAATGGGTTGACATCCTCTGTGGAAGGGTGATTACTCAGGTGAGACTGCTGTTAATCTGGTTCCACCAAGAGTCATGATTATAGGGGCAAATTCATGCCCGATTGCTTGACTCTCAAGAGCAGGGACGACCCTGATTCAAAAGATGGCAAAAGAGTGTTCCGAAAGGTGAGTGGTCCTTGTCAGTTAAACTGTTTTAAACTGGTTTAAGTAGCTATAGAACAATCAATCTTTTCCTAAGTTTGTAGGGACATTTTTATCCTTACTTATTTCCCACTTTGGAACAATTTTCTACATTCTTTAAAAAGTATTTTATTAAAGTGCCCAGCTGGCTTGGCTCAGTGGTTGAGCATCAGCCTATGAAAGTGGAGGTCATGGGTGGGGGCACATGCTGGGGTTGTGGGCTCTGTCCCCAGTAGGGGGTGTGTGGGGGGCAGCCAATCGATGATTCTTTCTCATCATTGATGTTTCTATCTCTCTCTTCCTCTCCTTTCCTCTCTAAAATCAATAAAAATATTTTAAAGTATTTAAAGTATTTAAATATTTAAATTAAATATTTAAGTATTTAAAAATATTTTAAAGTATTAAAGCCAAACACAAAAGAACAAATACTGTACAATTCGACTTATACAAGATACCTAGAATAAATTTATAGGGACAGAAAATAAGAGTGGTTGCCCCGGGCTGGGAAAAGGGGAGAGTAGAAGTTGCTGTTTGATGGGTTCAGAGTTCCAGTTTTGGGTTAATAAAAAAGTTCTGGAGAGAGATAGTGGTGATGGGTGCACAACATTATGAATATACATAATGCCACTGAATTTACACTTAAAATGGTCAAAATGGTAAGTTTTATGTTATGTATATTTTAACGCAATAATAAAAGAACACATTGTGGCAATATTTTATTTGTTTTTAAAAACAAAGCACACACATAGTAACACCAGCTCTAAACAAGTCTTCATATTTATGTTTTACTTTCTCATCTTCTTCCACATGGGTATATATTGTTTCTAGTGTATATAGTATTTATAATATTTTTCTCTTAATGTTATATCATAGAAAGTTTTTGTATTTCTATAGAGCTTATAATGGTTTGACATATCATTTTAATATAATTTGTTAGACTTTTTATCATGCTAAAAATGTATCTTTCCATTCGTTGTAAATTAAAACTTAAAAAAAACCCAAACTAATTCTATTTTATTAAATGCCTTTTGGCACAAGATATCAAAATAGTCTTATGATTGTTAATGCTCCCTAAAAACTACCGTTGATGTAATGCATCATGTTAATTGATCTCCTAATGTCAAAACAGCCCTGAATTAGTTAAGTGATAATTCAGTCTTAGGGAAGACAGTTAATAAGCCTCTTTTTTTTAAATAACTCAAAACTTTCTTTCCTTTATTCTCCCTTACCCCACATCTCCCTGACCCATCCCCCTGTGGCAGGCTCCTCCATTAAGAATATGCCTTCTGGGTCCCCATGGCTCTGGCAAAACTATCTGTGGAAGACAGTTAGCAGAAAACTTGGGCATCTTTCACATTCAGTTTGAAGAATTTCTACAAGAAAAAATGATGCTCAAAACTGAAAAGAAAGTTGGACCTGAATTTGAAGAAGAGGCTGAGGAAGAACAACTTGCAAAACAAGAACTTGAAGAGCTTGCAATTGAGGCCAATGTCACACTTGAGAAAGAATATGCAAATAAGCCGGTAGTAATATTATAACTCTCTTTGCAGATAGTTGTGTTTGCTGGTATTACTTTTGGAAAGTAGGATATAAGGGGTATAAAACTCTATAAAGTTTCCAAGAAAAAGAAAAATATTAGCCCATAAAAGTCATTTAAGAGGCATCCTCCCCAGGTTAGATACAAATCTTACTGCTAATCTATAATTAGCAGTGAGGGACCCCCACCCACCCCAGTGCACGAATTTTCGTGCACCCGGCCTCAAGTCTATAATATGAAATTACTGTTTCGCAAGACTCCAATAAAAACCAGAAACGCTTTCCCTAACAAGGCTGTTGTATAGCATTAATTTGGGGCTACGTTATTTGATATATCTGAACTAGACTCTAAGGCTTTTTATTATTGTGTTCTCTGTATTTTTGCTTTGTCATAGATAGATAGATAGATAGATAGATAGATAGATAGATAGATAGATAGATAGATAGATATAGATAGATATGTATATTTTTAGAGAGAGAGAGAGGAAGGGAGAGGGAACAAGAGAGAAAAACATCGATGTGAGAGCAAAACATCAATCAGCTGCCTCTTGCACACCCCCCACTGGGGATTGACCTGAGGCCTGGGCTTGTGCCCTGACCAGGAATAGAACCGGCAGGCAACCTTTCAGAGCGCAGGACGATGCCCAACCAACTGAACCATACCAGACAGGACTCTGTTTTTGTCATCATGTATCATAAAAATCTGCCCCAGTGCCAATAGGAATCTCAAAAAAGCATAAATATTAAAAGGTTTAAAAGCAACAATATAAAAAAAAATGTCCTGAGAAAAACAGGTGTCATCTTAATCAACTATGTAATAGAGTATTGTTTATTCATATAGTTCTGAATTTGTTTTATTTTCTGATTTTTGTGTTCAGCCTCCAGAAGTGCAATTTACAGAAGAAGAAGAAGCAATCAGATTATATTTAATGGAAAATGAACCATTGCCTCCCGAAATTCTAGAAAACATTCTTTCTGAGTGGTGGCATAAAGAACCAATACGGTATCTTAATTTATATAGGATTATACATTGATTGACTTTTCTTTGCCTTATTCTCAAAACTCTAAAACAGTGATGGCGAACCTTTTGAGCTCGGCGTGTCAGCATTTTGAAAAACCCTAACTTAACTCCGGTGCCGTGTCACATATAGAAATTTTCTGATATTTGCAACCATAGTAAAACAAAGATTTATATTTTTGATATTTATTTTATATACTTAAATGCTATTTAACAAAGAAAAATCAAACAAAAAAATGAGTTCGCGTGTCACCTCTGACACGCGTGTCATAGGTTCGCCACCACTGCACTAAAACATAATACAACATAAATTTAAAAATGTTCTTCTTTACTCTCATGTAAATTAGTGATTCTATACATTAAAAACATCTGGGATATTATTATTTTATATATTTATTTTTATTGATTTCAAAGAGGAAGGGAGAGGGATGGAGAGATAGAAACATCAATGATGAGAATCATTGATTGGCTGCCTCTTGCACGCCCCCTACTGGGAGTTGAGCCTGCAACCCGGGCATGTGCCCTTGACCAGAATCAAACCTGGGAACCTTCAGTCCCCAGGCCGACGTTCTGTCACTGAGCCAAACTGGCTAGGGCTGGGAAATTATTTATAAAATACTGATGCCAGGCCCCAACCCAAAATAACTGAATCAAAATCTTTGGGAGTGTAGCCATTTTTATGGAAATTTGCCCATTTAATTAAGGATAGAAAACATTTTAAATGCCAGTTAAGGGCTGAAACTGTCAAATGTTAATGAAAGCTCTGTTCATATTAAGAAAACATATCTAAATATAAATATTTAAACAAACCAAATTTTAGGTAAGCATAATAAAGTTTCATTCACAAGGGGACCAATATTGACTTTCTCAATTAAGCAAGGCCAAGTTCTCAAAGCCTAATTATTTGTTTCGTGTATGTGCGTGTGTGTGTGTGTGTGTGTGTGTGTGTGTGTGTTTAAATATATTTTTATTGATTTCAGAAAGTAAGGGAGAGGGAGAGATAGAAACATCAATGATGAGAGGGAATCATTAACCAGCTGCCTCCTGTACGCAACCCGGGCATGTGCTCTTGACTGGAATCAAACCTGGGACCTTTCAGTCCGCAGGGTAACGCTCTATCCACTGAGCCAAACCAGCTAGGGTAAAGTCTGATTGTCTTATAGTTAGTTACTTCACAATGAACATGTGTTAGCATTCTCGTTATTGTCATGATTCTTCAAGTTTCATCATACTTAAACAAGTTTGATAAGCCTATTTGGTTATAATCATCTTAATACATATAAGCCAGGATACATACATACATAATTGTCATGAGTTACAAGGGGACCCAGGGAAGGAAGTATGAATTGTCTCATGAAAGGAAGCATCATTAAAAGAAAAACTACTGAAGGGTGGCTTCCCACTAAAGGTCAGCTGGTCAGACCTACCTCTTTATAAAGGGTAACAAGTTCCTTAGGCTGGGCATTCCTCCCAGGCAGAGAATTTATTTTCTCTTAATTTTCATCAAATATTAAGACTATTTATAATTAAAGAGAACTTATCTACATTATAAATATAAGAATAAAATATAATTTTAATTTAATTCAATACATTTGAGAAAAGACACATCATGTTTATGCAAGTAGAAATATTAAAAGAACTAAGAGAGATTACTTTTTAGACTACTCATTGCACATCTTATAGGAAGTTGAGATTTATCAATACTTTTTTCATTTTTAAACTAATATTTATAATGTAATGTTTAAAATAAATTATGCAATTCATGCCTAGTTCCACAGGTTTTATATTAGAGGGTTTCCCACGATATCCTGATGAGGCCCAGCTTCTAGGGGAACATGGATTTTTCCCAGATGCTGCTTTTTTAATACAAGTTGATGATCAAGATGTTTGTGATCGGCTCCTGCCTCCCCAAATTGAAAAGTGGAAACTGAAACAGAAGAAGAAATTAGAAAGGAAAATGCTCATTAAAGAAATGAAGGCAAAAATCAGGGTATGTATCTCGTAAAACAGTTTTAGAGTAAATTTTTTCTGTGTCCTATATTATAATCCTATATAATAAAAGGGTAATATGCAAATTGACCCTAACAGCAGAACGACCACGCAACCAGTCACTATGAGGCGCATTAATCACCTCTCAGTCCCTTTCCCTAGCCGGCAGGCTCTGATCGCCCGATGTGGGCTCATTAGTTTCCATTATTCATTACAATTTTTTAATGTCTGTTTTTTTATAGGATGATATGATTGCTAAAAGAAGGGCTGAACTTATAGCAGAGAAAGAGAAAAGAAGGAAAGAGGAGGTAAGTAAAACATTTTTTAAAAAAAGCAGGACAGCCATTGTGTGTACGTGTCAACAGTATAAAATAAAAAGAGGCATTAAAAAGTACTGAAAGAAATAGAGTTTATGTGCAAGTAGTGAGATTATATATCATTTTAAATTTTTAGAGAAAGAGGGAGAGGGAGAGAGAGAGAAACATCAATAATGAGAGAATCATTGGTTGGCTGCCTCCTGCACGCCCCACATGGGGGATCGAGTTTGCAACCAGGCATGTTCCCTGACCAGGAATCAAACCGTGACCTCCTGGTTCATAGGTGGATGCTCAACCACTGAGCCACTCCCAGCCAGCCTCATTTTTATTTTTTTATACCTTTTGTTATTCCATGACTGTTTACAATGACCTCTTACTATTTTTGAAATCAGAAAAAAAAATGAAAGAAAACCACTAGAAATGGTTGAGTAATCTAATGTAAAATATAACACTGCTTTAAACTATGCTTCTTTCGGAGTTTTAGTTTTGCTTTCTCACTTCCAGCCATGCCATAGGAGATGGGCTGGAGTTTGGGATTGAGGTCCAGACAGGGAGCCTGGGAAGCTGCTGCAACTAAAATAGAGATTATCTTGTGATAAGGGATGCAACAGGGCAGAGCCAAGTGAACCCTGGGTCATGTTCTGTGCAGCATGCTCAGTACAGCTCCTCTCCATCTGCTGATTTTTTTTAAAAACATAAACCTTGAAGACTATGGATTTTTTTGTTTAGAGAGGAGCTATTTCCAAATTGACCTTGCTGACCCAAATGCTACAGCCAAACTAGTTCAGAGGAGGTGTAACTAGACCAGCTAGTTCTGTAAAGGACCCAAAGGTCATTATACAGTCAACTTACAAGTAAACCTGGTAACCAAGGCAAACAATAAGATAGTCTCTGCTTCCTTCCATTTTTTTCTGGTTTAAGGCACTCTTGTATCATCTTTTCAAGGCTGACTCTTCTGTAATCTGATTTCCATCTACATAAAAATTTAACTCAACAAAAGAGGAAAAACAGAAAATAGGGCTGGCTACACATGCCACCATATGTCACCCTGGTGTGGACATGCTCGAAGACTCCTGATACAATCCAACTGTAACTGTGGGTCAAAACATTGCAGAAGAGGGGCCGGAAGAATTATTTCTTTGTCCGAAGTATTTACAACCAAAAGTTGATCTTAAACTATTAGACGGAGAAAGTTATGGCACCATCTAAGGACCAAGAGCCCCCTTCTTTTGTTTTGATCTTCATTCATGCAGTCAGTTCATCAGTAACCTTAATGGAGCACTTACTACCTGCCTGATGCTATTTTAGCACTAGACAATCAACCCTGAACGGAATTTACAAAGTCTCTGGCCTAATGTCCATTCCCCGAACAAACATGTTCTGAAATTCTACTCTGTCAAATGAGTCATGCTAATGTTTAGGATAAAAAAGACAGGCACCTGCCCAGCTGGTGTGCCTCAGTGGTTGAGCATCCACCCATGAACCAGGAGGTCACAGTTGATTCCCTGGTCAGGGCCCATGTCCACGTTGTAGGCTCTATCCGCACTGGGGGACATATAGGAAAGAGGCAGCCGATCAATGCATCGTTAGTGTTTCTATCTCTCCCTTCCTCTCCCTTCCTCTCTGAAATAAATAAAAATCATATGTAAGCCCTAGCTGGTTTGGCTCAGTGGATAGAGAACGTCAGCCTGCAGACTGAAGGGTGCCAGGTTCAATTCTGGTAAAGGGCACATGCCTGGGTTGTGGGCTTGTTCCCTAATAGGGGGCATGCAAGAGGCAGCCAATCAATGATTCTTTCTTATCAATGATGTTTCTATCTCTCTCTCCCTTTCCCTTCCTCTCTGAAATCAATAAAAATATTTTTAAATATATATTTAAAACACACACACACAGACATCCTAACCTGGGACCAACTACAGTTAACTACCTCTAGCCCTTGGGAGTCCTTAGTGGTCCCCTTAAGAATCACCTCAAATGCCTCAGGCATATTAATTACCAAAGGATTACAGACTTTGGGATGGAATTGATCTAAACTGGTATAATCTCTCCAGTTCTTTCTGAATTTGTTCATTGATGGCTACCCAGTGCCTAACATAATGCTGACACATAGCAGGCACTAAACTTACAGTTGTTTTGTTGCTATTGTATAACACTGAGCATTATTTAATCTCTCTGAGCCTAGGTTTTTTTCATTAGAAAATGGGAAAATTGCCCTACCAGCATGGCTCAGTGGTTGAGTGTCAACCTATGAACCAGGAGGTCACAGTTCGATTCCCGGTCAGGGCACATGCCCAGGTTGTGGGCTTGATCCTCAGTGTGGGGTGTGCAATGGGCAGCCAATCAATGATTTTCTCATCATTGATGTTTCTGTCTCTTTCTCCCTCTCCCTACCTCTCTGAAATCAATAAAAATTATTTTTAAAAAAAGAAAATGGGAAAATTTAATAATACCTAGTTTCCCTAATTAATGGTGCTTTAATTTCCCTTCTTGGCTAGTCTTCAGTTACATTTTCTTTTCCCTAAGAGAATTAGTTTCCAGGATACATTTTATAAATTCATAAATCTTATAAATTTTCTTACTTTATAACTTTCCCATTTGTTAATATTATAATGTGAAGTTTCTTAATATTTTCATTCTAAGATTCACTATTCCATCTTATAAATTAAATAGGTTTTTGTAAGTTAACTCTCCTGAGACTTAATCGATATATTTTGCCTAAGTGACTGAAGGACAGGTCGCTATGGCGCGCACTGACCACCAGGGGGCAGGCGCTCAATGCAGGAGCTGCCCCCTGGTGGTCAGTGCTCGCTCCCACAGCCAACCTCCCCCGGCAATCCAACCTCCTGTGGTCCCTCCCTTTACTGCCTGTCTTTTTAGCAGCAAATAAAACATGTTAGCATTAGAAATAGCTTCAGTCTCAAGGTGACTGCAGGCATTAAATTCATAGGAAAATGTTGCCTTCGTGTGGAACTTTAGTCTCCAATTGTGACTAAAGAATATTTTATAAGCCAACCCCCTTCATCTCGAGATTTACATTGCGTCTCTTCCACCTCCTCAGAGGCTTTCCCTCTGCTCTTACTCCTCGCTGCGTAGTCTTGTCTCTCTTCCTGTCCACTGGCTCCTTCTCTGGTGCCTGTGTCCCTTCTAATTTATAAAATGTAGAGCAGTCACAGGCAGAAGAAAGATAGGCAGAGGCAGGACAGGGAGCCGGGCAGCACATAAGCAGAATTGTGCTTATGTGAGTAGTTAATAGAGAGATACATACCCAAGTACTCAGGTGAGCACAAGTTCATCTGAAACTAAAGTGTCCTCAGCTGGTAGTGTGGGCTCATCCCACCCCACTTCCAATGATCCGTAGAAAATCGAAGCTCAGGATTAAAAATTGTTGAAGTATAAGAAAAAGAGAAAAGTAGCAAGAGACCAAGTGGTTTCAAAGTTCTAACAAAAAAAAAAAGAACCAGAACTGAGAAACACTATCCCATTGCCAAGCTCCTTTTGTAATGAGAGGAAGGAGTGTAGACAGAACAGGAATGGGCCCTTATTCTCTCATCTTCCTCCCTGCACCTTACAGTTCAAATCCCAGCTCCAGACACCTTTTAAAGGCACTAGGGTCTAACCCAGCATGTCAAACTCGCAGCTCCCTGGCCGCATGCAGCCCACAATGAATATTTTTGCAGCCCAGCCAACATAACCGTATGTTTTAATAAAAACTTAAAAATTAAAAAATTAAAAATTTTAATAAAAATTTCGTAAATTGCCCTAGCCAGTTTTGCTCAGTGGATAGTGTCGGCTCCCCAGGTTCGATTCCGGTCAAGGGCACATGCCCAGGTTGTGGACTCGCTCTCCAGTGGGTAGCATGCAGGAGGCAGCTGATCAATGATTCTCTCTCATCATTGATGTTTCTCTCTCTCTTTCCCTCGCCCTTCTTCTCTGAAATCAATAAAAATATATTTTTTTTAAATTTCGTAACTTAATTTTTACAACATCCTGTTATACATAATTATTAATAACGAACTACAACGTTCACTAATGACTGATTACTATAATCGTGTTGCATTCATTTCCCTACGCACCTTACACACAGGTGCACCATTTCTCTCCCCTAATACTAGCAGTGAATATTTTAGCAGCCGACTGCCATGTCATTAGTCTTGGACTGACTTGTTTGGTGTGCACAACAGGAAATATTTCGCTTTCGGAGAACAAGAAAATAGGTTTATTTGCGTTATGCTTATTAATTTGTGCAGTTATTCAGTGTCTGGTAAGTTAATGTTCAAGAAAAATACTAATTTTTATTAAAATGTTCTATTATTTTATGTTAACAACTACTCATTTATTTCAGCTCTTTGTACTCAGCACGTCTCTATCGAAATAAACCTACGTTTCTATGAAAATTGAAGCTTTTGCTTTTTGTGGCCCACATGAACTTAAGCCTTGTTTATTTGGCCCATGTGAGCCTTTGAGTTTGACATGCTTGGTCTAATCAGTTAGAAAGACTAGGAAATATCAAGCTACTCAGAAGACTGCAGGCAAGAGGTGAGAGAGCAAACAGTGGAGTGAGAGCAGAAAGGATGAACATTATTTCAGATGACAGTCCTTGGAAACCGGGTGTGCAGAGATGGAGTGTAAGAAGTCAGAATAACTTTCAGGTTTCCAGCTGGGAGGCAGTGTTCTAATTGAGACAGGGAATACTTCTGGGAGAAGAGTTTGGAGGCAGTGCAAAAGGACCAATATTATGAGGCTCAATAGTATGCCAACTGAACTACAGCACTTAAAGCCTATGCAACACCACCTCGTATCAATATTCTGTCACTCTTTAATAATCACTTATGTATTGTCTTGTTTCCTCAGATAGGCTGTAATCTCCTAGAGGGCATGTACTCTTCTATTAGTACAGCGCGTTATGCAAAGTAACAACCATAGCTACAACAGCAATAATAGCTATCATTTGCATGCTTACTATGTGCCAGACACTCTCCTAAGGGCTTTACATGTATTAACTTTAATGTCCACAACAGCCTCGTGAGGTGGGTCCTTTTATTATTCCTATTGTACAGTTGAGGAAACTGATCTTGTCCAAATAACACAAATAGTGAGTGCTTTAGACTCTATGGATCGCATTAAGTATTTTTACTGAAGACCATCAAAAATATACCAGTCTGACAACCATACACAAAAATAGCACTTAATATCCTGTCAAATGTATTTCTTTATGGGATCACTATGGTGTCAGAGTCTTAAAGGTATTACATTTCTGGGTGCCAGACATTGAAAGTTTTACTATGTTATGAGATGGATGTTGCTATGCCACACCAGCTGAGACCCAGCTATTACAGAATATTCCAGTTAGCGGTGTCACTTCTCACACACGTTTAGTAAAAGTGACTATTTCCTCCCTTAGCTTGCTAGAGAAGATGAAGAAATGAGTGACGAAGAGACAGAAGATGATGATGATATTGACAATATCCTTGAGGAAGAATTTCCGAAAGAGGAGGAAGTAATGAGTGAGGAAGAAGAAGAACCGGAAGCTGATGCGATTGAACGCCTGAGAGGTGACCTGTTAGACAAATTTGAAACAGATACACGTTATTTACAAGGAATACAGGTTATTAATTTTTCTTCATTTTTCATAATTCATAAAATGACGTTCGAGCATGAAACAAAAGAAATTTGGTTTATGCCTTAGTTTCTTTTGAACGTTTCTAAAGAAATGTCTATTTTAGGGCCATATTTCCTTTTGTCAGCACTACTTAGAATTATGAAAACAAGTTAATTTATTTTCTTAATAAGGGCAACATGGGAGCCACAGAGGTCAAAGGTTCTAGCTGCCAACATGCAGTCACACAGAAGCTGAAAAGTATTTGTGCTCTCAACTCGTGTAGACAGCCACCAGCAATGTCTGTCTGCCACTGAACGCTATCAGCCTTCTTCCCACTAAAAATATTTGGCTTTATGCTTTTTCTCATCAGGATGAATTTGAAAAGTCTTTGATACCACTAATTGTCATTAATGGAGCTCGGAAAATCCACATTGTACAATATTTATTGAATAAAAGACTGAAACCACTGGTGGAAAATCGGGCAAGCATTTTTGAGAAGTGTTATCCAATATCATCACGCCTTGCCCAGAAACTGCTCAGCTTTACCTATAAATATATTAGCACATTCGGCTACTGGGACCCTGTAAAGGTAATGTCAGGAATGTGACGTCTGAAAGCCATGTTCTTTTATTTTATTTCTTAAAGTATTTCTCTAAGAAGACAGTGGATAATTTAAACAATTGTAAGCATTGTACAGCATTCTTTTTCTTTTTAATCCTCACCCAAGGATATATTTTTATTTATTTTAGAGAAAAATGAAGGGAGAGGGAGAGAGGCAAACATTGATGTGAGAGAGAAACATTGATGGGTTGCCTCCTGCAGACACACCAACTGGGGATCGAACAGACAATAGTATGGTGAAGGCCTCGGAGGGGAGGATGCAGGGTAGAAGGGGTCAGTGGGGTTGGGGGGAAAGGACTTCTGTAATAGTTTCAACAATAAAGATAAATTTTAAAAAATAAAAGCTCAAGGACAACCAGAGATTCAACCCACAACCTGGGTGTGTGCCCTGACCGAGAATTGAACCTATGACCTTTCAGTGCATGGGAGGAACTACACTCCAACCAACTGAGCCACACCAGTCAGGGTCAGAATTCTTAAGTAGTAATAAATATATGTAGTTATTTTGCCTTTCTATAGTGGGAAAAATAGTTGAAAGGTTTAATTTCTTTTATTTCTGTAGAACTAACCCAATTCCAACTTGGTTTTAACTTTGCAGCAGAAGAAGATGGTAGTGGGAATATTTGAAAACTAAACATCTAGAGCTGAATTCTGATACTAATTTGCTATCTAATTTTAGACAAGTCATTTAACCTCTTTGATTCTGTTTCCTCGCCTGTAAGCTAGGAGAATAATGTCACCAGACCACTGTGATCAGCTGTAAGAGTATAAAGTCCTATGGAAAGTGTGAGACACAATACAAAATGAGCCATTGGTGTTCATAACAAAATTATTTCCAAGTACTTTGTTTTTATGCAGTGTGTACAAATAGATTTAATCCAGTTGGAACTCAATAACTTCAATTGTGGCATTTTTTTATTTTAATTTTTTTCAGTTAAGTTGACATTCAATATTTTATTAGTTTCAGGTGTACAGCATAATGGTTAGACATTTATGTAACTTTCTATGAAGTGATTCCCCCAATAAGTCTGGTACCCACCTGACACCATACAGTTATTTCAGTATTACTGACTGTGTTCCCTATGCTGCAATTTACATCCCTGTGATTACTTTGTAACTCCCAATTTATATTTCTTAATCCCTTCATCTTTTTCACCCAGCTCCCCAACTACTCCCCTCCCATCTAGCAACTATCAGTTTGTTCTCTATGAGTTTGTTTCTGTTTTGTTTGTTCAATATTTTGTTTTTTAGATTCTATATATAAGTGTAATCATATGGTCTTTCTCTGTCTGACTTATTTCACTTAGCATAATACCCTCTAACTCACAAATGGTAAGTTTTCATTAATGGTAAGTTTTAACGGCCACATAGTATTTCACTGTGTATATGTGCCACATCTTCTTTATCTAGTCATCTATTGATGGGCACTTTGATAAATGTTAGGAAGTGAAATTTCTGGGTCATAGGTAGTTCTATTTTTAATTTTTTGAGGAATCTCCATACTGTTTATCATAGTGGCTGCACCAATTTGCAATCCTACCAACAGTGCACAGGAGTTCCTTTTCTCCACATCCTTGCCAACATTTGTTATTTGATGACTTATTGATTACTAGAGGCCCGGTGCACAAAAATTTGTGCACTCGGGGGGAAGGGGGGTCCCTCAGCCCGGCCTGTGCCCTCTCACAGTCTGGGACCCCTCGGGAGATAACGACCTGCTGGCTTAGGCCTGCTCCCGGGTGGCAGAGGGCAGGCCCAATCCCTAGGTGCAGCCCCTGGTCAGGCTCAGAGCAGGGCCGATTGGGGAGTTGGGGTGCTGCCCCGTCATGCACAGAGCAGGGCAGATTGGGAGGTTGTGATGCCACCCTCAGTCTCGCTCAGGGTAGGGCCGATTGGGGGGTTGGGGCACCGTCCCCTGTCACACTCAAGGCAGGGTCGATGGGGAGGTTGCGGCTCACCCCTGTCACGCACAGAGCAGGGCCAATCAGGGGGTTGGGGCGCTGCCCCCGTCACACACAGAGCAGGGCCCATCAGGGGGTTGGGGCACCACCCTCTATCACCCACAGAGCAGGGCCAATCAGGGGGTTGGGGTGCCGCCACTCTCACACTCAGGGCAGGGCCGATGGGGAGGTTATGGCTCTACCCCATCACACAGAGCAGGGCCCGTGGGGGGGGGGGGGGGTTGGGGAGCTCCCCCCTATCAGGCACAGAGCAGGGCTGCTCAGGGGGTTGGGGCCCCGCCCCCTGTCACACACAGAGCCGCAGGGCGATCAGGGGGTTTGGGCGCTGCCCCCTGTCACGCTGATCCCGGTGCCGGGAGGCATATTACCCTTTTACTATATAGGGTAGAGGCCTGGTGCACGGGTGGGGCCGGCTGGTTTGCCCTGAAGGGTGTCCTGGATCAGGGTGGGGGTCCCCACTGGGGTGCCTGGCCAGTCTGGGTGAGGGGCTGAGGGCTGTTTTCAGGCTGGGAGTGACTGAAGCTCCCAACTGCTCCTTTTTTTCTTTTTTCTTTTTTTTATTCTGGGCCAGCTTTACCTTGAGGCTTGGCTCCAGCTCTTAGGCCTCCGCGGCAGAAAGTAGGTTTCTGGCCTTTGCTTACAATGTTGCGAATCTGCTGGCTGAAGTCCGGCGGTATTTGTTACAATGTTTCTTAAACTGCCCTCTCAGAGGCCTGCAGCCGCAGGCGGGGAACGTTGGTTTCCTCCATCACTGAGGCAAGCAAGCCTCATGTTAGTTTCAAGCTGCCTGGCTGCCGGCCACCATCTTGGCTGACAGTTAATTTGCATATCTCGCTGATTAGCCAATGAAAAGGGTAGCGGTCGTACGCCAATTACCATGTTTCTCTTTTATTAGTGTAGATAGTCAGGATGGTTTTCAACATATATTAATCAAGAACATGCCAATTCTAGTTCCTGGGAATAAAATAGTGAACAAAAAAGACAGGGTTTCTGCTGTTGTAGAACTTATATTCCAGTTAGGTTGATGGGGAAGGATAGGCAATAAATAAGTCAACAAGCAGATTCTTATGGGATGGCATCAAGCATAAAGACAATAAAAGAATGTCATCTAGTAGTGATTTGCTCACTCAACCAGATTACCTTCAAATTTCTATTAGTGATGTAGCACAGTGGAGAAGACATGGCCTATGGAGCCAAACTGAGTTCAAAACCACTGCTTAATAGCTGAGTAAACTTGAACACATTGCTTAACCTCTCTTAGTCTTTCATGTTAATACAATTGAATAAAAATAGTCCCTACCTTAAAATATTGTTACAGTGATGAAATGAGTTAATTACTGTAAAGTGATTGCAACAGTGCTTGGGTTTTTGTTTGTTTATTTGGTTTTGTTTGTTTGTTTTTTGTTTTTAAATATATTTTATTGATTTTTTTACAGAGAGGAAGGGAGAGGGATAGAGAGTTAGAAATATCAATGAGAGAGAAACATCGATAAGCTGCCTCCTGCACACTCCCTACTGGGGATGTGCCTGCAACCAAGGCACATGCCCTTGACCAGAATCGAACCTGGGACCCTTGAGTCCGCAGGCTGATGCTCTATCCACTGAGCCAAACCGGTTAGGGCAGTGCTTGGTTTTTTGTATGTACTCAATTAGTATTAGTTGTTGTTATTAATATATACTATTATTATTGGTTGCTGATAAAAAAAGAAAAGTATTTTGGAGGATAGGTCCAAATGAAAACCATATGCATGTTACTTGAAACCTCCTTCTTGATTGTTATTGACACAGTCAGTTTCAATTCTACTTAATTTTGCTATTTTCTTTATCTTAATCATAAGAGAAACCTTTTCAAATTTCATGCTAAAATGTAAAAATACTGTGACAGTTCCCTGCATAGAGGATTGGATAGAGTTAAGCAGGTACTAGAATCACCTGGAAAGCCTATGAAAAATCGACATGCCCTAATGTTCTCTGAGATAGGTAAGATAGGAAAAGAAGCAGGCAAAGTTAGAAGCCTAATTAGGGAGAAAAAAGGGGTCCGTGTCCAGGCATAATTAAGATCTGATAAAAATGCCTTCTGGAGAAATGAGTGCATGGCCATAGGAAGGGTTCAAGCATATCAGGAATCATTTGTCAGGCTGTTAGGAATCTTCCTTGGCACCTGACAATTTGATATTTCTGATTTGATGGCACCGTGAGTATTAGTGTCATCTTACTATAAGGATTGACACTTAATTTTGTAATTTGAAATGGAACCATTAAATGTTCAGCTTTTCTTTTATTACCAAATATAAAACATAGAACAGACATTTCCACCCCATTCCTGAGTTTCTCCATATCCATAGCATTCACTCCCAGCCGTGAACTTCATTCCAGCCCAACAATGATAATGTTGACAATACCCTGGACTGCTGGCAGCTGCCCTGGCGTAGCTCTGGGGGAGGAACAGTGTTACCATACTGTTTCACATCTACCCTGTCAAGTCCAGGGATGGCTGATGCTTGGCCATCTGATGCTATAAAAAAAAGACATATAAACCTAGCATCGGTTCATTACCCAGTTCTCATCAACAATGCAAAGATGTGGGATCCCTCCTCCTCCTCCATTCCTTCCCTACTCCTTAGGCTGCCTTTTACCTGGATATTTTTCCTTTTGTGGCTCCTGTTGATTATGTGAGTGGGAATTTGTCTTATAAAAATATGAAAGAGAAGCCTGTGGGATTTGTCCTACCGGTATATCCTAAAAGATAACTCAGCCCCCCATCCCCGACTTGTCTACTCAGGCTGACATAACAGAATACAACAGACTGGTGGCTTCAACAACAGAAATTAATTTTCTCACAGTTCTAGAGGCTGGAAGTCTAAGACCAAGGTGCCAGCAGGGATGGTTTTCTGGTGAGGCCTCTCTTCCTGGCTTGCAGGCGACCACTTGTTGCTATGTCCTCGCACAGCCTTTCCTCTGTGCTCATGCACTCCTGGTGTCTCTTCCTCTGCTTATAAGGACACCAGTCCCATTGGATTGAGGCCCCACTCTTAGGACTCATTTAACTTTAATTACTTCCTCAAAGGCCTATCTCCAAAGTCAGTAACTTTGGGTGTTAGGCTTTTGAACTTTGCATTTGGGGTAACACATTCCTATCCATCGCCTTACCTGAGCAATGGACCTGTTTGTAAAGATAAATGTGCCCATGAATATATCCCAACAACTTAATACTCCTTGGCAGAAACATTGCATATTCACACTAAAAACATTATAAAGGAAATCAAAGAACTCTAGTAGTCATAAACTGAAAGCCTCTTGAGAACGTTGACGTACGGGTATAAAATAATTTGTTCTTTGTTCACAATTTTTAATATTAATATTTGATTACAATTAGTTTTCTTATTCTATAAGGAAGATTTTCTTAACCTACAAATTTTATTTTTAAATATATTTGGGGGGGAAAACTATGTAAATTAAAACTAACTTTCAAATTTAATTGTGTATCTATTACAGCTAAGTGAAGGAGAGACACTCAAGTCAATTGAAAGTCCAGATAATCCATTTTATCCTGTAATCCATCGTCAGTATATTTACTTTTTATCTAATAAGGAAACTAAAGAAAAATTTATGAAGAACCCAATCAAATATATTCGCCAACCCAAACCTAAGCCTAATATGCCCATTAAGATCGCAATTGTGGGACCTCCAAAATCTGGGAAAACTACAGGTAAGGATGTGTTTGTCTTTGTTATCCATAAGCATAAAAGAATGCACTGAAAAGTAGTGCCACATCACCAGAAACCACCTATCCGAATTAACTCAAAAAGAGATAGAAAACCTAAATAGACCAATAACCATTGGAGAGAAGGCTTTCAAAAATATACCCCCACTCCCAAACAGCCAGGGGCCTAATAGTTTTAGAGGGAAATTATAGCAAACTTTCAAAGGGCTAAAAACTCAAAAGATCTTTCCTGTGGCTTTGGGTGTTTTTTCCATCTTCGCCCAAGAATGTACTTACTGATTTTAGATACAAGGGGAGGGAGGGGGGAGAGAATGAATGTGAGAGTGAAACATCAATCTGTTACCTCCCACACACCCCTACTGGGGATCGAGCCACAACCTAGGCAAGTGCCCTGAACAGGAATCGAACTGGCAACCTTTCAGTGCACAGGATGACGCTCAATCAATTGAGCCACACCGGCCAGGGCCTTCTTGTGTTTTTATAAGCTTTTCCAGGTCAAGGAAAAAGACAGTTAGCTTCCTGATTTATTTTCAATTTCTTTTTATTAAGGAATATGGTCCATATAATCTAAAAGGTATAAAGAATACAAATTACTTTTTACATTAGCATAATCCTGATATCAAAACCTGACAAAGATAATATAAGAAAAGAAATTACAGCCCTGATCAGTTTTTCTCAGTGGTTAGAATGTCGGGTCTCAGGTTTGACTCTGAGTCAAGGGCATGTATTTCGGTTGCAGGTTCTAGCCCGGGCTCTGGTTGGTGTGCGAGTTGGAGGCAATTAATCGAGGTGTTTCTCTCACATTGATGTTTCTTTCTCTATCTCCCTCTCCTCCCTCCTTCCACTCTTTCTTAAAAAATCAATGGAAAAAAATATCCTTGGTGAGGATTAAATAAAACAAAAGAAAAGAAATGAACATAATCAAATAACAGTATATTAAGATTATATTAGCATAACAAGTATATTAAAATATTTTTTAAGTATAATCTACTGAATTAATAGTTTAAAGAGTAAAAATCCATTATATTAATTATTGCTGAATTGAATAAGGCACTTTGTAAACTATATTCCTATAATGTTTGAATTTTTTATATCTTTGGACTCTGTGTGTGTGTGTGTGTGTTTGTGTTTAAAGGCAAATAGTTCAACAATAGGTTCCTGTAATATTTCCAAATGATATGGTAACAACACAAACAGTGGTTGTGGCAATAAGAATAGAATGGACAGACTAGTGCAGCCACTGTGGAGAACAGTATGGCGTCTCCTCAAAAATTAAAAATGGAACTTCCATTTGACCCAGTGATCCCACTTCTAGGAATGTATCCCAGGAAAACAAAAACACCAATTAGAAAGGATATATGCACCCCTATGTTCATAGTGGCACAATTTACAATAGCTAAGATTTGGAAACAGCCTAAGTGCCCATCAGCAGATGAGTGAATTAGAAAACTGTGGTACATCTACACAATGGAGTTCTACGCTACTGTAAAAAAGAAAGAACTCTTACCATTTGCAACAGCATGGATGGACCTGGAGAGTATTATGCTAAGCAAAATAAGCCAGTCGGAGAAAGAAAAATATCACATGATCTCACTCATTTGTAGAATATAATGAACAACATAAACTGATGAACAAAAATAGAACCAGAGACAGGGAAGCATTGTACAAACTATACAACCTATGAAGAAAGGCGGGGGGCGGGGGGAGGCGGTTGAGGGGGTAAGAGATCAACCAAAGGATTTGTATGCATGCATATGAGCAAAACCAGTGGACACAGACAGTAGGGGGGCAGGGGGCAGGTGTGAGGGATTGTGCTTGGGGGAGGGGGTGGCGGGGGAGAGGTCAGTAGGGGGGAAAAGGAGAAGTGTACTACTATTTGTAATACTTTAAACAATAAAATAAAATTTTAAAAAAAGAATAGAATGGAAAGGGCTGATACAGGGGATATTTAAAAGAAAAACAATGGACTTAATGACTCATAGACTAGAGAATGAAGGGAGGAGATGAGGGCAAAGATCAATTTGTCAACAGGAAAAATAAAGGGGAGTTCTGTGTCCCACCTCTACAGATGAAGTTTGTTTTGCTCATTTAAACTTTTTAATGTGACAAGAGCCTTTAATGGTCCTATTCTATATGTTTTACAAAGATAATGATATTTCCCAAAGTGAGCAGAACATGGGCATTCAAAATAAGATCCCACAACCACAGCAGAAAATGAAAATGGAGACAAGACCTTCTGATTTCTCATTTCTTTGTGGAACTAGAAGTTGATTCTTTAACAAAAATGTCAAATTGTAAAAGCTTAATTATTTTCAGAACTTTAAAAAAATAGGTTTGATTCTAGCATTTGTGGCAAAACTAAGACTAAGGGTTCTGCCAGTCTCTGTTTTGGGTGATCTTAACTGTAATCAACTAATCTGCATTCCTATGGGATGAGATGGGCCTCTACCCACTGCTATCTCTAGAGGAGGGCAAGGTATATGGACCCCAACATAGCACTCCCACCTGTAGTACTAGTTCCTGGAAGCCATTGCTTGGTCTCATACAGAAGAAGCATAGGCCAAGGTGAGTCTTCTTTCAACCAATGGCAACTTCTACATGACCTTGGACAAATCACTCCATTTAGTTGGGCTTCAGTTGTCTCATATATAAAATTAGAATTTCAATATCCATGCTACCCATTAGGTGGAATAGTTGAAAATATCAGAGTTACAGAAGAAAAATGGCCTCATAATCTGTAAATTACTATTTAAATGTCTAGTATGCCATTATAATTTATGAAAATTATTTCCTAGAGGATTAACTGAGTTATTTTGGACATAATACCAAACATTAATAGTACACATTAAATGTAAAGCTCTCAATAATTTTGCTACCACATGCAAAAGAAGGCAAAGAAAACTTAAGTGTTGTTGAGTTATGAGAAAAACCCACAGTTGGTTCATTACCCAGATTCATCAGCCACATACCTGAAGTATTAATAATAATTGACCTTTGACAGTATTAATTCAGTAAAATGTAACAATTTTAATTTTCCAAATTTCTTTGAGGAATGTGAAGATTAGTTTGCTGTTAATATTAATTGCCCATAATCTGCCACTAAGGTTAACTGATGACTTTGTGAAATGGAGTAAGTTTAATGTTTTTAATGTTTTCCAGTTGCCAAAAAAATTTCAAGTGAATATGGCATAAAGTGTTTGTCAGTAGGAGACGCTTTGCGTTCCGTGTTAAGCAACCAACCAGACACAGAGCTGGCACTTATGTTAAATTGGCATCTTCATAAAGGATTGACAGTACCTGATTCTCTGGCTATTCAAGCCTTAGAAGTATCTATGATGCACAGTGCATGTAATACCACAGGGTAAGCGGGGAACTGGAGGGGGTGGTGGACTCATTCAAAAAATTCCTCACTGGAATTCAAAACACTTGTCTTAAATAGGGTCTAAAGCTCTTATAAAAGGTGTGTTCTGCTTTGGTGTGTCAAACTTTGGGTACCTATATGGTCACATATTTTAGTTTTCTACGGGGCTAAAACTTGGCTTGAACACTGACAGGCCAGCATAACAAGCTGGCCACTTGACTCTCTGCAGCAACCCTGAGTCATCCAAAAGTCTCTGGGCTTGGACTTTCCCGTTGATTGGTGACAACTGTCCTGATCTAGCTCTGGGGGAGAAGTGATATTACCACACTGTTTCATAGTGTGACCTCCACAGATTCGTACTGCCTCCTGGAGTGATGGAGAAGTGGCCCTCCCCTGTCACGGGAGCAGTGCCCCTTCCCTGAATGCTACGTTTGGACAGGAGGGCTGTCTGTACTTGAGTTATGCCTTCAACTTAAACTCCTCTGCTCAGCCATTGCTCCCTCGGTGCAGGCACTGGTCACACCCAGTAGTAAATGACGGGGAAGCCCAAGGCCCTGCTCTTGAGCCCAGGTCACTGACCTAGATTCTCTGATTTACTCAAGGTGGTTTTATGTTAAGGAGTCTCTGCCCTTCCCTGCAGCTGCTGCGTAACCAAATCCTTGGAGAGTTCTCCTAACTTCAGTTATGAGGGAGCAGATTCTGGGATGTGGATATCCTATAACTATGTATCAAAGGAGTCTTTTTCTCCTCAGAGAAGATCCTGGGGTTTATGCAAATTGAGTTACCCCTCCCTGGAGGTCAGCTTTGCACACAAGAAATCTCAGTAAGAGCAATCTTGTTTGAGTCGCAAATGTTTTCTATTTCACCTTCATACCAGGAGAGTGACTACCTATTTTCCCTGAATTTCCCCAATCCGGAGGGCCCCTTAAGTAACCCTTCACAGGAGAGAGAAATTGAGCTACTCTCCATTAAAGACAACGACAAGGACACCCCCATACATTGTCTGTTAAGCTTGCGTGGCTAGGTTAGTTTACACTTTGCTGGACCAGGAAACGTGGAACTATTTAGTGGCTAGAGAGCTGCTGGGAGTATTGAAGGAAGGCCTCCTGTGACTTACACCAAACTATCCCTTCCTGATGACCATCAGCCAGCATCTCCCTGATTTGGGGGACCACTCCTCCCAGAATTTATGAACAGCCTTTACTCCTCCTCCCAGTTTGATAGTAACACTCCCACTATTTCAAACTGTTGGACTAGTCAAACCGGTTTGGCTCAGTGGATAGAGTGTCGGCCTGTGGACTGAAAGGTCCCAGGTTCGATTCCGGTCAAGGGCATGTACCTTGCTTGCAGGCACATCCCCAGTGGGAGATGTGCAGGAGGCAGCTGGTTGATGTTTCTCTCTCATCGTTGTTTCTAACTCTCTGTCCCTCTCCCTTCCTCTCTGTAAAAAATCAATAAGATATATTTCTTAAAAAAAATTTTGGACTAACAAATTCTCCTTCATTTCTGCCCAGTGGCATGATGGGTCCTGATGGAATGACTCTCTCCCAGAAATATAGGGCTTCTCTCACCACCTCTTCATCTCCCCTTCCACACACCCTAGCCTCCCCAATTGAATAACACAGTTTTTACAGTATTAATGTTATCTCTCGAATCCTGCCAAAACCTAGTTCTATGATGCTAAGTGTATGAGTTCAGAGCCGTGTGCCTGTGTATGCTGTCTTCCTCCTGAGCCTTGAGCTGACTAAGATAAAAAAAAATAGAGAGAGAGCCCCATCGGGTGTGACTCAGCGGTTGAGCAGCGACCCAGAAACCAAGAGGTCACCAGTTCAATTCCTAGTCAGGGCGCATGCTTGGGTTGTGGGCTCGATGCCCAGTTGGGGGCGTGCAGGAGGCAGCCAACCAATGATTCTCTCTCATCATTGACATTTCTGTCTCTTTCTCCCTCTCCTTTCCTCTCTGAAATCAATGAAAATATATTTAAAATTTTTAAAAATAAAGAGAGATAAAAAGAGTGGAGTGCAAAGAGGATAGATCAAGTTACTTAAGGAAGAGCATAGAGCTACTCATAAAGAGATAAACTGGTCTGGTAGAAAGAAAGGAAGGTCTGAGAGAAAAGAAATCTGAAATTTTTATTTTCATGTTTCTCCTTGTTAGTGTTATCATCGATGGATATCCAGTAACCAAGTATCAAGTGAGTCTTTTGGAGGCCGAGTCAATCATTCCCCTGATCATCTTTGAGTTGGATGTACCTTCCAAGGAGATTTTCAAAAGATTGCTCCTGGAAAAAAAAAAGGAACAAAGGTAATGGGATGGGATGAAAATAGCGATTAAGGAATGAACTTTAATCATCCCGGGGGAAAAAGTATGTTTTAAACAGCGTTTTCCATTCCTCCTCTATTTCTCCATTAGTTTGCCTTATCCATTACACAATAGCTCACAGATTATAGCTGTCAAGAAGTCCAAGTACCACAAAAATATTGTTGAGATTAGGCAACATTACCAAGAACAACATCAGAACTGGTATGTGATTGATGGTTTTCACAGCAAATGGTGGGTATGGAATGAAGTCATTACGAATGTTAAAATGGTGAATGGATACATGCAGACATACCTGGAAAGAATAAAAGAAGGTAAGAAAACAGTTAAATAACTGTTAAAATAAAATAAAATATGAATTTAAAGTCTACACACACGGCTCATCTTACTATAATTCATTCAATTTGAACATTTGTTCCCACATTTTTAATCAGTATTTTATATATATAATAATTTCCAACTTTTGTGGGCATATATATTTGTTTTAATAAATTACGATCATCTTTGAGTGCCTGTGTGAACCTAGCACATAAAATTAATGCATGGTTTTCCACTAGAAGAGTTCATGGTGTTTGGGATGCTATGTAAGAAGCTCTTTTCAAGATTGCCAGTTATTGAGGGCAGTAATCTGTGGAATGACACTTGTCAAAATTTTATTTAGGAATCAAGAATTGAAGTTATCCTTACTGTTTACATTCACTATGGTATTATATAAATGTTGAGTCTATAAAAAATTAATTCAGCATAAAATGTCTTTTTATCTATATTTGGAATCTATGAAAGAAAATGGTTGATTATATATGCCTATATGTTTCTTGATTTTTCTCCAAAAAGACACAAAATAGAAGAAAAGTTATCTACACCTGATTATCTCTAAAAAACAGAGACTCCAAACAGTTCATCTGGAGGGGGTCTCAGAAACATCTGCTTAATGACTTTGTTTAACTTTAGAAACTGTAGAGAAGATATAAAAAGGTATGAGAGAGCAGCATGGCCAAGAGAATCTTGTACAAGAAAAACTGCAGTGAGATGTTGATGATAATTGCATCACTGAATCTGACTTGCTTCATTATTTGGGCATAACCAGTATCTCTGGTTCCTGTTGGTCTGCAGATTGGGACTTTGTTTTCACCTGAGTATTATAAGACATGAAGATAAGCCCTAGCTGTTTTGGCTCAGTGGATAGAGCATCAGCCTGCGGACTGAACAGTCCCGGGTTCGATTCCAGTCAAGGGCACATGCCTGGGTTGCAGGTTTGATCCCCAGTAGGGGGAATGCAGAAGGCAGCCAATCAATGGTTCTCTCTCATCATTGACATTTCTCTCTCTCCCTTCCTCTCTAAAAGCAGTAAAAGTATATTTTTTAAAAGTATGTGAAATGAAGATAAAGAATGCAATCAAAGGAAGAATTGAGTTTTTATAAACCCACTAGAGGCCAGGTGCATGAAATTCATGCACTGGGGATGTGGGGGGTGTCCCTCAGCCCAGCATGCACCCTCTCCAATCTGGGACCCCTTGGGGGATGTCCGACTGCTGGTTTAGGCCCAATCCCGCTAAACCAGCAGTCAGACATCCCTCTCACAATCCAGGACTACTGGCTCCCAACCGCTTGTCTGCCTGCCTGCCTGATTGCCCCTAACCACTCCCCTGCGAGCCAAATCACCCCAAACTGCCCTCCCCTGCTGGCCCGGTTGCCCCCAACAGCCCTCCCCTGCTGGGTGGGTCACCCCTAAATGCTCTCCCCCAGCCACCCTGGTCACCCCCAACTGCCCTCCCCTGCAGTCCTGGTCCCCCCAACTGCCCTCCCCTGCCGGCCTAGTCCCCCCCAACCGCCCTCCCCAACAGCCCAGTTACTTCTAACTGCCCTCCCCTGCTGGCCTGGTTGCCCTGAACTGCCATCCCCTGCAGGCCTGGTTCCCCCCAATTGCCCTCCCCTGCCAGCTTGGTCCCCCACAACTGCCCTCCCCTACAGGCCTGGTCACCCCCAACTGCCCTCCCCTGCTGGCCTGGTTGCCTCCAGCTGCCCTCCCCTGCCAGCCATCTTGTGGTAGCCATCTTGTGCCCACATGGGGGAGGCCATCTTGTATGAGGGCATGATGGTCAATTTGCATATTACCTCTTTATTATATAGGATTACCAATAACTTTTAGATAACATCTCACTAGTAATACATTCCACAACAGATTTTGAAAGCAAAAATCATGCCTCATTTATTTTTCTGTTACCTTATTTTACCCTCGCTGCCTTAGATTAGGTCCTCATTCCAGTGAAGTATTGGGAAGAAAACTCTCAAACTTGTCCATTTAAGGAACTTGGGCTTTTAAAAATAGACTCCTTAGGTTAAACCTAGTCACTTTTGGATAAATGTTTCTTCACTTCTTTTGGGTGACATCTGGGCATAGGGGGAAGTTTGTGTTAGTAACATCATGTCAACAAACTATTTGTACTTCCTAAAATCTGTCCATAGAAAAATCAAAAATATGAAGCAAATGTATATGTGTGAGTGGGTGTATGTACCTATGCATACATGTACATATATGTGTGTATATATTTTAATAATATATATAATTTATAATAGCTAAGAATTAAAAACAAACAAAATATTCATTAACAGATAAATGGTTAAGTAAACCATATGTATATTTATAAAATGGGGAATACTATACATCAATTTTAAAAAGTAGGTAAATCATATAACTGATATGGAAAGATGTCAAAGACCATAACTAACTGATAATAAGTTTTACAGTATAGTGGCATAAGCATACTGTATGCAAAAAAAAATACAATACACTTGTGTACGTGCAGCTATGCAGAAAAGGTCTGAAAATGATGCAAACAACAGTGATTACCTCTCTTAGATGGAACTGTGAGGACAGAGGTGTGAAGAGAAACTTTTACTTTTTACTCTATTGTTCGGAAATATAGAATGTGTGTGCATTTGTATGATGCTGTGTAATTGAAGTTATTTTAATTTTAAAAATTATTATGTTTTCTATGAAAAGATGTATGTATGCTAATAGTTAATCTCTTGATAATAGGGAAAGCTGCCTGCATTGACAAGTTATGCATCACACCTCAGGAACTGATTTCTCGCCTGGGCGAGTTTGGACAGTTCTGCCCGGTCAGCCTGGCAGAATCATATGAGCTAGTTGATTGCTCAGAAATGGAGAGCTTGGAATTTGCCGCAGAATTCAGAGGGCATTATTATAAAATGGGTTCTCAGGAAAAACTGAATGTAAGTTTATTCCTAACTCCCAATATTTCCTAGGGAAAGAAAATTCCTGTTTCAGAACTCATCAGCTAGGAAGGGGTGGGCACAGTTGTGAACACCAGGAGCTGGGCACCAGGAGCCTATTGAACCTGTGGCTTTGGGACCAATGAGGCAACTCAGAAGCCAGTCCTGAGACTGCATCCCAAACATATTGTAGCACAAAGTAGATGTTCGGGGTCAGTGATAGGCCCTCAGCCTGGGCCAACTTAACAGGGAGGGAGACCCAACAGTGAGTGTCACCAAAGGAGGGGACGCTTGCTGAGCCACAGGAGAGCACCCAGGGGGTGGGATTCAGCTCCAAGAGTGCAGAAGGGAAGTCCAAGTTAGTAGAAATGAGCAATGTTTCCTGTTTTACACTTTTTTCTGTCACTAGAATTCTCTGTATACCTTATTTTTCTGTTTAATGGAACAGAATGCAGATTTATTCTAGTATTATGATTGGTAGTTGAAAACTAACCGGATGCCTCTGAACATTTTCTTTGCCTCTGAAGAATTAGAGTTTTTTGATCACTTAATTAAGGAGGCATTCTTTCTGCTTATTTAAATGGTAATCACAGAATTTAAAAACCGGAAGAACGTGCATCTGCTCCGCCCCTCCATTTTATAGCGTGGTAACTAAAGCAAAGGACATGCACGTAGTTCATTATACTGCAGGACAGGGAGACAAGTGGGCAGGGACAGTGTGCTCTCCAGTACCTGGTACATAGTAGGAACTCAGTAAATGTTTTTTTATGAATGGAAGAGCAAGCGAGTAGATTAGGAGAGACCTTACATGTGATCACTTGGGAGTATTACTGTAAGGAATTTCCAGCCAAGGAAGGAGTTATGGTAGTGCTGAGAGCGACTCTCAGATGGTTTGAGGGACCAAATGTTGCTTCTGAAAATGGAGGGAGTACCAGGAGAGCCTCAGTGGGTTTTTGGTTGGCATGGTATTCCTGGTTTAAATGGTCTTATTGCTATAATTCTGTCTTTATAGAAATTTTTGGAGAACCCAACATTATATGTGCCTCCATTAGCACCTCATCCACTCCCACCTGCCGACATGATCCCCAAGAGGCTGACCCTGTCAGAGCTGAAGAAGCGGTTCCCTAAGTGTGCTGAGCTCCACGGCTACTGTCCTGTGACCTATCAGGATGGAAACCAAAGGCAAGTCCTCGTGGAAGCACAGGATGAGATCTCTACTCGGAATAAGTGGTTCATTTAACAGTCTTAACGTTGTGATCAAAAGGTCACTACTGTTTAACTGGAAAATATTCTTTCTTTCTTGAGTTGCATAGCTAGAAAAATAAAACATTTGACATTTTATTGACACAGTCCTGCATATTAATTATACTATGAATTTTTTTGTCTTTCAGATATGAAGCCCTAGTACCTGGGAACATTAAGTATGCCATAGAATATCGTGATCGTATATACATTTGTGAGAATAGTGAAAAACTTGAGAAATTTTTGAGGTGAGACCATTCACTAAGTCACATATTTCTTGAATATCTTCTTAATGTTCAGTGTACCATGGTGGGATAGATATGTGTGCACACACATACATACACATATACATGCATATGCACACACATATACGTACATATATGATGGTGAACAAGGTCTGGTCCCTGCTGTTCCAAAGCCTGAGGCTCAGAGGTAAAAGAGACGCTAAGTACCTGATAAGAAAACAGGATATGATGGGGTTTAGGGTGGGGAAATACCAGGAGTTGTGGGAAAGCGTAGCCTGAAAGTCTGACTAGATTGTCTCTTTGTGAATGAGGAGTGGGACTTGACTAGGTAAAAGAAAAAGGGACAGGCTTTAACCAGAGGGACCGGCTTTAACCAGAGGGGCCTACAAACCTGGCCCAGGCAATAACAGAGCTGCAAGAAAGTCAGCATGGCTAGATGTGATGTGGAGAGGGAAAGGAGCAGGAGGGGAGGCTGGAGATAGTGAGCCGGGCCCAAGTGTGGAAGGTCACGTAAAATCACCATCAACCACTTAGACTCGATTCCATGGGCAGTCGAATACACTGACTGGTTTTGAGTGCTATAATCAAATTTGCTTTGGAAAGAGATCATCATTGGAACATTGATGATGGATTGGAGGCAGGAATACCAGCTATGAGGCTGTTGGAGAAACCCTGTCCAAAATACTATAGCATGTTTGAGGTCGCCCGTGAAGGGTAATGTGGGGAAATCAGCAGGCTTAGAGCAAGCCCAGAGAAACACCGACAAAGGACTGTCAGCAGAGCCTACCGGGGAGAGTGAGAAGGAAGAACCCACAGAGAGGTGAAAGGAGAGCCAGCAGGGGAGGCTCAGAGGTGAAGGCCAGAGAGTCTCTGGGAGGGTGTGGCCAACAGGTGTAGATGCTGCTTGGAGGCGAAGCAAGACAGCATTTGAAAGTGTGTCAGATTTAGGTTATAAATGGTCACCAGTGACCTTGGCACGAATGGCTTCCGTCGAATAAAGTGAGTAGTAGCCAATTACAAAGTGTCAAGGAGTGGGTGCGAGGTGATGAAATGAAGGCCTTGGCTGCAGCCCAGAGTTTACAAGCACAGATGTCTACAGTGTCAGGAAGGTGATGTAAGTGAGGCAAGCAGGTTGGAGGTGAAGCAACAGGAAGTAGTGGGGTCTGCTGCCCACTCAATGGCAGGCGCCCCAGTTAAAAGGGCAGCAGCTAGTCATCTACTGACAGCCATTTCTGTTTTTCACAAGAAGTTGGAAACCACATTTCTATTAATTTTTCCCTGATTTTTAAATGTTTGTGACTGACTCAACATTTTTAAAAAATAATGTGTGGATCAAATCACATCTGCAGGTGGAATCTGTGCAATAGTCTGTGATCTCTAGTGAAGTACACTGTTTGAAGAAGTTTAACTGTAAAAAAAAAAAAAAAAAGACATTAGTTGCTGGAAGAAATTTGAGATTGAAGGACTGAGGTGGTTTTTCTTTTTTATTTCTTTTTTTTCCCCCTAATGTGGGAGGTTTGAGCATGTTTAAAGGCAGATGCATGGGAAGATCCAATGCATGGGAAAGAAATGCCAAAGGTGAGAGGGAGAGAGGAATGCTATAGTGAGATACCTAGGGAGAGGGGAGAGTGGGGATCCAAAGTGTGGGTGGAGAATGATGATAGGTGAGAAGGAAGCTTCAGCATGCAAAGAGGAGCCTGTGTGGGGCTTTGCTGGTGATAAACAGTTTAGATATCTTCTCTTCATATAGCATGGCATCTGTGTAGGGGATTATTTGGGAGAGTTAGAAGTTTGAAGAGAATAAAGAAAATTGTATATAATTGCTGTGAAAAATGAGAAAACTGAGAATAGGTGAGCTAGGGACTGAGGCAAACGTGATGGTCATGAATTTCTAAAAGCTCCACTGGAGAAAATGGGTAGTGAACATATCTTTTCATTGTCTCTCCTGTATCTACATGCCTGTATACACACAGTGAGTCTATCTGTGACCATCATCTAATGAACCTTGTGTTTTTAGAACACCACTGAAATACTGGAATCAGAAGCTTCCATACAAACTTCCTCCATTAAAGGAACCAATACATCTCACTAGTCTTCCTTTGCCTGGATATCTGGAACAGGTTCAGTTACACTATTTTCTTTCTCTATATATATACATTGGAAGAGTAAAATTTTTTAAAATATATTTTTATTGATTTCAGAGAGAGGAAGGGAGAGAGATAGAGGAATAGAAACATCAATGATGAAAGAAAATCATTGATAGGTTGCCTCCTGCATGCCCCCCACTGTAATCAAGCCTACAGCCTAGGCATATGCCCTGACCAGGAATTGAACAGTGACCTCCAGGTGCATAGGTTGATGCTCAACCACTGAGCAATGCTGGCTGGACACAATGACCTCGTCTTTAACAGTAATTTTTGTTTTGGTAGATGAAATTCAAGGCAGAGTTTTCTGATTTTAAGCTGAAAATCCCACTTTAACCATTTTGTTTATGGGTGCTTATGAAAAGATGTATGCAATATCTACTTTTCAAATACCTGCACTAAAGTGGAGAGTAGATTGTCATAAAATTATTTACATTTGACATATGGTTTGGTTTGTATTTTGAATTTCAGTATCTGTAAAACATTTTCTTATTTTGAAATGTACAGATCCAGTGTCTGAGAGGTTTATTTCCAGCTTCAGAGTTATAGTGTCTTTGAAGCTATCTACTGAAGTCACACTTTATTTATCTAATCTAATAAAAGAGAAACATGCAAATTGACTGTACCTCCACTACACCCACAAGCCACGCCTACAAGCCAATCAGAAGCAAATATGCAAATTAACCCAACTAAGATGGTGGCAGCCACAGAGCTGGAGTGAGCAGGAGGCTTGAGTTACCCCCGGCAATGGAGGAAGCCAAGCTTCCCGCCTGCCCTGCTGTCCCTGAGCTCCGCTCAAGGCTACAAAGTTTCAATTACAGAAGATAGATAAATCCCAGATACCTGCTTCCAGCCAGCGTGGCCTCCGGGCATGGCCTCCACTCAAGGAGGGGCTAGGAGTTCCAGGACCTGGGCTCTGCTCAAGGATACAAAGTTTCAATTATAGAAATTAAATAAATCCCAGATACCTGCTTCCAGCCATGGCTGTGACCAGCCTGAAAATGGCCCTCAGCCCCTCACCCAGGCTGGCCAGGCACCCCAGTGGGGAACCCCACCCTGAAGGGGATGCAACCAGCCTGAAAACAGCCATGAGCCCCTCACCCAGGCTGGGCAGGCACCCCAGCGGGACCCCCCCCACCCTAAAGGGGCTGTGGCCAGCCTGAAAACAGCCCTCAGCCCCTCACCCAGGTTGGCCACACCCCCATGGGGTGAGGGTCCCCGCTGGGGGGCTTGGCCAGCCTGCAAACAGCCATCAGCCCCTCACCCAGGCTGGCCAGGCACCCCAGCAGGACCCCCACCCTGATGAGGACACCCTTCAGGCAAACCAGCTGGCCCCCACCCATGCACCAGGCCTCTATCCTGCATAATAAAAGGATAATATGCAAATTGACCATAACAGCAGAACCACTGAGAATGACTGGTCACTATGACACACACTGACAACCAAGGGAAAGATGCTCAATGCAGGAGCTTCCCCCTGGTGGTCAGTGTGCTCCCACAGGGGGAGCCCTGCTCAACCACAAGCCAGGCTGACGAATGCCAGCACAGCATTGGTGGCGGTAGCCTCTCCCGCCTCCTCAGCAGCACTAAGGATGTCCGACTGCAGCTTAGGCCTGCTCCCTGCTGGCAAGTGGACATCCCCTGAGGGGTCCCAGACTGTGAGAGGGCACAGGCTGGGCTGAGGGACGCCCCCCCCCCCCGGGTGCACAAATTTTTGTGCACCGGGCCTCTATTCTAAATATAAATCTTTTTAAACATAGTAAAACTTAACAGCAGCCAACTACTGTTTCGTACTCTCTCACAAAAATTCTTAACCACTCGGTTTTTTTCAACTCTCCTGGATATTTCATCTTCAATCTTGTTTAATATCAAAATGTAAGATGAGGCTCACCCACAGAGGGTTTCGCATAAAGGCCAAGTTTCATCAGGAGGACCTCAAACCTTATTTGCCTGCCCTAGGCTCTGGAATATTGACTGCAGTGATCTCTGTGGTCTCTGAGAGTCCTGGTCAGGTGGCCAAAGGTCCAGATAGTGGAGGCAATCTGGCCAGTTCTGAGTAATGGAAGCAGAGATGGGCCAAGACAACTCAAAGCCCAGTGTCCCCTTCTTTCTTTTTTAATGTTGTGTTATGGAAAATGTCAAACATATAAAAATAGAGAGAATTGTGTAATGAAGCCCATGTAGCTATCACCTCGCTGGCACTACTAACCCAATTTATAATTTTCATTTTTCTTAACCAAACGTATTTTGGCTTTCTTTTATGTTGGCTAACTGGTCATCTAACCATAAGTTCCATTCCTCACCCCAGGAGATTATTAGAGGCAAAGAATAGCCTCTTTATCTATTTGCCACTAAGAAAATAAATCACTCAAATATACACACGATTTAAATTGTTTCCTATCTGCAGGGTATCGCAACTTCTCTAATTAAAGCAATGAATGCAGTAGGATGCTTAAAACCCAAATTTCCTTTCTTAAGTATAAAGAAATCCGCGCTACTCTATATAGCATTTCATCTAAAAGGTATGTCTTTTTTAATGATATATTACTCAGAAATAACACTAATTGTAGTATCTGTGATAAACAGGATTGTTGAGCTGGGTTGGTCTCTTGAATGGTTGGTGTGTGTGTGTGTGTGTGTGTGTGTGTGTGTGTGCGCGCATGCAAATATTTTTACAAAAATACCAAAACTTAATTTCTAGTTTTTAAAGCAGGGACTCTGCGTAATATAGTCAGCTCTCAAAAATTCATGCCATAGAGGAAGGTGAAAAGGCTATTATGGTCTGAAATAGAATAATCCCCAAATTTTGCTTGGGATTTGGATATCTTCTCAGCTCAATCACACATACACAGTTTCTCTTTCTCTGTAATTTAATGATTTACTAACCTAACGGAAAACATTCACAAGTCTGTGAACTTTTCTACAGCCTTTAATCCCAAAGGTTCTGAATATACAAGAAAAAAGTATAAGAAGAAGATGGAGCAGTTTATAGAGAGATGTGAACTCATTACATACCTGAGTGCCCACATGACCAGAAAATACAAGGAACCTCAGTTTAGAGCTATTGACTTTGATCATAAATTACAGACCTTTCTCTCTCTCAGAAATATAGACCCAGTTAAAGAATAGTTTGGTTGGGTGACTGCAGCCAGCATCTCAAGAGTTATCTGAAAGGCATAGAGGGAAATCAATTGAAAATCTGGCCTCGGATGAACTTCTCCCTCCTGAGTGAGACACCATGGCTGCCAGACCCCAAATAGACTCAAAGCTCTGCCATCCAGGAAGGAGTGCTCTTCTGTAAGCATAAGTTTTAATACCATTTTAAAGTTTATTGCTCTTGGTCTGAAATTTGATGCTTTAACAAAATGGTTATTCCATTTAGAATTCCATTTAGAATATTCTGGTAATTCATTTTACTTAATAAATCTGTTGTTCATTTTCCTTTTTAACACTTGCAGTTAAAAAGTCAGTCTCTGTTAAAGAAAATTACTCAGTAAATGTTAGAAAGCTTCAAGAAACAAAATTAACATTGATATCAATAAAATAGAAATGTTGGTTACACTTTTGAAATAAGTTGTTTTATGAACATAAGATGCTTTATCATATTCCCAACAAAAATAAATGGCTTTTGAGATAACTACATGGCTGCCTCTTTTTTTTTTTCTTTAAGTATTCAAGAAGGCATGCTTTATACATTATTTATAATTTGAAATCACCTGGAGTTTTGAGAAGAATGAAATCTAGAGTCTTATATTACATTATCAAGAAGTATGTGCAAGAGGAAAAGTTACTAAATTGAATTTGAATGAGATCTAAAAAGTAAGATTATCAGTTTTTCAGCAGTAGCATAAGAAATCTAGAATGTGAAGTAGCAAGACTGGCTTTTTAAAAAAATAATTTTTAAAAAAGCAACCTGTATAATCTTAGGTAAATCTCAATTTCTCTGAGGCTTTGTTTCTTAATCTCTAAAATTACAGATTTAGCTATTTTCAGCTTTATTGAGGTATAATTGACAAATAAAATCATATGTACTTAAAGTGTCCAATGTGGTGATTTTGATGTGGGTATACATTGTGAAATATTTACCACAATCAAGTTAATTAACACATCCATCACCCCACATAGTTATTTTGTGTATGTGTGTGTGTGTGTGTGTGTGTGTGTGTGTGTGTAGTTAGTACACTTAAGAACCAAATTGCAAGTATGCAGTACAGCACTGTTAACTATAGTCACCACTGTAATTGAGTCAGTACGGTATTGGTGAACAAATAGACAAATCAATGTTAACAGAGAAGCCACCAGAAATATACCCACATAAATATAGTCAATTGATCTTTAACAAATGAGCAAATTGAACATCCACATGCAAAAAATGAAACTAGACACAGACATTTTACCTTTCACAAAAATTAACTCAAAGTGGATCACAGATCAAAATGTAAAATGCAAAACTATAAAACTCCTGGAAGATAATAGATAACTTTGATTATGGCAATTACTTTTTAGATATCTCAGGCATGAAGCATGAAAGAAATGATTGATAAGCTGGACTTCATTAAAATGAAAAACTTCTGGTCTGCAAAAGACACTGTCAAGATAATGAGACAAACTATAAACTGGGAGAAAATTCTTGCAGAAGACATCTGATAAAGGACTGTTATTCAGAATATACAAGAACTCTTAAAAGTCAGTCAAATAACCCAGTCAAAAATAGGCAAAAGACCTGAACAGACACTTCACTAAAGAACATATGCAGATGGAAAATAGCATATGAAAACAATGCTCCACACAAATACGTCATTAGGGAAATGCAAATTAGAACAATGAGATACCACTACACACCTATTAGAATTGCCAAAACTGCCCGACTGGCGTGGCTCAGTGGTTGAGCCTTGACCTATAAACCAGAAGGTCATGGGTTTGATTCCCGGTCAGGGCACATGCCTGGGTTGGGGGCTTGATCCCCAGTGTGGGGTGTGCAGGAGGCAGCCAATCAATGATTCTCTCTCATCATTGATGCTTCTATCTCTCCCTTTTCCTTTCTCTATGAAATAAATAAAAATATATTTAATTAAAAAAAAGAATTGCCAAAACCCAGAACACGAACACCACCAAACACTGGCAAGGACGTGGAATAAGAGGAACTCTGATTCATTGCTGGTGGAAATGCGAAATGGTACAGTCACTGTGGAAGAGACTTTGATAGTTTCTTATAAAACTACACATATTTTTACCATCAATAACACTCCTTGGTATTTACCCAAATGAGTTGAAAACTTATGTCTACACAAAAACCTACACAAAGATGCTTATAGCAGCTCTAGTCATAATTACCTAAACTTGGAAGCAACCAAGATGTCTTTCATTAGGTGAATGGATAAATAAATTGTGATACATCCAGACAACAGAATTTTCTTTCCCCAGTAAATCTTTAGAGTTAGGCATTAACTTGAATTTTCTTTACTTTCCTTTAAGCTCAGTTATGCATTTTCTGTTGTCGTTTCTATCTATCTCATTATGGAAAGCGTTTTCATAATGTTAACTTTCCATATCATCAGAATCAGGCATCTTTTCCAAGGAGGGTTGTCAGATAAAACACATGATGTTCAGGTGAATTTGAGAGATCGCCTCTACTCCTGTGAACTGTTGGGAACAACATTGCAGCTAAGACTAGTTAGAACCCTTTAATAGTCTACTGAAGAAAAATTATGAACGTCTGAAGAAGAAGAATTTTAATCACGGTAGTCAAGAATTAAACCAGACACTAAACTCATTACATACTTAATCTTGTTTGCCCCCCAGCAACCCAACTGAGTAGGCACTAGTGTTAACATCTCTAATTTCCAGGTAAGGTTTAAAGACGCTGAAGATCGCTCCGTGTCCAGTCTCACTAGAGCGCTCTCTTCAGTCCCTTGGACCAAGGCATTGGAAGTCGGGGGTAGGTTACGGGGTGGGTAGGAGGTTGCAGAAGGCCGATGTGAAACAAGTTTGAGGCCAATCATGGAGGAGGAGGGGAGGGAAGGAAGAAGAGGGAAAGGAAGGGAAGAAGGACGAGGACATAAAGGCGATTTCATTCACTCATTCACATTCGAGACCTTCAAGGGAGCTTCGGCGTCTGGGGTGAGGAGCTAAGGGTCTAGTAAGATAGAACTTCCACAATCGCAGGGTGACAACGTCATTCCTGCCCACCTCTCCCAATTCCCTGCAAACACTGGACCCGTCTGAGCTCTGCAGGAGGCGCCGCCGGGGACCTCAGGCCCCGCCCCTCCCGCCCCGCCCGCCGGGGGGCGTCTCCGCGGGCCACGTGGTCCGCCGTCGGCGCGCGGCCGGCTCCCGGCGCCGGCGCTTCCGGGTTGGCAGCATTTGAGGCGGTGGCGGCCCAGGAGCTGAAGCCCGGGAGGCGCAGGAACCCCAGCTGCAGGCCCGGGGGAGCTGGAGACCACGAAGGGCCCGGCGCGGGCGCGCCCGCCAGGCCGCCCGATTGGCCGGCCGCGATCCACACCTCGCCGGGCGCCCCCAGAGGTAGGTCCACCCCGGACCCACCGTCCGTGTCCACCCCTCCCTCCTCCGCCGTCCGCTCCCCGGCCCAGCCCGAGGGGCTCGGCCCGGAGGCGGGGTCCCTCCCGCGCCGGCTCGCAGCTCAGCCGTCTCCGGATCTGGCATCGTCCACCCGCCTCTGCGACGAGCGCCGCCTGCCGCCAGCCTTGGGCGTCCCACGCAGCCCTTCGGAAGCGAGGCCCGGCTCCGGCGTTATTATTTAATTGCAACTACCCCCCCAACCCCCCCCAAAAAATTCACTTCGCACATGCACGTCTTCTTCGCCCTTTTCCTATTTGTTTTCACAGAACTAAATGGCTCATACTCTGTGAAATCTAGACACTGTAGTTCTCATTCTGATGTTTGTGCAACTATGGCAAGTGAGTGCCGGGAAGGACTTTCAGGGTGATTGATCCCAACCCCTTCATTTTGCAAAGGAGAAAACAGACCGGCCCAGCTAGATAATGGTACAGCAGGAATGAGAACCCAAAGCTGAGTTGTTGTTTTTTTTTATATTTCTTTATTGATTCAGAGAGGAAGGGAGAAGGAGAGAGAGAGAGAAACATCAATGATGAGAGAGAATCAGTGATCGGCTGCCTCCTGCACACCCCCCACTGGGGATCGAGCCCGCAACCCAGGCATGTGCCCTTGGCCAGATTCGAACCCGGGACCCCTCAGTCCGCAGGCTGACGCTCTGTCCACTGAGCCAAGCCGGCCAGGGCCCAAAGCTGAGTTTTTACATAGGCTTACAAATGGTCAGTAGTGAGTGTCAATTAGCAAGGTGAAGTGAATGGCAGGTTACTTTGGTGTGGGCTTAGCCTTGCTAGTGCTTCCCCCTCTTTAAACGTCGCTTTCTTGTTTCAGGCTTCATGCTTCTTGGTTTCCAAAGAAAATGGCAGAAGCAGCAGCAGAGCGCCCCGGGCAGCTTGTTGTGCACTCAGACACTCACAGTGACGCTGTCCTGGCCAGCTTGGAGGACCAGAGGAAGAAGGGCTTTCTCTGTGACATCACTTTAATCGTGGAGAACGTGCATTTCCGGGCCCACAAAGCCTTACTGGCGGCCAGTAGTGAATACTTCTCCATGATGTTTGCTGAAGAGGGGGAGATCGGCCAGTCCATTTATATGCTGGAGGGCATGGTGGCCGACACATTTGGTATCCTGCTGGAGTTTATCTACACGGGTTATCTCCAGGCCAGCGAGAAGAGTACAGAACAAATCCTAGCAACTGCTCAGTTCTTAAAAGTCTACGACCTGGTAAAGGCTTACACGGACTTTCAGAATAACCATAGCTCTCCAAAGCCAGCGACGTTGAACACAGCTGGTGCTCCAGTGGTGGTTATTTCTAATAAGAAAAATGATCCGCCAAAGAGGAAACGGGGAAGACCAAGAAAAGTCAACAGTTTGCAAGAGGGGAAATCGGAACTGGCTGCGGAGGAAGAAATACAGCTGAGAGTGAACAACTCAGTTCAGAACAGACAAAACTCTGTGGTTAAAGAGGGAGACAATGGGGCACTGGATGAACAGACTGTAGCGAAAGAAATGGAAGAATCTGAGCCTGCTTGTGAGCCAGGTAGAGGGGAGGGAACACCCGCTGAAAAAGATGAGAACTGTGACCCTAAGACCCAAGATGGGCAGGACCACCAGACTCGGTACAGCAAGCGGAGGATTCAGAGATCCATCAAACTGAGAGATTACAAACTTGTTGGGGATGAAGAAGATCAGGGGTCAGCCAAGAGGGTCTGTGGAAGGAGAAAGCGCCCCATTGG